TATTTACAACAACCCAAATGTCTCTATTGTTAAGAGTAATTCGGGTACCCGACTTAAGATTTACGACAGTTCAAATATCGTGACGAGAAGTATACAAGTCACGAAAGCGAGTGTTGAAATTTATTAAAAAATTACATCCATTCCGTACTGACCGTACTGTCCAAGACGTATGCGGGCTAATAAAGATATGGGGTTTTAGATCAGTGTAATATAGAGGTACTTATTATAAAAGTGAATCTAAATAGTTATTTTCAATACAAGTGCGCTGTCAAATTATTTTTCAGGTACGAGACCGAATTTTGCGGCACGAAGCGAAGCTGAGTACAACATACACTGCATTGTGTACACTTTTCTTTTCGTTTTATTTTTTGCACAGTTTCTAAATTTCAGTGTTTGCACACGAACTGACAATTGTCGAACAATTTTTATTTTTAGTACACTTCCTGAAGTAACAGAAGTTGCAAAAGCCGCTATTGACAGGACTCTTTGAATTTGCTTACCAAGGGTTTTGAAATGAAGTGTGTTTACAATAAATTACTCTGAAAATGTTCATTCATTCAATATTACAGTTGAGAATCAATATTTAGTTATGTATTAACATTACATTCCTATTTCAATATTATATTTCTAAAAGTGAGTTTAACGTGGTCACTAATAAAAGGATCAAATACATTTTTTCTACTTCCACATCTAAAACACGGATTATCGTATATGTTTTACATGACGCCAAGTGACCTTTTACAGTATACATCTTGACAGGCCTTGACTAATATGCATATTAATTACGTTGCTAATAGTAACTGTAGTATTAGTCACGGGCTGAAGTTAACTTTCTGTCAGTTCTGTAACAAATTCTAAATTTAAGTAATTTTTTTTGTGGTGGTCGTAGAAAAAGTATGGTATGCCACACGTGTATAAACTTCTCTAGACATTCGTTTTATTAAACACTCGCTCCGCTGCGCTTCAATCGTGCCTAATAAAACTCATGTCTAAAGTGGCGTTTATAGCATTTGTTACATAATTATATACTATTATGCATTTGAAGAAAAAATAGTAAATTTCACTGAAAACAGAAAGATTTTTTCGTGTTTCGCTAACGCCTCGACTGCAAACGTTCGCTCAACCGAATCCCAAAGGGAATGAAATTTAAATAAATTTAAAACGCGTTTGTTTTACTCAGTTTTACTATTACAAAGTTTTTGCAAGTCGCTTAGTTTAATTCGTTAGTCAACGTTTTGGTTACTTTTTAACATTTAATATGTCTTTCAAGGGCGATATGCATATTCCGTCAATTCGTTTACGAAAACGACTTATTTTTTTAATTCTTTGCAATAGCCATTTGTCATAATACGTAAAATTTTTGAACGATTTGCAAAAACTCTCTAATATTTAAGTGTTAAAGCGAGTATGTTAAAGTTGAAAACATAAGCAGAGTGGCGCAGTGGAAGCGTGCTGGGCCCATAACCCAGAGGTCCGTGGATCGAAACCACGCTCTGCTACAACCTTTTTTCTTTGTGAAAAAAATGTATTTACATAAAATAATAGATCCAAGTTTTTTAACCTCAAATAAAAGAAGTAAAAAAAATATACAGGGTGTTTCACATAACTTTACGAGGCTTGCGCCTAATGTACGCACCCAAATATACAAAAATCACAGAACACTGGATACAAAAAATACACATTTAATTATTTAATTTTTGGAAACTCATGACAGTAGTTGTCAAACTAATCACTGTTTCATTAATAGTCATAAGCTGCAGTTTTTCAGAAACAATTATCATTTGTTCTATCAAGAGACGGCATGAATATGATTGCAGTTTATCTATCTTAATCACTAACTAACTAAAAACATTGTAATTTTTTAAAGGGTGAACAAACTAGAAAAGATTATCCAATTTTTCAAAATTTGTAATCGAGTTCGTATCGGAATATGTATTATTGATTGCATCTTACAGGAGCAGGCCTCGTAAAATTACGTGAAACAGCCTGTATACACCGGTAGACATAAATATTTTGTTTTCCGTGTTTAAAAAATTGTCAAGCGGAAAAATTTGCTTTATCGCATAAAACACTAATTAATTAACCTTTTTACGTCTTAATTTATTTCCGGCCACCATGACAAATGTTTTTTTTTTAAGAATTTAATATCTTTTCATTTTGCAAGAAAAAATTTGCATAACTTAGATCATCACACAAGGTGGGGCCCTGAAAGTGTTATATTAGATAATAACAATGTCGCTAATTTAAGTGGTTGTTTGTCAACCTTCAATTTTATTTTTTTCACAAATATTAAATAAGGTTAAGATTTTATTTAGGTGGTTCAGAAACGGCAAAGATAAACGGAAATTTTCTCGCTACCATCCTTACTTTTTTATTCATTGTTTAAGTTATTATTTCAAACACTAAAGTTGGGCAATTTAATTGGCAAATAAACCATTTAAATATTCCACATTTAGACTTGGAGCATGCTTAAATTAGGTGCTTAAATGTAAAGTAATTAATACATTTGTCTTGAAAATTTGAATGTATAGAAAGTAATAATTTAGCATGTTTATATTGGCAACTAACAATACACTAAATGACTAAATCATAGACTGTTCTTTAAAAATTATGACGCTTATGTTTAATACATAAACAGAAAATCAAGAATAGAAAATTATTGTTGATTAGTATATTCTACCAAAAATTACAAATAATTCAATAGTAAGTTTTAAAATTAAATTACAAAAAAAGAACAAAATCTATAAAGTGTGGGTCACTGTTGAAAATGCTTAAAATTTATAGATATTAAATTGGCAATAAAAATATTGGGCTGAGGCCCCGGGGGGATTCGAACCCCCGATCTCCTGTTTACTAGACAGGCGCTTTAACCAACTAAGCCTTCAAAAGAGACTTAAACCGGTTATCTCAAACAGTATTTAATTGTATTAAAATCCACGATTAAGAAATAGTGCTTCTGTAAATAAAATAATAAAAAAATAAATGATCAATATTTGAACTTTAGAGTCAAAGAAATATTTTTTTTGGCCTCCTGACATGTAAATGTCAAATTAACGTACAATTGACACCTATTGAAAGACTGTATTTATAGTCGCCTGGGTATTTTACGCACGGACGTGTGTAAAGTGACAGTTTTACCACACAGCCAAAATTATCTTCATAGACATTTATAAAAAAAAAAACTGTTTGTAAGATGATAACATTTTTAATAAAACGCTCTACACACAACTTTTCAACTCCTTTTTCTTCACACCACTTTATTATTATAAACACATTGTACTGGGCTTCATACCTTACACGCGATTTTTCGGGCAATAACTCGGTTGTAACATTTTCTGCAGTACTTCTGATTTCTGGTGGGGTACACATGGGGCTATTATCGCTCGACATTTTGAAGCATAAAATCACCACCAAGTCAACGATAACAAAACTTTTTTAATTGTTTGACATTGGAGAGCATAGCCACTGTGATATTTATTGTCAAACGTATTTATTTGTATTAATTCTGAATTTTGTAATTTTGGATTTTTGTTTAAACGTCGGCTAAAAAGCTTAATACAAATCTTGTGCGTTAACGCTGCGCGTCGTGCTTCAAATTCATTTCGCACTGTAAAATGTAAGTTTCCGCACACGAATGTAAATAACTATTTTCATTGATCTAAAAATAAATGTGTTGTTGATTTCAATTCTTGTAATTTCTTCTTTTTACGACGTAAATTAATTAAATATTTCTGTAAACGGAACTATAAAAACAAACATGATTATAAAATTTTGCAAAAATTGCAATAACTAATGCAACTTGTGTCAATATTGCATACCTTTCACTAATGGAGTATAGCTATCTTTACGTGGAAAGGTTTGCTTTACTGATTTTTTACAACAGTAAGGAACGGTTTTTAGAACGAAGAGAGCAAAGTACAAAAAATAGTATAAAAAACCCGTTTCATAAGAGTTTGAAGCACTTATTATTTAAAATAACTCGTAACGTCGCCACTCATAGTTTTTTAAACTTGAATTCGTGCTTCAAAACTGGTCTTATAGTATGAAACTTATTTTTTAAAATATACTGGCTGTCCTAGGCACGTTTGGATATAGGAAATTAACATGGAAAATTAGTTTTTACTTATTTCCAGCTGCAGGAGTAACAAAAATTAAAATCTGATTAATGGAGCTTGTAGTGCTCGAAAAGAGCTACCTTAGCGACATTTTTGTTGATTCTCCAATTAACTCCATTTGGGCGAAAAGGGTCTTCGAAAAATCTAAATTTGAATTTGCCGGGTTGGCGTTACTAAGAAACGAACTACATATCAAGTCAAATTCTGACAAATTCTCTTTTGGCAACAATGACTTGATAGTTCGTTTCTTATTAAGGCTAACCTGACAAATTCAAACTTAAAATAAAAATGTCTATAAGATAGCCCTTTTCGAGCACTACATGCTCCATCAATCAGATTTTGATTTCTGTTACTCCTGCAACCGGAAAAAATAAAAACTAATTTTCCATGATAAATTGGTTAAGGTTTGCGCGGCCAGTTTATGAACTGGACTAGTCCAACATCGGAGACGGAGATAGAAGGACCTCTAAAGAAGCTCGCCACTCGTGCTAGCGAAACGTTAGGAAGCAATTCCAACCGACGACGGCTCTTAGACCGAAACCAGAACAACACCATCAGTTCACTAATTTCCCATGTTAATTTCCTATATCCAAGCCTGCCTGGGACAGCCAGTATATAAAATACATACTTTTTAACAATGTCCTTCAAACATTTTAATTATACAATATTATTAACCAAAATATTTTGATTTGCCTAAAAATTTTGAGAAAATTACAACTTTTAAAAACTCATAAATTTTAATAAGACTTCTTATTATAATTATGTAAATATTTTGACAATTATTATTTTACGTAATTAATCAACAATCTTGTCTAATAGTCATGCAAATTTAATAAAATGCACAAAATCCAAATCGTTATAATATATTAACAAAAAGGCCAACAAATTACAAAAATTTTTAAAACATCATTTATGTTTATCCCTAAAAAGTAAGTAATGAGGTACTGGAAGCGTTGTGGAATCTTTAAGCAACATATTACTCTCCTGTTCCTTAATAATCCTTTGCAACCTGTCGATTTCTTCAATGTGCTCTTGTTTCATTGTCTCCATTGCTTCATTCTGATCCTGAATGCGTTTCTCAACAGTGCTCAACTCCTGCCATGCGCCTCTTTGAACATCCTAAAACTAAAAATGTTAAATGTTCAAAAATATGTTCTTATTAAAACACACCTTCAATTGATTTCGCAAAGTATCCATCCGTGTGGCAATATCACACCCAATTTTTTTCACAGCTTTATTTTCCTGCTGCCTTTGATTGAGAGCTTTCAGCAGGGTTTCCTGCTCGGCCACTAAATCCTTCGCAAAATTCATAGCTTTATTGAGCTGCTTCTTGCACGCACTTTTAGCAAATTGAACCTCGCTCAAATTATGTTCCAACTCAATATATTTTGCTTCACCTTTTCTGAAATTTTGAAAGCTGTATTTTTGACGTCTATAGCCCTAAAGTACAACTTTATCTGTTTTTCCAAATGTTTGACCATATTCTCAAGCTCCTCCTTTTCCTTCAAGTTTTGCGAAATTTTCTTTTCAAAATCTTCAATTTGCTTAGCTTGAACTTCGATATTTTCTTTAAGTTTAATTTTTTCTTGCTCGTACTGATGCTTCAATTCTTCGTACCACCTGCAAACAACCAAAGACAAAATCTAAAATTGACAAGTTGACTAAAAGTACTTTTTACATTCGTTCACACTTGAGGTGTGAACCGACAATGGAATATAATTTTGCCTCTCATTTTTAAACTCATCCTGAGCATCCAATAACGCTTTGTTTTTTTCTTTCAGAGCAGTAACTTCGGTTCGACTTTTACAATACTGGTCATGAACAACCGAATAATCTCTCTTCATTTGTTCAACTAAAATTCAGTTATTAAAAACCTACAACAAACTCAAAAATTGCTCTCACCTTTATATTCGTAACACTTCAAAACCTCCTCTAGCTTATCCTGCTTTAGAGCACACTTTTTAATTAAAATATCGTTCTGATCTCTTAAATCTTTCAATTCCTGTTTAACACTGTCCAGTTCAATTTTTAATTTACTGCTACAGTCGTTGTCTTCAGTGAGACTTTTATGCAAGAGGTCGTTTTCCTTAATAACGTCTTTAAGTTTTCCGGTAAATTCAAAAATTTCTGCTTCGTAAGACTCAATAATTTCATCTTTTTCTGTTATTGTGTCTTGATAGGCGTCCAAGAGAGGACCTAAAGTATGTGAATTGACTTTTCCCCAAGAGATGGGTGTATGGGAATGGTCTTTGTGCAGCTCAAATATGTTAGGGTCGTGACCATCGACTACTGGAATATTGTCAAGACTTTGGTGTTGAGGAGTAGAGTTTTGAGCAACTTTTACGTTGAGTTTCCTTAATTTTTCTTGATAACGTTCCATTTGGACGTTCAGTCGGTATACTACAGTTTTGAGCATGTTTAGATCTTCCTCTAAATTCTTCTTAGAAGTTTTCAAAATCGTATTTTCTTCGTTTACTTTTTGAAGAATCTGTTTAGACTCTTCACATTTTTGACAATGTTTGTTAATTTCAAACTGCAGTTTCAAGTCTTCAAGAGTAGTCAAAAGATCTTGAGAGTAGTCTTTGAGTTGGATATTCTCTTTGCTTAATTCGTCATTAGTGTTTTGTAATACTGAAATCTTCTCTTTAAGTTTAAGAATCTTCCTCACGCTCATTTCTTCAAGTTCGTTAAACTTCACAACGATTTCTTCATTTTCTTTCACAAGACGCGTATTTTCCTTACTTAGGTATCTCCGACTGACTTTCTGCGACACCGAATCGACGTCTTTTGGTGACTTATCTTCTCTATTTTTGTACCTTTTAGAATGAAAATTGGCACTGTATGTCTTTTTAGTTTCAAGATTAATTTTAGAATCATCGTGTGTTTTATGTACTGGAACTTCTAATTTTTTTCGTCGTGGTTTTAAAGGCGGAACATCAGTCGACATTGTGCTAATGTTAAAGAAAAAAGACATTTATTTGACCATTTTTCTAAAAAATAAACCAAAGCTTTCTAAGTGTGTCTGTAATAAACATGTCATCAAAATTGTGAGTCATACAATCGTGAAAATCGATACTCTTCAATGGAAATAGAATATACAACTTACCGTTTATTTTGTTTGCCAACTATTGACTTAACAATCCACAAAGATCAATAAGTAACACCTTTAAGGCACTAAAAGTGGGTATTAGTAACACGATGGTAGACATTTGTAAACAAACTTTCAGATTGTTGTCAGTCTAGTTGGCATGGTAATTATTTAAAACACGCGCTTGAATTTCAACGTTACAGGGAATTGTGCTAAGTTTAGTAGTTCTTTACTAGATGGCAATAATAAGCTGCTCTAGCGGCAATGTTCTCTTGTTTGCAATATTTTTTATTCTTAATTTATAGTTTATTAGGGGACCGACGGGTAATTGAGCTCAGCGGTCATTGGCGCTCATGTTATTTTTGACTTATTTGAGTATTATTCGAATTTGTTCATGGACCGCCATCTAAGTTTATTCAGCAGTGAAATATTCGAGTGGTGTTGTCCGAAGTGTTTTGCGTACTGCTGTTATTACTTCACTTTACATTTTTTGTTAATTAAAAAAATAGAAATACTGCATCTACACTTGTTAATTACAACGTTATTAACCATTTTTGATAAATATCCGTCTTTGAAGTTATGTCAGTGTTTTTAAAACTTCAACACAAACTAGGCAATTGCGCTTAGCCCTTAGCCTGAAATATGCCTTTTTTGCAAAGAATTTGGTAAAAATGCGCTATGGTGTAGGTGTTCTTGTGGAAAGTGGATTCATGCAAGCTGTTCAGGGGCTGATCGTGCACATGGATATATGTATTTGTGATTATTGCAAATAAAGTTTAAAATGTTAAATTGTTATCGCAAAGTAAAATTATTTTTTAAAACGAAATATAATCTTCTCTTGAGTTATTTATTAATATAGTTTAGTTTTTTACTTTTTTGGTGTGCATTTTAAAGGACCTAATAGTTAACTTGTTTCAATTTACTTACTTGAGCGGTACTACCCTACTCAGTTGGGCAATGACGCTCTTTGGGCGTTATTGTAAAATATTTTTTTTCTACATGTTTGACTTTTATTTTGAGAATTTTTTACATAGAGTTGGTTTCTCTGCATTTCAGGCAACCGCTTGGCGAAAACAGAACCATAGAATATTATTATTTCTCTCAAAATATCAATTTAAATTTCGGTGAGATTAGTTAAGTAGGTATAGCTTGTTCCAAATCTGGTGGCGAAGTGACGTTGTCAAAAATGACTAAATTTTGACACTATGTTTACTATTAAAAAAAATATTGTTCATAAGCGTCGTATGAAATAATATTTCAAAACCACTGTTATTCTTTAAAAAAATATAATAAGTAGGTACTCGTACATAAGATGAAGAATGATGAACAAATTATTAAATTGTTAACGCATGAAAAGAATTTTCAAAAATGATATTTATAACAATCCTTGTCTTCAACATTTTTAAAGAAAAAAAGTACGCCCATCTATTTTTTATCTTAACCAAGTGGGCGCACTCCAAGTATCTTTTCTGTCACTGTCAGTTCGCCACCAGATATGGAATAAGCTCTATTTAACGTAGGTATTATTGTTATTAAAGTAAATATTAATTAATTTTTTTTCAAAAAAAAAACTTAAGATATATTCACTTTTGTGGAGTTTTTCATTTTTGGTATCGACAGTATAGTCTGATAATGATTAATAGAGTTTTTATCTCATAGGTTATTTTTTTCTTTCTTCAGTGTGTCTCATTTTCCCATCTAAGAGTTTCACATCTAATATCTCTATTATTTGCCAACGGATTCTAACGAAATTTAAAATGTACAATAGTTAGTAGGTAAATTACTTAAAATTGAAATTGTTAATCGCCATTTGCTATATGCAAATATATGTTTTCAAAAAGAATCCCGCTTACAAAAAAAAGTGCTCATTGGTGCATCAAATGGTTCTAAAAGTTGTAAGTTAATTTAGGTACCACAGGTTCTCAGAGTTGTAGAAAATAGTACTTGGAGCCCTTAAACTATTGTTTTAAAGTTGACTTTGATAAAATTCTTTAAAAAATTAGGTCAACATTTTAATAACATAATCAACGTTTGCTGCTGATTCAAACGAGTGATGTAATAATTTTTTGCGTCAAGATCTATTTTTTATAATAAAAATAATTTTGCTTAATTTTAAATTGAAAAAAATATGTGTTAAAATTATTTTTTCTCGTGAAGTAATTTTTTAATACTATGTAATTGAATTTCCATCTTCTAAGTTATTTACATTTCAATTTCATTAAAATCATTTGACAAAGATATTAGATTCGAAAGTCTTACGTGGAACACTTTGTATACCTACAGGATGAATAAAAAGTATGGAAGTAGTGTTTTTAGAAAATTATAATTAATATAAATTAAAGTACCTACAATAAAAAATTTGATCATATTTTGAAAATAAAATTTTGTTTTGTTTTTGAGTTAAGTATACGATTTTTTCTCAAAATAAACATTAATTTGTTTTCTATAAAAGTTAAATAAAATGTAGGTATCTGACTATAATAGCCTTCATAAATAAAATGATTATATAGTGGGTTGCCATTTACAAAAATAAAAAAGAGTTAAAATCAAAAATCAAAAAAATAGAGTTTAAGCAACTGATGGTTCCGTTCTTTTTATTCACCTGGTATAATTTCCGCTATCGATTCTTATTTTATATTTTATAATTTTTTACTTACGTAAAATATGTAACATAAATTTAAAATTTTTTGCATAAAAATCATTGTTAATGACAATTTTAGCAACTTACCACAGATAAGGTTTGAAACTTTGTAAGGAAATTTTTAAAATATTTTTAAAATTTTTGATAACACTAAAACAAAGATTTATTAGTTATTTTGCAAATTCTAACCTTGTACAACAATGAATTTATAAAATATGTCTCTAGTCTTAACGATAAGGCAGCACAAATTTAGCCAATTTTGTAGTAACACGTTGGTTTTAAAGATATAGTAAAATGTGTAAGTAGAAAATCTATTTAAAAAATTAATTGTACATTTTTATTATTAGTTTTACTATTAACTACAATTCTCTTCATTGCTGAGTCTATGGCTAGCTCAATAGACCCCAATTGTGACTACTACCAAGACATGCAAATAGGTCAGGAATATTTTATTTATAACAAGGAATATCCCAATAATTATGGTCCGTCAACGGCTTGTCGTTGGTTAGCTAGAAGCCCTGAAAATACTGTTATTGTCTTAAGTTGTAATGAAATGAACGTACCTCCTGTAAGTATTTTTGTATTACAAAAGTAAAATAAAATCAAATTTCAAACCAGTCATCCAACTGTCATAATGATAAACTCTTGTTTTCACTCACTGGAAATGAAAATTTCGAAGATGGTCAACATTATTGTGGTAATAACATTTTCAGTACCTACACACAAAGTAATTCTTTATCAGTTGGTAATTTATTTCTCCATACATTTAATAAAAACTCCACCAACAATTTTAGGTTTATTTTCAAATGAAAACAGTCAAGGTGGTGTATTTCTTTGTTCTTTGGCAGTGATGCGTTTGCCGAAATCTGAATGTTCCTGCGGTTTGCAACAAGAAGTAACAATTTAAAAATGATAGAAATTGGTTTATTTGGCCAAAGACTAAAATTGTAGGTGGACAAGAAACTGGTGTTAATGAATTTCCCTCAATGGCGGCTTTAATTAATCCTTCGACTAGTGAAGCTTTCTGCGGTGCTTCTTTAATTACAGATAACTACGCCGTAACTGCAGCTCACTGTCTATTGAACAATAAACCTAATAATTTGGCCTTGTTGGTCGGGGATCATAATCTAAACACTGGTATATAATTAAAAAGAAATACAAAAACATTGTTTTGTACATATTTTTAGGATCAGATACTGCAAATGCGGCTTTGTATCGTGTGCAAAGTATCGTTCAACATCCCTCATACGACTCTCAGTCTAGACACAACGACATCGGAGTCGTCAAAACTGAGCGCAAAATGGAATTAAATGCTGCTGTTTACCCTATTTGTCTTCCTTTCTACTACGGTGGTAATAGTTTCGTTAATCAAGAAGTTACAGTTCTAGGTATACAAATACATCTAACTTGCAACGCCACTGGTTCAATTTTTTTTTTAGGTTGGGGCTTTACAGATGTTTCCGGTCAGAAAGCAGACGCTTTGCAAAAAGTTGATCTGACGATTGTTGATAACAATTACTGCGATTCTCGCATAGATGAAGAAATTTGGTCAACTCAGGTTTGCACTTACACTCCTGGTAAAGATTCATGTTTCAGCGATTCTGGGGGTCCTCTATTATGGAAAGGTTCAGTTTCTCAGAGTGGCAAATTAGAATTGGTTGGGATTATCTCGTACGGAGTTGGGTGTGCAACTTCAAAACCAGCTGTGAATACAAGAGTTACAGCTTTTCTGTCATGGATTGTTTCAGTGTGCAGCGGTAATTTATTTAAAACTAGTGAAGTAATTTTCTATTATATAATATGTTGTAGATGCTGCTTTTTGTATTTCTTAGTTGCAAATGTACATTTTGGTAAAATAAACAATATCAAACAATACACTTTTTGTTTTATTTACTTATCTATGAGTATATGTATGTATGTTTACCTATTTATGTACATACAAGTCATAAAAAAGGAAATACACAAAACCTAAAAAGATGAAAGAGACAAAAAATAAAAAATAAAGAAAGTTCATACATTAACGATGAAAACCAACGTTGAAAATAAATATAAAACAACAAAACATTATGGCTATCAAAATAAACAATAATACTGTTTTTAAAAGGCAAGATTAGAAAAACAGATATCTATCTGTTCTACTAAGTACGTATTTTGTAATGACAGCCTAATAGCAAGCTTTTAAAACTTTTACATTTTTTAAGTGGGGAACAATGTATTTAAAGCGGTTTTTTTTCAAAAACAAAAGTTTTTGTTTACACAAGACGAAATATGCAAGGTATGGTTATTATTCAAGTTGTTAAAATTTTGCTACAAACTACAATTTTCTCTTAAATTTTATTCCTTTTTTTTACAACTTCTAAGGTCTAAGATTTCATTACTACTTCAATTACTGATAAAGTACCTCATTATCTCACAAGCAAAATATATTTTATTGTTTCTCCTCAATTTTGCAATTTGCTTTTCCTTGTATCCTGGTAACTGTTCTCCTATAAATCAACGACCGATAATGCAAAATCAATAAAAGCAATAGCAACAAGAATTATTGAATACTTAAAGCACTAGATTTTTATAGAATTTGTTAAATAAAAATGACCAAACGAACAATTTATTAATAAGGAAAAGCCTGTTTAGAAGAAAACTTTTAAAACCACCAAATTGTTTTATTTGTCAAAGATAAGAATCAGACTTTCTGATAACAAAAATAACAAATGCTATATAAGTTTTATTACCGTTTAGTTCACGTTGCAAAAACGGTATTATCACTCTGTAATAACAATAATTATGTTTTTCTCATAATGTATTTTTGTTGATAGTTGCGTTAGTAAATACAAAATGTGGTGTGAGTACAACTTTTATTTAATTTCTGTTTTACGTATAGGTATTACATTTAAAGTAAACCTTTTTTTAATATCTCAGTATAATTTTATGCAAACCTTTTGTTATTTAATTGTAGGCTTAATATTGATTATAACTTTTTATCTAAATCTTAGGTGATAATTTTAAATCCACTTAATTTTTTTTAAGAATCCTAAAGTCTGTTATTATTCAGGCTGGATTATGAAAAACGCCCCAAGCCATAACTCCATTATTTTTAAAGGTATCACAATACTTTTTAGAACAAAGTTGTACAATTTATCATCATCTATTTTTTAGGATAGAAGCTCAGTTAATGTTGCTTCTTGGAATAAATGACATCAATATCAGTTTTTTGAATGGAACACCTTGTTTATTTTATTATTTTTGGATTTCTCATTAAATTGTCTTTCAACAAGCTCACTACTTGTTATTTATTACCAACTTTGTTTTTAGACAATTTAAAAGTTAAATAAACTAAAATAGGGTGTGAAAAGAATAGAACATTATTATTCATTTTATCTATAAAGCAAGCAAACGACTGATAACAAAAAACTATTCAATTTTACTTAAAAAGTCTTTGAAAGAATGGAATTTTGGCTCGGTACGTTTTTTATAATTCCGCCTGTATAAATAACGTTTTAAACGAAAACTGAAATCACATACATATCTGTTGATACTGAAAATATTTGAGTTTTGACAAATAAAATCTAGCATAAATATGTATCTATGTAAAAAAAAATGTTTCAGACAAAAATCTATATCGAGCCATGGGTTTTGCCACCCTTTTCAACTTTCTGATAGCAATTTCAATGGCTGTCGATCCAAATTGTGACTTTTACCAAGAAATGGAGTTGGGCCAAAATTACTACATTTATAATCCGGGGTATCCAGATTACTCCGGACCACCAATTGCTTGCCGATGGGTTGGTAAAAGTCCTGTTGGCACGGTTATAGTTTTAACTTGTGAAGATATTGATATACCAACTGTAAGGCCTTAGTTTGTAATTTTTTTGTGATGTAATTTTCTTGTAGTCTTACAATTGCTTCAGCAATCGGCTTTCTGTTTCCCGAACCGGAGATGAAAACTTCCAAAAACAGACCACAAATTATTGTGGAAAAACGGCGACTACAATTCTGACAGAAGATAACTCTATTGCAGTTGGTCTGTTTCATTAGTTTCAAAAAAAGTCAATTTAACAAAATTTTTAGGTTTTTTTTTGACAAATTCTCTTAATGTAGGGCGTTTTTCTTGTTCATTGACTGCAATGCAAACAGCACCTCCTACTACAACAACGGCACGACCCAACACATGTGACTGCGGCTGGAAAAAAGGGGTAAAAACTATTTGTAGCAAATGATTGCAAAATAACACTTCTTCAAAGACTAGAATTATTGGAGGACATGAAACCGGTATTAACGAATACCCATCAATGGCCGCTATGGTAGACCGATGGACTTTTGATGCTTTTTGTGGTGCGTCAATTATTTCAGATAGATACGCCCTAACTGCTGCGCACTGTATCTTACGTAAAACACCCGAAGATTTTGCTTTGCTAGTAGGAGACCACAATATGACTTCTGGTAGTTTTCCCAACATTTAAAAAGTTTTCCCAACTTTTGGGTTTGTTACAGGCGATGATACACCTTATGCCGCAGTATATAAAATTTCAAATATGATTTCCCACCCTAACTACGACCAAAACACCCAAGTTAATGACTTGGCGGTATTGCAAACTGAAAAACCGATTGAATTCAGTCTTTTCGTAGGCCCTGTTTGTTTGCCTTTTAGATACACGTCGGTCACTTTTCTCAGCCAAACTGTTATTGCTTTAGGTAAAAATTTCTTATGATTTCAGATTAAAAAAAATTGTTTATTAGGATGGGGTTTCATCGATGTCGCTGGTCCTAAATCTGACACTCTTCAAGAAGTCGATTTGACTGTAGTTTCTACAGAAGAATGCAACGCTACTATTACGGACAACCCTGTGACCTATCGCCAAATCTGTACGTATGCACCTAATAAAGATGCCTGCCAAAGTGATTCTGGAGGACCTATTCTTTGGCAAGATCCAAATACAAGAAGATTACAACTGCTTGGTATTATTTCTTACGGAATCGGATGTGCAACTTCTAGACCAGGAGTTAATACAAGAGTTACATCATATCTCAGATGGATTGTATCAGTTACTGAAGGTATGTATGTAAAGTTTGAAATCTGTGTCTCATTTTTCATTTTTAGATGCCTTCTACTGTATCAAATAATACTCGTACAACAATTACCAAAAAAATAAACACTATTTAATAAAGAGTTATAGAGCAAATTTTGTGTTTTTTATAAGCTTGTAAGAGGTGGCGCCACCAGTTAAAAATTCCGTGTGTTTATAGGTCGACTTAGTAGATAAATGTCGACATAAGCAAGACAACTTCAGTTTTAAACAAACCGAAGTCCATTGCCTACCATACAACTTACACATTGATCTTTGCAATGATGCCACTTGAAATTTAAACTCCAACCCCAAGTCCAATTTCCATCTCTATTCCATCCACTGCGCCATATTGCACCATCGCCTTCCCGATCGATCGCATGGAGGCGTATTCTGACGTCACTATGACGCCTCTTCGACGTTCATTTTGCTCTTCAGCTACGTTCACATCGGTGTACGGATTCTGCGTCGTGGGCGTCGCGACGTCGTCTCGGGAATGCCAAACAGTTTTGGGGATTTTAGTGCGTGGGCGATAGATGAATGGAGAGTTTTAATCAATGTTGCAATATGAATGTTTATAATAATAATACGCAAATTGCTATCTTAAATTTAAGAGTTGGTCAGAATAATTTAGATGATTTGCTTGAAATGGAGAAATAATTATTTTAAGAGGTTATTTTAGTTATCAATCGATGCATTCTGTTTACATAATTAACTAGCCGATTAGTATAGACCTATTTAATTAAATAAACTACAATAAAAACAAAAAAATTGACTATGAAAGAAATTCTACAAAATAAATTTTTTACTTCAAATTCTTAACTATGACTACAATAATGTTTTTAGATTAATAATAAACATAAAATGTGTTGTTTCTTCCTTTCCCTTTTACTTTTTATCAAGCAAAATGTTGTAGATATTTTAACTTTAGTTCAAATTTTAAGTTTATGTTTCATTATAAAAATTTTCTAAATCGATATCTGTAACTTGCACAAGGTAACGTTCTCATACAAAGGTCAAAGTTTAACTTTAGTGATATAAAAGCTTTATGCAAAAGTAAAAAATATAAAATGTTTGAACAGTAAAAGCAATTGTTGGATATTAAAAATAAACCCTACATGTGACTTATTTTTTTTTGTTTGACTTGCATCATCTGATTGAGGTCAGGTCAGATCAACAATTAGAATTAAAAAAATTAAATATCTGAGATATTATCTTAATTTTATTTTTGTCCAACGTCCTATTTCTCTGGCTAAGAAAAAAACATTTAATTAAAGTCAACGCTGAATAAACCCACAGCTGTTCTTGACAAAAAGTTATACAATGTGTGACAGAGATGAGTATTAAAAAAGTTTAGGTTTCGTACTAAAGTCAATACTCGTTAATTTAACAAAGAAAATTTACCACCAAGCAAAATTTTTAGAAAAGGGCCAATTTAAAAAAGCTTGTCCTCTTTTATTAACTGCGAACCGGATTTGAGAGCAATGGATAAGCAAAAGTAAATGTAGTTTCGAAAAAGGACAAGTCAGAATTTAAAAAATCCATTTGAATGCGATGGTGAAAATGTTAAAATTTTTACAATTTTGATATATTATTTTATTCTTATTGATTTTGCAAACCCCGGAGCTTTGCCTAAACTATCTTCCTGAATTAGGTCGGGAGTTAAGCTCTGGATCGAACCTGTGCAATAATACATTATTGATTGTTCTCGTCGTGCCTTTGCGGTCGATTCCGGTACGAATCGTGTTCCCGGACCCAGACATCGAGAGAGCTTTTGCGTACATCCGGAACGCTCCGGGAGTGGTAAAATTCCATTCTCTAGCAGGACAGGTGCAGCCTGAAACGGATGTTTTAATATTTCAGAACGAAGCTACAGGCGGTCGTTTCAGGTTACATCCTCGTAAATCGACCCAAGCCAGAAACGGCTCTAAATTATTCCGGTCAGAAATATTTTAACACAAACGAAAAACAAAATCTAAATTTATTTATCGTATATCAAAATGCAGCAATAAAGTGCAACATTTTCTTTAAAGCAGTCATAAAAATCCAAAATTATTACACATTTAATAGTTAAGTAAAACAAAACGTAAATTTGTTGTAATAATTTATATTATGTTTATCCATTCGTATGTATTAACAACTTTAATAAATTGTTTGTCTTTAAAACAAAAAGACAATTTGTTAAATTATTTTTGAAGTCACCTGGTTGAACTTGTGATAATTTATATCTATGAAAATCCTTTTACATTCCTCCCTTATGTACATAAATTTCCACCGATTCGTCCTTACTTGTGTCCTAATAATTTTACTCAAAACTGTTTTCTGCTGAAAGCTCGTTTCAGGACGAAACTCTCCGAACAATCCTCTCATGAACGCCTCAACATTCGTTGGTTCAGTCTGCCGGCAACGTTCCTCTGTGCTTTGATTTCGCTGCTTTTTCTAGAGTTGAAAATCGCTTGAAGCACATGTCTTATCGATCGAGCCATTCTGCTGAAGCCATGGGTTAAAACTGTCCAGTCGCAAAGTTCACGTGTGTTGTAAGTTTCCAGTGCTTGTACGAACTTATGTCAACAAAAACTCCGGAAATGACCCGGAACGGCCACGAACTAGCTCCACTCAACACCCGGAATGGCCCCGAAGGGGGCAAGCCGGGTGTCACCATCGTGCTGCAGGGCCCTCGAGGCTCGATCATCTCCAGGGGAAGCGCTCCCATCGACCAGGATCCGGATAGAGCGGCGTGGTCCGGAAAAATGCAATTCTTTTTGTCAATTATCGGGTACTCGGTGGGATTAGGGAATATTTGGAGGTTTCCCTATTTGTGTCAACAGAACGGCGGAGGTAAGTCACACGGAGCACCACGCGAATTTATCATTTATGGAAATAACAAACTATATTGTATTTAAATTCAAACAACTTGCAAATGTCAATATAATTTGTGTGAAATTTGCAATTTTGTTTCGATAATTCCACCGTGTCTTGTTACAAAACTACTGTTTATAAGTCTTTAAATTTATTTTTAAGTCTTAGATTGTGCCAATAAAATTCGATCGAATCAAGGACGTTCAATTCAAGGAACAAAAATAAATTTAAGCGTTGGGAAAATTAGAAGTCGCTAAATTATTGCACTAAACAATTTATTGTTTGCACTGTGTTCGTTTATTTTAACTTTTGTTTAAAAAATGTTAACTTTATATTAACACGAATATATCGATATTTTTGTTTTTATTCTTAAAACATATTCATTCATTACCTATTTATTCTATTTTTTCTTCTCTTTTTTTACAATTTTTATACAACTGTTATTTGTTGGTAGTAATAAAATATGAGACCTTGTGTATTTCAAATTTTGTTATTTGAGTATTTTTATTCGTTTAGACATTTAAGCCATGCATTAAAAATAAAATAATTATTAAATTACAATATTAGACAAGGTGTTCAAATTTTTTTCTTCTTGTCTGAATCTCTGAGGTCCAGGTGTGCGTATTTTTGTCTTCCCCTTCACAACGGCCAATCTTGACCTTGCTCTTATTGAACTGAATTATACCGTTGATGTCTTAACAACACTTGGACCATATAGAGAATATACAGTCAATTAAAAATGTTACTAAACAACAATATTGATTAATTCGTTTAATAAAATTATCATAGTGGAATATTTGAATGCAGGTGGTAATTCATATACGATAACAAGAAACATTAGAAATATCAACCAATGAAAAATTCATTGACATCGGATTCCAAACATTTGTATTGAATCTGGAAGTTTTGTACTTCCTATATGCAGGAATTTGATCTTCCTGCTAAAATGAAATTGATTTTGACTGAGCTTCGGTCTGACGCTCTCCATCCATTGATTAAAATTTCTAGCTTTTCGTTTGACGTTGTTCTAAAAATAGGTTCGAAATAAATAATTAATATTTGGTTACAATGTAATATTTTAGTCCTACCATGCAACGATTTGTTATTATATTACATATTTTTGTAATAACTAAAAACTGTTTCCGTTAGTATACTTGCAACAAATCAATATTCCTGTCGACCTCTCATTTGCTCCTGTAGGTAACCTTTTTAAGAAATTTGAGTTATTCATGAGTTTTGCCTCTTCAAATATATTCTCAACCCTAGTTTAAAACCCTAATAAACAAAATATAAGTAAATCGTGTCCATCCAACAGTTGACTGATTTATTTCCGAAGCGACCTATTTATAAAATCAAGAAGAGCTGCTATAATTGAAGCCGCATTCCACACACTTCATATTTTTGTGTCGAAAATGTCTTTTGTTTTTCGGACGTGTTGGATTTTCCGGTGTTTTGCGACCCACATACCGTGAGGAAGGAGATTGTCCCAGTTTTCCCTATCGATTCTGAGCAATTGCGTCGTTACGACCAAACAAACATTTTACTTTTGCTCCTGCTGAGATAACGAGCTTAATCGGAATTTTGAACCGCTTTTAATGGAAAAAGAGGTAACTGCAGTGTGTAAGATACGAAATATAGAAGGAAAAACTTGCAAAGAGGTTGAAAGTTTTTCTTCTAGTGACGGTGATGAGATTAACATGGCGTTGGAGGGTAATGGATGTCTGATATGAAAGAAATTCGATTAGCAAATAAGATTTTGCAAATAGTGGTTTCAGGGAAAAAAGATATGTTTTTAAAATCTGGTTTCTTACATTAACTATTATTATTACATTAATTATTATGAAAACTCGGTGTCTTCCCAAAAACACCAAACTTAATTTTTTACACACACACATTTCGACCATCCTCGGGTGAGAACAAGAATAAAACAATAAGTCTAATGTAAATATTGTCTATAAAACAATAAGTTTTGTTTCATTCATCAAGAATGGTAATAATTACACGTATGTATTATATTAATTATTATACAGTGCTATCAAAAAGTCTTTCTATCAAGTATGCGTCCTAGTTGAGAACGTATGTTACATGGCAGTTAGTATGTTATCTAGATGTCAAAATATTATTTTATAAAAATTAAAACATTGAGCTAATTAAATTAAATTATTCTATGAAACGTCTCAAAACAAACTAAAATAAGATTTTGTTGGTGTTTATTCATAAAAATCGTTCACCACGGTTTCCTGTCATAATTTACATAAAAATATATTTTGACATTTCTCATTTGTCATTGTGACATTTTATCTTCCACAGACATACGTTATAAATTTCTACGCTTGCTTGATAGACAGACTTGTTGATCGGACTGTATTAATTATTATATTAACAAGAGTATTGTATGTTATAGCAGTACAGTATCATATTTACATTTTTTTAAAACAAAGCCGTTTAAATCTTTTTTGCGCGATTCGATTGTTTACTACGTCTGTTTCTAAGACATTAAGTTGTTGTATTTACTCGTTGCTATCCCAAACTCGTTGGTAAGTATTTTGTTTATTGTTGCTAAGTCAATAAGCATTCAAAAATGTTCTAGAAAGTCAAAATATTTTGTCGTTCTAGAACATTTCTTAAATATTTTATTAAAAAAAAAACTAACAAAAATCAATCGTGCAAAAAATGTCATAAGCATCACGGACTGACTGATCTCAGACAATAATTGAAGTCGTCGCTTTTAAAAGTTGTAGAATAAAAAATTACAATCATTTTAATTCAATTTAATTGTGAATTTGGCATTAAAAGCATAAAAATATGCTAAAAAAAGATTGAGAAATAAAACTGAAAAAAATAAAAAGTTAGATACTAATATGTATGTAGTTAATTATATTAGAAAACTCGACATTTCTGAAAGAAAATTAAAACGAATTGCTCCCACCTGTCCATAAACTGTCTCCTCGCCTTTACACAGATTAATTGGAAGCAATTTAAACCTCTATTGTGACTTATATATAACAAATCATGAATTATTTGCTCCAAGTGTTATTCAAAATTCTTACATCCAGATGATTTGTTGATAATACTTATTAAGACATATTGTACATACAAATAATAATCGATCCTCAGCTGTTATCTCAAATAGTTAATACACAGTTAATCAAGCAAATCAATTCATGGATTTACTTTATCACCCTTTATCATTGCTGTGCTAACGACAAAATCCAATTCGATTTAATTTTTACATTTTTCGGAACAAACAAACATTGACGTCCAGTCACACCTCTCCTTACGTAAAGAAATATTTCATATTTTTAGAAAAATCTACGTCAGGACTGCCACCTATAATTTTAGCCAAAAGTCCTTCAAGTGTGAAAATAATTCATGGCTTTTTCAGGTGCTTTTCTAATTCCTTTCGCCGTTATGTTGATCCTTGAAGGCATTCCGCTCTTTCTCATAGAGCTGGGAATTGGCCAGAAGATGAGATTGGGCTCTTTGGGTGTCTGGAATACTATCCATCCTTGGCTGGGTGGCATCGGAATTTCGTCGTGTATCGTCACTTTCTTCGTAGCTCTATATTACAATGTCATCATCACGTGGTGTTTTTATTACTTCTTCAACAGCTTTCAGGTGAGACTCAGTTGGCGACCTTCAAAAATTAATAAGTTTTTGTATATAGTACCCTCTGCCTTGGGAAAACTGCCCCGTGGTGAATGGCACCGTGGTCTCCGAGTGCGACAAATCCTCCGCCACCGCCTACTTCTGGTATCGCACCACACTCGACGCCGCTACCAGCATCGAAGATCCGGGGATTCCCCGCTGGTGGATCGTCCTCTGTCTACTTCTCTCGTGGATCATTGTGTTTTTCATTGTCATGAAAGGCATTCAAAGCTCGGGCAAAGTTGTTTACTTTACCTCTATGTTCCCGTATCTTGTTCTGACAATATTCTTCATCCGGGGAATCACTCTCAAAGGCGCCAGTGCAGGTTTGGCTCACATGTATACCCCCAAAGTCGAAAAACTCCTTGATCCAAAAGTGTGGCTTGAAGCTGCCACCCAAGTGTTTTACTCCTTTGGGTTGGCTTTCGGGTCACTGATCGCTTTCGGGTCGTACAACACGCCAAAGAATAACTGCGTCCGAGACGTGATCCTAGTGTCAATTTGTAATGCCTTCACTGCGATTTACGCCAGTGTTGTTATTTTCGCCATTTTGGGATTCAAAGCTGTGAGCAATGTCGACAAATGCTTGGAGCAGTAAGTTGAAAGGTTAATAAAATAAAAAAAATAATTGACAAATTTGCAGCAATATACAGTTCCTGATTAGTAATGGACATTTTGCTAAAGCAAAAGCGGTAGATATTTCGACGACGATGTACGAGGAAGCAGTTAAAAATTTAGACAATTCTACTTTGGCACAACTTCGGACTTGTTCGTTATCAGATGAATTGAGTGGAGTTAGTAAATGTTTTTTTTTTCTGATTTGCTTCTCTAACAACCCTATTTTAGGCCGCCCAAGGAACTGGTTTAGCTTTCATTGTGTTTACACAAGCCATTGTCGAGCTACCAGGTGCTCCTTTCTGGGCTGTGATTTTCTTCTTGATGCTTCTTTCTCTTGGAATTGGGTCACAAATCGGCATTTTGGAAGGAATGCTTTGTACCATCTTTGATATAGAGATCCTCAAAAGAATCAGAAAGCAATACATCACAGCGTTTGTCTGTGTCGTCTGTTTTTGCATCGGTATGATCTTCACAACAGGAGCTGGCGAATATTGGCTGAAAATGTTCGATTCCTTTGCTGCTACCATCGGATTGGTTCTTGTAGCATTAATGGAAATGATTTCTGTAATTTATGTTTACGGACACGAAAAATTTACAAAGGATATTCAAGATATGACCGGAATTAAGCCGGGGGTGTATTGGCAGCTGACTTGGAGGTTCTTAGCGCCGATTATAATGACCGCCATCTTGATTGCTTCCATTGCAGACATGGTAAAAAAGCACCCGTCGTATGAAGTTTGGATTCCTGATTTGGTACTACTGGCAATTTTATTTAAATTTTTGTTAAATTGTTTTCTTAGGGTAAAGCTGTAGAAACGGTTTATCCGGGCTGGGTTTTGGCTATAGCAGTCGCAATGATCGCTGCTGGGGTTCTCCCTATTCCAATGGTGTTCCTCTTGAGACGCTACCAATGCCTGAAGATGGATATCAACATTCACGAAGGTTCCATCAGAAGAATTGACACAACAGTGTCTACCAAAGAAATGATCACAGACGTTGATGTAAGTTTGCTTCCACTTTGTGTATTTTAACAGCCAATAATACTAACTGTGTAAGAGACCATGTAGTAGCTAACTTAATTTAATTGGTTAGGAGCAATTAACAAGTCCGGATGGACCATGTATCACTGCTACCAACACGCTCAAAAATAAATTTACAATTGGAGATTTCGAAGTTTAAGTAAGTAAATTAGTTGGATTCTGATTGGGTGGCGGTGCATGATTCCTGAAATTTTTCGGCATGTCTTGCATGTTCAGATTGTTCTGCTTGAAACTAACACTAATTTTTCCAGTTGGACGATGAAGAGGATGACGTTGATCCTTTGGGGGAGTACCACGACGATTCGGATGACGATGATGGGCCTCAAGTCAATAGCCGTCTAGAAAAAAGCTTTCGTATGGAAGTTATTGATGATTATTGAAAAGAGATGTCTTAGAATAGTTAATGAAATGTGATATTTTTCTTAGATTGAAGGCCCGACATCACAAAATCTTTCTTCCCAATTTATTTATTTTCTATTTTGAGTAATCAAAAGTGTTAAGACGTCTCTAAACAATAATCCAATTGTTACTAGCTTTAGGTTAGTTGTTGTAAACAATTGGTGTATTTTACATTGTAAATAGTGTAAATACGAGTACTTATTTAATTCCTAGAAGATGCAGATTGTGTTAAAAGAATTTATCGAATTATAGTATAGTGCCAAAATGTTGTAAACGGTATATTTTTTGCATGAGTGATTAAAATGTGATGACATGTTGTATTACAACATTGGCTAAATACTATATTAAAGCAAAGCTTGTTGATATTAGGTTAGTAGCCTAAATAAGCTTGGCGCGGTTCAAAACCTCGCCTTAGCCAATTAAGTATTGAACGAAGAAACAATAATTAATGTTTAATACTCAGTAGAATCATTTCCCATTTTCTTTTGTACTGTTCATCCAATAAACCATTTTTTTTTAATTTTATTTTGTTATCGATGCACGTTAGACCCCATTTTAAACCGAAAAATAATAAATGTGTGTGCCTGACTCAAGCTCAGTGTGGTTATTTTTCTTCCACTCGAAGAATGAATCTTTTCTCAACACACTGCGTTTGACAATTTTTGTATCTTCAATGTTTATTCTTGGAATTTTTTCAAATGTTGCACACTTTAACATTCTGCACATACCAAGAGTGTATGCCTGGTTGCATATATTCTTAAATTATTTTTTGAAAACGATTAATATAATAATAGTACAATTTATTATATCGCGAATTGCTCAGAAAATACATTTAGGGATTATTTTCTGAAAAACATTGTGACTTTAGTCGATAGAAAACATTTTCACAATAACAATTTAGGAGGGGATTCCCTCTCGAACGCTTCAGTAAAAATTTAAATTTAGTTATTTTTTAGGAAAGGTTGAATTTAGGTTCAAATAATGCAAGACTGTTGTAAGAATTGTTTACATATTAAAATTCTTATGTAACACGGAGGAAATTGTGTATTTAGAAATAAAAAAGCATGAAAATTTGTTTTTTATTTTTTTAACCATAGTGACCTTTACTACCAGCTCTGTGAAGGTAAGAATTTTGGTTGTATTGGAAAAGTTTTATGCGCTGTAACCGTAACAATGCTCCATCATCAACACCCAGTGTCACACTTTGATGATTACAGTCAAATGTGTTAATGGCCATGTAAATGATTATTGAAGCATTACACGCCTATAGGCCGACACTTTTACTGTAAAAAGCAAATACAATAAGTATTATTAGTTTTTACAGATAAATACAATTAGAAAAATCGAAACTAAAACAAACAGGCCAAAAGTTTAATTGAATATTTGCATTGCTAAACAATACTACTTCACCTTGGTTAATTATCGTTTTACAAGACCATCAAATACGATAACAAGGCTAATTCTTGCTTCCTTAAAAATTTCGACTTTTTTATGTGTGGAAAAGTTTGGTTTTCCGTCGAATGTTGTGACTGTTGCACATAATAACACTTCGATCTGTAGTAATCAACGAGGACGCTAAACGCGGACTTCAGTATCGTACCGAGTTCCGTGTAAAAAGGACTTCTTGTCCTAGGTTCCGGAAAGCTTTATGAGTTGCATCAATTTAATCTTCCGGAGATAACAAACGTTGTGCATATTTATCAAAGATTCGGTATTTTATTGAAAAGCAATGCTGAATTGTGAAAGAATCAAGACGGTGTATTTTGCCAGTGACTATTTTTCAAACGAAAGTAAAATAATGTAAAAGTGTGACAACTGTTATCGGATGGTTTTTAATTACAAGTGGTTAAATATAATAAACAAACCGTACGTATGATCATAAAAAGTGGATTTTAAATGTCAATAACTTTTAATATAAATTGTTTAACATAGCAAAGTAGTTTTGCTTAATGAAGACAACATGTGATGCTATTTATAATTATTTACGTTGGTAGAAGACGTGGTCTATGTTGGTGCGACAAGAATAAGTAATGAACTGATTAAAAATTTTAATTTTCGCTAGTGTTTATTTGATTTTTAAATAACAAAGTAATAAAAATAAGAAGACAAATTTAGACCTAAACATACAAAAAACTGTCACTTCATTCCCGTTCACCCGAAAAATTCCGCACTTTTCAGTTGACGGCCAAATAAATTAATTTTCTGTTTGTAAACTTTACTTTAGGTGAAAGCCTAGAAATAATGTTTTATTATTATTACATGTTGTAACTTATATGGGTACTCATAAATTCTCAATTAACAAATTGGTAATTATTTTAGATAACAAATTAGTAGATATGTATAGACTTTTGATGATTTATGTTGCAGTTTTTAACAAAACAACCTCGAAACGAAACTATACGTATATTTTCATTGTCGAAATTAAAATGTACAAATATGACACACAGACCTATTAAAATACGATCTAATTTGTAAAATCGTCTCAAATTAATTTGCTCACAAATCGTCCAAAAGCTTTATTGCCGATTTTCTGACACACTTTTCAATGTGATAACGGTATGTGAAGATGTAGGTACCTAATAAATGTTTGGTTTCACAACACGAAAAAGGAAAACCGGAAATGTAGTTTTCGAATTGTACAAAAAAACATGGTTAATTGGCACAGTAATATTTTGGTGTCGCTATGATTGACGTATGTAAAGTAGCTACCATTATTTCTAAACTACCCAAGGTCATGTATTTATATTTTTGTAGATCCTTATTTATAATAAAGACACGATTTCAAACAATTAAGACATAAACATGATCAATTATTTATATGAGTTCTACAAGGTTACCGCCCTCTTTAAGCAAGAAGATGATAAAAATATGTATTTTCTAACTAGCATTTAGGTGTGTCAACGAGCAAATCTACCTAATTACTGTTTTCTGTAACTTCCACGTTAGCAATATCGGCCGCTCCCAACCCCTCATGTCACACTTTTCATTTTCTTTAATCTTTATAATAAAACAAATGTGAGTCAACAATACTTCAAAAACTATTCACCAAAATACATCATGGCCATGATCTGATAAATACTGATTCACCTTGTTGGTATGCTATCTAGGATTATGTAAATTTCATTTAAGAACTCAGTTCATCAGTTATCAGAATAAATAAATTAGACAAAAAGAACCATAATTTTGCAATTAATACACGTAAGGACGTAAAAAGCTACAACTTTGACACTAACATGAAAACTACAATTTTGCAAAATTAAAAAGTACCTGTCATTATTAGAGTGTTACATTTATTAGATACGAAAGTAAATAACACGAAAACCCGCTGATAAGACCTGCTGATAAGCGCCATTAGTTTGAAGAATACTCAATTTGGAAATAGATTTTTTGACTTAGTGGGAATGAAAGACGAGCAAGTGTACGTAGATACAACAAATGTGAGTATAAAAATTAAACATTTTGTTTTTTATTATACATTGATAGTGATTTGTTTATATAAATAATTAATTATATATAAATAATAAATATAAAAAAATATAAATAATTAATTGAATCGACTGTCTTGAAAACATGTGTTTTTTTTAGATGAAACTAAAAAGCTCGCACATTGCGTGGATATTCGATCGATTACTATTTAGTTTCGTGCTGTTTACTTGTCCTCATTGCATTTGCCACAAGAATCGATAAAGTTTGATGTGTCTGTTTAATAATTGCAGTCTCACGATAAAAATTTTGTTAAGATTTACAGATCAGCGGAGACTGGAACAGGGACTGGTTAATTGGTCGAGTTAAAAGATTTTATTATTGTTATTGTCTTCAATTGGCTAATATGTAACAGCTTATGAGAAATAATCAAAAAATAATAATATTACTTAGTAAAAATTTAAAACAAATTGAACCGTATTTGTGTGAGGCAACACTTTTGACAATCTAACTATTTGCAGCAAAATAAACTTCGATTTTTACAAAGTTACAAAGTGCTGACAATATAGATTTATTTTGGCTTAAAATACAATCTTAGAATTCAGTTTACTTGGGACATCTCCGTGCCGATGATGTAAATTTAATGTTATAAAATTAAATGTTGTCACGATAAATAATCGATTAATAGTTATTTATTGTAAGAGTGTGTTAGGTTGCGTTTTATCCACGCTAGAATGTTTAACCGCGAGAACGTAAGTTCGAGCGGTTAATTTTCTTAAGTGGATAAAACGCGACTAACACACGACTGCAATATAACGTTTTATCCACAATCATAGGCCCAAATTATTCCAAACTTAATTAAAAATTAAACTGACATTTAAACGTCACGCCAAATGTGCTTTCGGTTAAACGTAGTAAGCTGTTACGCGGTGCGCTGGTCATAACAGTGGAATAAAGTTACTTTATTCCACTAGTGGATAAAGAGGTACTTGATACGCATCTAAAGTGTGGAAATATTTTAATATCCACGTTATCTATGAAATATAATGTTGGTTGCTTCAAAAATTTTTCAGTCTCATTATTAGTCGTGGGACATCCTGTACAGAGTGTTTCACATAATTTTAGGAGGCCTGCGCTTGTAAGATGCAATCAATAATACATATTCCGATACGAACTCGATTACAAATTTAGAAAAATTGGATAATCTTATCTAGTTTGTTCATCCTTTCAAAAATTACAACGTTTTTAGTTAGTTAGTGGTTAAGATAGATAAACTAGAATCATATTCATGTCGTCTCTTGATAGAACAAATGATAATTGTTTCTGAAAGCTGCAGTTTATGACTATTAATGAAACAGTGATTAGTTTGACAACTACTGTCACGGGTTTTCAAAAATTAAATTATTAAATGTGTATTTTTTGTATCCAGTGTTTTGTGACTTTTGTATATTTGGGTGCGTACATTAGGCGCAAGACTCGTAAAGTTGTGTGAAATACCCTGTACAATGAATTAATGATAATACTACATTACAATCAAAGTAATTCATGATTGTACTTGATGCAACCAAATTGAACTATTCGACTCTACTCTTTTTCATATTAATGTGCATCATGTAGGTTGTAGAAGTCTAAATGAATCTTTAATTTAAAGTCCGATTTACACAGAAAGTGTCATTAATGTCATTCAAAACAAATTTAATCACATCAACAATGACAAAAATCTTTATGTTTGCTATCCTATGTTGATTACGTTGTTAATTTTAACTATTTTTTGCTATATGGGGTACACATTTATTTGAAAAAATAATTTTTAGGGAAGATTGAGTTTAGGATTGTTTGAATTTTCGCATGGTTGCCACCTTAAAATGATCCCTTTCGATGCACATTAATATGAAAACGAGTATAGATACTCTCTTAAAACTAATTTTCCCATTGTATTTCATACAAGTTCCAATGCATTCTGCCACTATTGCGAATTGGTTGTTGCATAACCATGTTGACAACAGCTTTTATATGCGTATTGGCCAAGCATGAGCTGATCACCTGTTCCCCTGTCAGGGTTACATTTTATATTGCACCATGAATGTTTATTTTGACGGCGATAATAAGAAGCAGCAAGCAGCTGTAGTGAATTTTTTCCGGAATTTTCATTATTATATTAAACTATAAGGTATTGTTTACAATTCTCTTTCTGTTTAAAAATAAATGATTTTACATTCAATTATTGGGTCACATTTATTGCTTTTCAACTCCTTGAACAAAAACACGATTAAACGCGTCACACCAAACTTTTATTTCAAACACAACGCGTTTTAACCACAAAGTGGTCATCCTCAGGTGAGAATAAAAACTAATTTATGTTAATGCCTTATATACTAATTTTTTCGACTTTCACTTTCCCTACCCCCAACTAACAAGTAGAACGGAGAAAAGGGAATGGGGCCGTTGTCTGGATTCATAAGCTTAACTCTATTTTTAAATATTTCAAGACTCTCGAAAGCGTCAAGAAATTTACAATTATTGACTACTCTAATAATTTTTACATTAGTTTCATTGATTCTATGGTCTTTTTAAAAAAAATTATTGGGCCACACTTGATTTTTCAAATCTGTTATATCTTAAATGAGCTATATGTTCCTTAAACCTAGTGTTTGCCCAATATATTTTTAGGTTATGTAGTTACCTCCAATACGCGCTATTAGTGTGACGTCAGTGAGGTACGTGACTGTACCTTTGAAGCTACACTAATAAACATACTTTGTTACCAATGATTTTCGTATGGACGTAAAAAAAGTTTATTTCTTGAATCCTGGACGTATAGGGAGATTATGTTTCCAATGAAATAGTTGCTATGAAAAATCTGTGTCGTTTCGTAATGGTTTTAACAATTGTAGTCAACAATTCTGTAAGTTAATCTGTTCTCAGCCAGCCCTACGTCAAGAAAATCTCACATTAAAATACTTTACAAACTTTACCATTACACACATCAAATTACATATAAAATTAAAAACAATTAAAACCCCCCCTATTTGTTTATTCTTGCTGTCAAATTTCTGTGGGATCGACGGTCAAGGTCCACCGTAAGTCGTACAACAACACATGCGTACACTTTATCTACGACTGCCTAAACTGAAAAATAATTCATTTTTTGATATTGATGACTAAAGTATTTTGTCCTCCATAGTAGGTATAGTTGGTACCAACAATATTTGAGACGCATTATAGAATAAGAAATGAACTGATCTGCATTATCACTTTAATATTATTTTAATATATAAATTGCCAAATTTATGCCTGTAATAAATTAAAAGCCTACCACGAAAATTCCTGAATACGGCTCTTTTGTAAATCTTCTCCACCACCAGCAGTGAAAAATTATTACGGCCGACCCCAAAGCTGCTTAACCCTCAATAAAGCTTTGCATACGTCAATTCCAAATATTCCTGGTTACGACTATACAAATAAATATTATATACCAACATCTTTTTTGTTATCGCGGAGACTTATCCCCATTAGCGTCCTCTAAATAGGTTTTTCTGAATAAAGTAATTTTTACTACAAATTTATTAAATTTATTTCATTTTAGTATAATAAATACAATCAATAATTTTCTACTTAACAAAGTAAGTCTTAATAATATTTTTTTCCGTTAATCTTGTTAAACTAGATATGAAATAAAACACATTGTTATCGATGGTTAACAACGTATAACTTTTTTTATGAACATGTGTAATGCCACATTTAAGTGAAGTAAGGAAGCCAAAATCGTCGTTCACCTAAAAATTATGAATTTAGCGGCAGAATTTAAAGTGGGAAAAGTACCATTGGAATGATTAATAAAAAGTAGGTAAATGAGCGCACTCTGAAACGTAAGGTGGGTTTGGGATGCCCTAAAAGTACAAATAATTAATTAACTATTTAGTTGTTCAGTTTGTTACTAAATTCGAAAATATAATTTGTTCAAATATAACCTATGTATTTTTAACTGACATGCCATCAAAATATTTTAACCTATTTTTAATAAAACACGTTCACACCATGGAAAAATTGAAAAAAAACTCTAAATTTCTATTTTTTTTTATATTTCCCGTTTTTTTTTAATGTACCTGTTGTCATAACATTTAATTCATGTGTGACACCAACCCAGTGTTGGTGTTATCTTTTATCGGTTTTTATACCTTTGAACTGCTAACTGCACCGGAAATTTGAAATTTAAATCCGGTTACACACTTAAGTTGAGCAAAATAAAAAAGCATATGAAATGTAATGACAAAGTCGAATACTCGAAATCGATTTCACTTTAAAAGCACATTATAGAATTGATTTCGATTTTCTAGAGCGACATGGACGAAAAACACTTCCGAATTAATCATTTGGGGAAGAATTACAACATTTACGAATTCTTAAATAATCATCCGGGAGGCATAAACTATGTCAAACCCTACGAAGATAAAGAAGTCACACAACGGATGCAACAGACGCAACATTCGAAAGCTGCCTATTATTTGTTGAGAGAGTACAAAGATGGAGGACGTGACAGTAGTAATAAAGGTGATCAGGAAGACTTAGAAGTAATTTTTGAAAAATATTTGCAAATGAGGGCTCTATAGTGTTTGGCGGGTTTTAGGCGTTAGTGGATTGGAATAAGCCCATGTTGGCACAAGTGGCCAACTTGGGGGCGAAATACAATGAATGGGTTATATCACCAGTTGATAGGAAGCTGAGGTTGTTTGGTAACCCAATTTTGGAGAATTTAACTATAACACCATGGTATGTGGTTCCGTTGGTTTGGGTGCCAGTGATTCTTTATTTTATTACCTATGGTACTAGAAGATACGTGCAGCTCACGGAAGGTGAGTCTTTAATTATTTAAACAAAAATCAATTGTATATGTAAGAGATTGTAGCGTGCAAACTTCATAATACACAGGTATTCAAATATGATCTAATGGCTATTTTTAAATATGGGTAGGACCCGACCTAGCCTTTTTACCAAATTTAAATAATTTAGAATCAAGCGGTGCTAAAATGATAAACCAATGTTTAAATTATTTATATTTTTTATCGTTTATATAGGGTGATTCAAAAGTGTCCGACCTACTCTCGAATGATGATAGAGGACTCTCAGCCAAGCATAAAAATGAATGCAGATTCTTTTCAAGTCTTTTTTTTTTAGAGATTTTAGCTCTTTTATTTCCGATGTTGTCAGATTTAATTTATTGTTGAATTTGCTAGTTTGTTAAATGTTTCGTACACCATAAGACACAAATTAGTTATATTTTTTTTCAACAGGAACAGGTTTAATGTTATAAGATCTACACCGTTTCCGCTAATTAAGGTCAAGAATACATGATTTGAACGGCCAAAAATTTATTTTCGGAAAAGTCCACTTTGATGTGGATGATGCGACTTGTGGCCTTCAGCATTTGGCTCTATCTCTCAAATCTAAGCAGATACTGAGTGTTAAATGGAGCCATGTCGCAATAATAATCACGGACGCTAATTTAACTATAATTCAATTATTTCATAAATATGTTTTTGTAACATAACACCTTCTTCCACTTGCCCCTTTAATTTATTAGTTCTTTCATGAAATTTTTATTAAGGTCTAAGTTTTTGAGTTGGAAATATAAAAAAAAAATTGCACGTATTTGTAATTAAAGTCATACAGTAGATAATGGCAATTTTTATCTTTTTTTAGCTGAGTTAAGTAGAAGTTTTTTTTAAACACATTTGAAGCAAGTTCCAGAGATACGAGTACATTTTTTTCAATTAAAAAATTTATTTTTGCACGGTATTCCTCACAAAAACAGAGCAACGTATAATGAGTTGCTGACGTTTAGTAAAAATTTTAGAACTCTTTGCCTACGTCATACTTTTTGTTTCTCGAATGGCAATAAAATTTGTTCCAGATCAAGCCCCCTTTATACCAACAGTATTAAGTGTAGTATCAGGTGTCGTCTTATGGACCCTAATAGAGTACTCTTTACACCGATGGGTTTTCCATATGGAACCATCCGGGAAATCAAGAGTCATGATTTATGTGCATTTTGCCATCCACGGCCTTCACCACAAAGTACGTATTCACTTTTTTATTTTATTTTAAACAAATATGAATAATACCTGTACATTCCATATTCTTTCGTTTTCTTTATTTCGATTATTTATTTTGTCGCCTAATTGCATGTCTAACTCATCTGACATTACTTTTTGTTGCAACTTAACTTTGCCATGGTAATAAATGATACTTTAACGAAATGAGGTGTGATTGTCTTGTGGAAATTATATATTTTTTTGAATAATTTATTACAATCGATAGAAAAAAGTAATAATAATAATTAGGCGCTACTTTCATTATTTTCTTATCATTTTTAGGTGCCTTTTGATCCTCGCAGACTAGTATTCCCGCCATTTCCTGCCGCTATAATAGCATACATGTTTTACGAAATTTGTACGCTTTTCATCCCCGATTCGATTATTTTTTTAGTTATAGCAGGAGGGCTAGCAGGTATTTCGAAAAGATCTTTTGGTAAACAGCTGAATTTACTCAAATTTTAGGATATGTTATTTACGACATGATTCACTTTTATTTGCATTACGGTTCACCCAGAGAAGACAGCTATTTTTACCATTTGAAGCGTTACCACAATCAGCACCATTTTGCACACCATGACAGTGGTAGGTTGACGTGACAAGGTTTGAAGGTTTGCCTGAAGCCGGATTTTAGGTTTTGGCATCAGTAGCGTTTTCTGGGATAAGGTTTTCGGATCTGCGATTAAATTGAGACAGCTTGCTATGGCCATTAAATGGTGAAAAGACGTACAAAATTGACCAAAATTTCATTGTGTGTTCGTCAGAAGTGTGATTTTTTATTAGTCATTTATACTTATTTAAGTTTATTGTTATATTAAAATTATTTTAAGGATTCCAAATATATTTTTTGATTTATCAATTGTGTTTTTTTAATTTATATTCTTTATTAGTAAGAATATTATACATTTTTAATTTATTTGTTGGTGTGGGTAGTGTGAATCAATATACACTGTGTCAATTTTAAAACTTGCAATCGGCAGTATCGATCAACTGAAAAAGTTATTGAGAATCGCTCAGAACCGAAAATGACATGGTAAGTGACGCACCTCCACCCACCCTTGAATATAACAAAAAAAATGAAAAGTTAAAGTCTTTGTTTTTGAATAATTGAAAAAACAGCTTTGCTAAATAGGCTGTTGTATGACATTTTTGAAAAGCGCTTGTTATGAGCTTCCCAACGATGTATCACAAGTTAAGTGCCATTTAAATTTTCAACTTGAGGGTGGGGGAAGTGCGTCACGTACCATCTCATTTTGATTCCCCCTTGAAACCACCGAAACGAGTGAGTGATGCTCTATAACTTTTTCAGTTTTAGAAATATCGCCGAAGTTTTTTTCTGGAATTAGGTTTTTATGAAGTTAGAATTACAATTGTTATGATGATATAGAGGGTATACCTAATTATTAGCCTCAAAACAGTTTTCCCCATCACAAATGAAATTACAATAAATGACCTAACGTGACGGTAAGATACATTTTTCTTTCTTTTTTTAATTTTTATTTTGCAAATCAATGAATTTTATTTTTAACTGTTCTTTTATTACGAATAAAGAGGTGTGAATTCGTGTTTTGGGAGCCCTAAAACCCTATTTTGCATACTTGATACATAAATAGCTATTTGCGTATCTGTTAATAAAAAAAATATCTTGGAAAAAAATTAAAAGTCATAGTTGGCCGATGATTTTAAAATTTGACCCCAAATATTGATTTAAAAAAATTTTTTTAATAATTTTTTGTCGTATTAGTCACATAAAAGGTATCTTACAATTACAATAAATAGGTTTTTGAAAATTTCCAAGGCATATCTACCTATTTCATTTTTCAAAACTACAATTATGTTATACAAATTAGTCTTTAACCAAGCAAAAAAATAAAATTAAAATCGAGAACACAAGATTCGTTTCGTCTATTCGGGGACATATTCGTACTATATGATGACTCATTCTGTTTTTAACAAGCAAGCAATAAAATATAAATCTCAAAAGCAAAACTCTAAATTTAAATTTAAAATATTTCTAGAGTTGCAAAAAAACATTTAAAAATGTCTTAAAGAAATGCTTAAATTAAAAAAAAATGTCTCCCGCTCGCCCCAACACCACGCATTTTACTAACACAACACATAACTCACTATTTCATCTTTGAATCGCCAACACTTGATAATTATCAAATTCTCATCGTCTGCCTGTTTCAGAAAAAAAAAACTCACATTTTCCTAAAATCATTCGCGCCACTTGAAAAAATTAAAAAAATACACTTCACATGTGGACAAATCCTGTTGGATTTTACTATGAGTTTCATTTTTATTTAGCAAAGTGTCTTTTAGACTGTGTAAAATAATGGGGCTTACGGGAGCCGCGGCTCCGATTGGGGCTTACGGGGGCTGCGCCCCCGATTGGGGTTACGGGGGTTACCCCAACACCACGCGTTTCGCAAAATTCAGTCGCGTCACTTGAAAAAAATAAAAAATACACTTCACATAACTCACTTTTTCACCTTTGAATCACCTACACTCGATAATTTTCAAATTCTCATCTTCTGTCTGTTTCAGAGAAAAACCACATATATTGCTAAAATCACTCGCGCCACTTGAAAAAAAATAAGAAAATACATTTCGCATCTGGTCAAATCCTGTTGGATTTGATTAAGTTTTATTTTTATTTAGCAAAGTGTCTTTTAGACCGTGTAAAATAATGTTTAGGTCACATCAGATTGCGGCCCCGAATGGGGCTTACGGGGGCTTCGGCCCCGAGTACGGTTCACAATATCAGGTTTTATTTTATATTTATTTTTTTAAATTGTATTCGGCACATATATCTTTTAATAGGTCAATGATTCGTTGACAATGTATTAATAATTTTTTATCTCTATGGTACACATTTTGCTAAAATCATTTGAGCCACTTGAAAAAATTAAAAAAATTACTTCACACTTTTGAGTCACCTACACTCGATTATTACTTGTCTTTCCACAATTTTTCTGCAAATCTGGAAATCTATATTTTGTTAGTTCACTGGGTCCATCCAACGTTTGATACTTCAATGCCAATAATAAAATGTCATAACCTCAAACACGAAACTTTTTTGGTAAATTTCTATTATATGGGACTTTTAAAGTGCTAAACGACACTTGACGACTTGCCATCTTGCTCTTTTATGTTAGTAAGTGAGTGTAAATTTTATTTTAGATAGGTCTCTTTCGGGGGCCCAAAATCCTCCGTCATTCGAACAAATTGACTAATAGTACGGCATTACCCCGAGTGCTTATGTATAATATATGTAATTGTGTATAATATATGTAATTGTGTATAATATATATAATTATGTATGATAAAGCACAAGGGGTAATGCCATTACCACCGAGGTTGAATAAAGCACAAGGGGTAATGCCATTACCACCGAGATTTTGTATGCTATTTTATTCACAATCACATTATTTTCAGTCAAAAATTTGAGCAAAATAAAATTCTAACAATCGAAACGTGGTAGGCCATCCAAATGACGTTTGATTTTTGACATTTCAGAAATGTCAAAGAAAATATTGAAATAATGTGTAAATCTGATTTAAAGTCCTCGAAATGGAGCAATGTACTCTCCCAGAATTAAGAGAAACTGCTACAAAAGCAATTGAATACTAATTTAGCGAAATATTATGCGTAACTTGACAATTTAAAAGAAAAATTTCCAGTATTTTCGTAATTTTAACGTTGGCAGTCCTGCATATTACCACCCAAGAGGAGTAACATTTCATTACTCTTCATGAGAAATAATGACATGTTTCCCAACCTTAAAAAGGTTAGTAATCGGCATATTACATTAGTGATTGTGAATAAAAATACTTTACACACTCCATTATTTCACTTTTAGGTTACCCACACTCGATTATTATTGCATTTCCACAATTTTTCTGCTAGTAAACTTTTTTGTGACTGACGCCGAGAAATGTCAAAAACAAACGCCACTTGATTTTTTCAAAGAAATTTTTCTCACCTGACAGGTTACCTCAAATTACACATTTCTTTCATTTACTTCGCCTCCAAGTACAATACCTGATCCGCAAATGTTCGACACTGGTTTTGCATAGTTTTCACCGTACTTTGCATGCATTATTTTCGTCACCTCAAATTCGACCGGCTAATCCTAATTTACAGATTTTTTCGTCAAACTTCCTTTGTATGGACTTGAGTCTCAAACTACATTTCATGACTTACCACCTTTTCCATTTTAAGCAGGCAATGTTAGCTTACCTCACTTTTTGGATTTACCTGAAAATATTTTCGTATGTCGTATGCATCGCCGTCTCCATAGAAATAATCCTTTTCTCTCCTGGGCATTTTTTGAGTTCAATTGATTCCCGTTGGCGCTTTAATCTGGGGAAATTTTTTAACATATACAGTTTTTTAGCTTGAAGGGTTCAACCTCATAATATCAATTCTTCCTGGCGTATCTGGTTTTGTTGTATCCTTACTTCCCAGCTTTTATTGCGTTATTTTTCGTTAATAATTAAAACTCATTCAGTTTTTCCTTAGTAACCCCCGTAACTAAGAAAAAATCGGAATCACTGCTCCAATGCATTTTTTACGAAATGCCCAGGCGGGATATTGATACATTTCATTAAGGAGGCAGTGGTCGTATGCATCCACCTTTTGTATTTTTAAATCACTTTTATTCCGTCTTTTCGTCATTTGATTCTCCTACAGACAATTTTGAAATCTGTAATTATCATTTGGTAAGCGGTGTGCGTGCACATGCGCGATATTTATAATTTTTGAAAATACGAAGATGCATACCGGCAATAACTTTTAGGGGATTTTATTATACCTCAAATTAATTTAAATTTTTTAACTCTAAATTTAAACAGGGTGTTAAAAAAATATTGTAAAATATTTTAGGAGGTAGTAGTATGAACCAAAACAAACAAAAAAGTCTTAATAAACATGGGTCGGAAAAGTAACGGTTGCGGAGATATCGAATGTGAAAATTTTTGGAATTTTTACTAGAATCTTATCTTTTTTGTTTGAACACCATGATCATTTAGGACTGTTTTAATTGGCAACAGATTTGAAAGTATTTTGTTAATAAATTGTAACACTGCAGCCGGATACCGCTTTGCTAGACAAATACCTACTTGACATACAACCCCTCAAGATTGTTAAATTGTTGTTAATCAGAAACATACTCCAATGGTTTCCTTTAAAAATTGAAGTCAGGATTGCCAACTGATTCATTCATTCTTGATCACTTTGTAAATGTTTCAAAAAAACAAATAATTCTTGATATCTCCGAAACCGCTACTTTGCGGGCCTATGTTTATTAAAACTTTTTTTTGTACTGAAATATTTTACAATCTTTTTTAACATTCTGTATAGTCCTAGGCATATAACACAAACAACTAAGCTATCTTATTGAGCCTTGTCTATGTGCAAATATATACAGGGTGACCCAAGGGTGCGTGCATGCTCAACAACTTTTTTTCTATGGAAGTTATCGACATGATTTTTTTTAAAGAATAACTACAAGAATGAGGCACATTATAAAAATATTTCTATTCATACAAATAAGATACACAACTAAGTTCTGTTTTTTTTTTAATGAAAATCCCAATTTTTTATTACATTTCTGGATTCGCCACTAAATTGTCAATATAACGCATCTTGGTTTCTTAGACTTACCTGCAATAATTTTTGACTTATGCCAATTTATGTGTCAAAATTACATCGTGCATCGACCCACAAAAAAATTCATAACGTCAAAAAACTATTCAAGATAATTTAACCAACTTTTTTCCTGTTGATTCCTTAAAAGCTTTAGCGCGTCTTCTGAGATAAAGACAAACTCGGAGTCAATGTTCCATCGCGTACTACGATTTTTTGAAAATGACAAAATACAAATGGCAATAACTCGACTTTTTTAAATACAACACACTATATTTTATTGCATCATTGCATGGCATTTTTTATTAGCTCTTTGTCGATATAGGATTCATGGGGTCTACTTTGTAAAATTTATGAGATTTTTGCAAAATAAGTAATGTTGATGGTTTTATTCTGAAAAAAAATCGAGTGGGCCGTTATCGTTTGACACATCTATGCAATTCTGAAAAAAATGTGTTTCAATAAAATGAAATTGTAATAGAAACAGGAGTACATCACAATAAAGGAAACAATCTTAGTAATCTTTATAAAAATAGGAAAGAATGATTAAAAGAAAACAATGTAAAAATTTTGAGAAAAGGTTACTTATAAAAACTGCTCAAATAGGTCATGTTCCACCAAGTCTTTTAGTAAATGAGCTCCGAGCTCTAGCAAGCATTGCTCCATCAACTGAATCGAAGGCTTCCGTGATCATGTTTTTCATATCATCTGCAGTTGTTGGACGATCTCTGAAAACTCTTTCTATCACGTACCCCCAAAGAAAAAAATCGATGGGAGTAAGGTATGGAGATCGTGCGGGCCTGGGAATATTATCTCCTCTGCCTATTGAACGATTAGGATAGGATATTTCTGACGGTACATTTTGCTTGCTAATAAAGAATTTCTGTGCTCTTCACCAATACAGTAAACCATTTTTACTAATTCTTCACGAGTGAAATTTATTATTGACAATTAGATGTGTACAATTATTAAAAGTACACGAAAGTGTCAAATTTTACGACAGCAGCCTACTCGATTCCTTTTTTTTTAGAAAAAAACCATCAACATTTCTTATTTTGCAAAAATCGTACAAATTTTACAAAGTAAACCCCATAAACCCTACATCGACAAAAAGCTCATAAAAAATGCCATGTAATGATGCAATAAAATATAGAGTGTTGTATTTAAAAAAATTTTCCCATTTGTATTTTGTTATTTAAAAAAAATCGTAGTAGGCGACGGAACATCGACTCCAAGTTTGCCTTTTTCTCAAAAGATGTGCTAAAGCTTAATGAATCGACTGGAAAAAAATTGGTTAAGTTGTCTTCAATAGTTTTGAAGTTATGAATTTTTTTGTGAGTCCTATGCACGATGCAATTTTGACACATAAATTGGCATAAGTCAAAAACTATTGCAGGTAAGTCTAAGAAGCCAAGGTGCGTTATATTGACAATTTAGTGGCGAATCCAGATATGTAATAAAAAAATTTTGTTTTCATTTAAAAAAACGGAACTTAGTTTTGTATCTTATTTGGGACACTCTATATATGAATAGAAATATTTTTATAATGAAACTCATTGTTGGATCTATCGTTTAAAAAAAATCATGTCGATAACTTGGATAGAAAAAAAGTTATAGAGCGTGCACGAACCCCTGGGTCAGCCTGTATATATACATATGTGTATGATGTATCTATAATAAAATCGATATTATAATGGACTAATTAAGTGAAAGTCTCCATTTTGTTGTACTTGTCCTTGAAATGTTTATACAGGGCTAGTCGTGAGAGGGTTATTTCTGATTTTTTTGCCGCAACCCATTATACATATTGCAACAATTGCTTGATTTCAAATTTTAAAATAATTATAACTGAATCCACGATATCTGTTATTTATTAGTCTTGTCTCTTTGACATTAAACCAAAAAAATCATCTCTCGAACGATGCAACATGTTTTGTTATCGCTTACCAACCGACTAGGCGCATGTTTAGTAGACACTTCAAACACCTTTTTTTACATTAACTTAACTTGTTAATTTATTTATTGAATTTTGATTAAATATAGGTTATCTGTCAATCTGACAAATCTATCCAACTTACTTTGATTTTTAATTAAAAAAAATAACATATTTAATTTAGCAGTTAGTGATATTGGTATTGTTGGTTGCGGCAAAAAATATTAGAAATAACCCTCTCGTGAATAACCCTATACTTGATTCCGTCGAAAATGGTATCTTAGGATACAGGATAAATAAAACTATTAAATTTGTCGCGACGTTTCGATACTTATTGTATCATCTTCAGGCGAAGAATTCTTGTTGGTTGAACACGGAAGGAAGTTCTTCCTTGACTGTGCCAAGCCTCCCGTGCTCAACCAACAAGAATTTTTCGCATGAAGATGATACAATAAAGTATCGAATAGTTTTATTTAGTTGTAATTTTTGAAAGGGTAAACAAACTAGAGATTATCCAATTTTTCAAAATTTGTAATCGAGTTCGTATCGGAATATGTGTTATTGATTGCATTTTACAGGTGCAGGCCTCGTAAAATTATGTGAAACACTCTGTATAATACCATTTTCGACGTAATCAAGTAAGGACTAATTAAGGTTGTTTTTCAAGAAATTTGATTAATGTTTACAACACCTGTAGGTAAGAACTATTATTCTTCATATTAAGAGTAAAATAAGTCCTAAAATAATAAAAAAAAGAATTAAGTAAGTGGGTGTTTTAGTTATCTAGAAACTTTTAACGCGGGTTGATTTTTATTGTATCCATTTTAAATCGTCCAAACGTCCCAAACCCCTAAACATTTTATTCAATAAGTAACAGTTACAAAACAAATACTGTACAACAAAGGTATTTCACATATATTTTTAAAAAGAGTTTCCTATAATCAATTAAGTGTAACACAATGGAATGGACTAAAGAAGTACACTGCAATATTATACATTTCTCTAAGTAACATTTACTTGTACTGTTGAACTTAAGCACGATAATTCCTGTGAATCTCAGGCTTAATATCATACACCAAGGCCAGTACTTCTTCAATTACCTGTAATCCAAAGAGTTCAATAAAATGAACCTTAACGGTTATATGCAACTCACGGGGCCTTTTTGGCTGACAATCGCCTTGTTCATTTCTTCAATTCGTTGTTTGGTGTCGGCTTCAATCTTGGCAGCAACCCCCTCTTTAGACCCCATGTGTTTCGCCTCAAAATCACGGAATTGGCGTTCACGTTCTTTGCGATATTTTTCAATTTCATCTTGAGCTTCCTCTTTGGCCTGTTTGAGCCTTCGGGCTTTACCTGTGAAACAATTGAAATTGAGAACTCGTGACTGTCAAACATGAACGCCCACTGCGATTAATGTTTGGGAGTTTTTTTGTAAAAAAAAACTTACGTTTGCGGGCTTCTGACACTTTTTCGGCGGCTCTTTTCTCTGCAGCTAAGAGTTGTTGGATTCCTTGAGTTTGACTTGCCATTCTCACTGAAAATTCACCACGAAATCGGAGGACGAGCACACCTAAGTTGAGGCAAATGTCATATGATCGCTAGTTAGGAAACTCAACGCGGGTTAATAGGGCGGCGCTAGTGGCATATGTGTCACGGTCACATGTTGCCGACATTCAATAAAACAATTTAAATATTTCATAAAAATAATTTTATTCAAATATATCATATTATAATAATGACCCAAAATAGAATTTTCAAATGTAAAATTAAGTCGTAGCAAACAAATACAGCAAGGCTTTAGCAAACTGGAATATTTCTGAGCCTCCAAGTTTAGACTCTCCATAAACCCTATCAACGAAAGTAATAGGAACTTCCCCTACAGTATAATTAAACTGACGCGCCCTCACAACCATTTCCATCTGGAAAACGTAACCTTTGGAGACACAACTTTTGATTAACTTCTCTAAAACATCTTTTTTGTATAGCCTAAAAGAACCAGTCAGGTCTGAGGCTCCAGGTCTTAGTAAAAGTTGTGTCAAAAAATTAGCTCCTCTTGAAATTAATTTTCTTTTAAAATCCCAACCATAAACACCGCCAGAGCCCATATAACGCGTTCCTGAGACCAAATCATAATCCTCGAACTTTTGTTTCTCAATAAATTGTGGAATAAACTTGGGCTAGAATTTTTTTGTTAGCTAATATTTAAAAAAAGCACGTATTTTACGTGATGACTCAAGTCAGCATCCATAATAACAATAAAATTGCCACTGGCATGTTTAATACCGTGGATATAAGCAGTTCCCAGTCCCAATTTTTTTTCTCTTGGTTTTAGTAAGATTTTATTTTCGCCGTAAATTTGTTGGAGTTGTTTGGCGGCATCTTGAGTTCCGTCGGGGCTGCCATCGTCGATTATAATGACTTCGTAATTATATCCACTAAAACATAGCTTTAAAATTGGTAAAATACATAAAAGAGCCACACCTCTTTTCCATATATTTTACAATAAGCCATACTATGATTGGCAAGTTTTCGACTTCGTTATATGTTGGTAATAAAATAGAATACTTGTCTTCACCAGTTTTACTGTTTTTGCCCATTTCGCTGGAATTTTCAAAATTGGTTTTGTCACGTTTGAGGTTAGGAATAAGAATCGCTAAAAGCAGGATAGCCAATGAACCAAAAAAACAATTTTGCATTTATTGACAGGTAAATAATGGTAATGGAGTTTCGCTAATGAATCACCAGTAGCACACAACATACGGTCTATGCGTCAAAAATAATAAATAATTTCAAACATATGGTTTTCATGATTTTTTAATGTTGGATTGATTAATTTTTTTTGACACGTTGGTACTTGATTATCAATGCGCTATCATGTGTGACAGTGACAGGTGTCAAATTTGATGTTTCCAAATAAACAATACTCCAAACAGCTCCAAGATGGGTAAAACATCAAAAGTGGTAATATGCGGCATGAAAGGGGTTGGTAAAACCGCAGTTTTGGAGCAAGTAATTTATGGCAATATAACCTCGAAGAGTGTATGTGTCACAGCCCTATTGTACATAATTTCCTAAATTATGAGCAATTCTAGGAGTTGCATTCTACTATCGAAGATATCTACATTGCTAATATTGAATCGGATAAAGGTACAAGAGAAAAAGTTCGTTTTTATGATACTGCGGGCCTAGAACCACTCCAAACGGCTACTGCTAATGGTACTACCAACCAACAGCTTCCCAGGCACTATTTGGCGATTGCTGAAGGTTATATTTTAGTTTATGATACCGAGAAATCAGAATCGCTTGATATATTGGTGTCTCTTAAGAAGGACATTGATAAGAATAAAGATAAGAAAGAGGTGTGTTATTCTGTTAAAAATAACCAATTCTTATTTATTTACTTGTCTTATAGGTTACTATGATTGTGATAGGAAACAAATTCAAAGATACTGATAGTACGGAATTTGAATCTACATTGAGTAAAGCCACAGCTTGGTGCAATAGAGAGAAAGTACGACATTTTTCAGCCTCTGCAATGCATAGAATTACGTTATATGAGCCTTTTGTTCATATTACAAGTAAGTTGAATCCTCCACCTAGTAAAAGTACGTTTACGCCTTTATCTATGGGGAGAAAGATCAAAGATCAAAGTTAATTTTTTAATACTCACTTCAAGGCTATAAATATGATATATTTATTTATTCTGTCTATTGATTATATAACTCATGAATCTGTTTAATAAAGACTTTTTAAGAGACAAGTGCGATATTTTACCGTTTCTGTAGTAGCGAATAAGAAGAATTTTAAGTTACAAAATAATCTAAAAACATGGTTTTGAAAGTATTTATTCAGAATACCTTTAATAAAACATGTATAAAAAATTAATCTCTTATAAAATACTTTGATATAAAACTAAGCCTAGTAAAAAATTTACGTTTATTAATTACAATAAATGTTTAAAAGTGAGATTTAAGAATAAATCTACATGTCATTAACTCTTTTCTTCAGTTGTTTAAGTTCTTGTGTGATAGTTTCCGGCAGATCCGATCCGACTTGTTCATTGAAATATTTCTCAATGGCATACACTTCTTCCATCCAGAAATCTTTAGGGAGACTAAACAACTCCTCTTCATTGACCTTGTCTTTCAAGCCTTGCATATTAATCGCGCTGGGTTTGGGCAAATATCCGATCGGGGTTTCCTTCGCACAATCTTCATTATCTAACCTCCTTAAAATCCAATCCAAGACCCTGGAGTTCTCTCCAAAACCGGGCCATAGGAATTTCCCATCACTGCCCTTCCTGAACCAATTCACATGGAAGATTTTTGGGAGGTTAGTTGAACGTTGTTTCATGCTCAACCAATGCTCCAAGTAATGGCCGAAATTATACCCGAAAAAGGGCCTCATGGCGAAGGGGTCGTGCATTATGACCTTGCCTTTGTGTTCAGCTGCTGCGGTGGCCTCACTTCTCATGGTAGCTCCGATCAAGACACCATGTTTCCAATCACGGGCTTGGTACACGAGTGGTACACCTGAGGGCCGTCTTCCTCCGAATAAAATTGCAGAGATTGGGACTCCTTCAGGTGCTTCCCAGTTGGGGTCAATGATCGGACACTGTTTGGCTGGAGTACAGAAGCGGGAGTTGGGGTGGGCGGCTGTAGTCTTGCTTTCACCTTTGACCCAGGGTTTGCCACGCCAGTCTGTGATTTTAAGACTGGGGTCGATTTCGTCCTCCATGCCCTCCCAGAAGACTCCGCCATCACTGGTGGAGGCAACGTTTGTGAAGATTGTGTTTTGGAAAATTGTTTTCATGGCGATGGGGTTGCTGGAGTTTGATGTTCCGGGGGCCACTCCGAAGAAGCCATTTTCTGGATTGATTGCTCGGAGTTGGCCGTCTTTATCAAAACGCATCCAAGCGATGTCATCTCCAACACACTCAATTTTGTATCCTGGGAGAGTTGGAGTCATCATGGCTAAGTTGGTCTTGCCACAAGCAGAAGGAAAAGCAGCTGCGATGTAGCGCTTTTTGCCCTCAGGGTTGGTAATGCCCAAAATCTATCAATGGAACATTAGAAACTCGATCACGGGTGTTAAAGTCGAGACTCACCAACATGTGTTCAGCTAGCCAACCTTCACGTTTGGCGATGGTCGAGCCAATCCTAAGAGCAAAACATTTTTTGCCCAGAAGAGAGTTTCCGCCATAGCCGCTTCCGTAAGAGACGATTTCGTTGGTTTGTGGTTTGTGGAGGATTATGGTACGTTCTGGGTCGCAAGGCCAACTTTTCATTTCAATGAAACCATTAGCAGGGGTTCCGACCGAGTGAAGGCAACGGACGAAATCCGTACCATCGGCGAGTTTGTCCAAAACGGTTTGACCCATCCTGGTCATAACTCTCATGGACACCACTACGTAGGCGGAGTCGGTTAATTGAATCCCGATTTTAGCCAGGGGCGAACTAACGGGGCCCATCGAGAAGGGCACGACATACATGGTCCTGCCCTTCATACAACCAGTGAAACGCTCCTTAACAGCAACATCCATGTCTCTTGGACTCATCCAGTTGCCCAAAGTCCCTTTAATCCCTTCTTTGGTTGTGGGTATAGTTTCGGCTCTTTTTTCAGTACATATGAATGTTTTTGACTCAACACGGGCAGTGTCAGCGGGGTTGGTTCGAGCCAACCAGCTGTTTAAAAAATACTCATAATAACAAAAACCGGAAACGGTTCAAGGACCAACTTACCAATTCTGGTATTTAGGCAAAGGTACAATAGTACCTTGCTGCTGCATCAGATTGAGTAGATGGTTGTTTTCATTTTCGGTCCCATCGCAAATATGTATCTTCTCGGGTTGACACAAGTCAATGTTTTCTTCAACGTAGGCCCGCACTTTCGGTGACAAATTCTTAAAATCTCCATTGACCACACTAATGCCTTTCAGGTGGTTGAAAAGTCCAACGTTGGGATGACTAGCTTGCTTGGCAAACCGGCCAACTTCGGTGGAAAATCTGGAAAAAAAATCTAGTTATTTCCGCATTCTCGAAGATGAAATACAAAGACCAGTGACATTGAGACAAAGAAATGTCGTCGGACCAGTAAAAAAACTCACCCGTTAGATTTTTTCTCGATGAATTCAGGCATTTTGACTTTGGAACTTCACGCTTTAAGTGTAACTCTTATGGTACATAGAATAGTACCCGAAAATGAATTTCAAGTAGAACTTGTCGGTATTAGACACAAAACAATTTGTTCTGTGATATTTAGCGATTAGTTTGCACCGCTGGTTAGCCAGAATTGAAGGTTTCGGAAGAAAAACCAGAGAAATTATTTATATTCACTCACAAAGAACTGTGGTTGGAATATTGCTGGAAAAGTGCCAGTTCTGCCTTATATTGCTGAATTGGGAACTCCCTCCTATGTTGTAATGGAGGGGGAGTTCAAAGTATTTTGGCAAAATCCTTTATCTCTTGATAAAAGAATTATTACGATCATTGTTTTGTTTCGAAACTTGACAAATTATTAAAAATTACGTCAATAAATAAATTGCAAAAGAGGATTTGGGTCATATCACATCTAAAATTTAAGCCCAATTTTTGTGCCCTTATGATGGGCCCAAAACTTTTGGCATTTTTGGTCACTTTATGTTTATTACTCATCGGAAGTAGTTTAATCTCGATCTAGTCTGGGTTCTGTGAACTTTGACACTCATAATCGTAATCTCGAGGCCAAAGGCTCGACTTTAAACTATTTTGTGATTGGCCGAATCCGCGGGTGTGTAGAGCTGATGCAACTGAACCTGTTATTAACTAGTTGCTAACGGATTGATTATTCTTTTGTGCCAAATAATGACGTCACATGACGTAATCCCGCACGTGCCAATTGGCAAAAGTTGTTTTTTAGGCTGATGGTGACTTTGACTAGTAGATAATTACCGTTATTGATTTTTTATTGACTGTTATTTGGACAAATAACAAGACAATGATTTTTTGATTTAGATTAAGTTGGTGTTGTTTTTCATCTTATCGAAGCAGTTACCATGTGAGATGTTGGGTAAAAGAAGAATCATTGCAAAATTATTGGGCAATTATGTGTCAGAAATATATTCAACGTGAATAATAGATTCGTGTTTTATCGTGGTATAGGAATTTTAATTGATTTGAATGTTAGAAAATTTAAATTAAAACGTTTGACATATTTGTGGAGTGATAGTGTTTTGCTAATAAATGTTAGGTATTTGTTTATGGAAGCCAAAAATTTGTTTTTTTATATCTAAGTAACAGTTTTCATAACATTTGCTTTTGCATAAACAGTGTTTTATCTCTTTTTTTTACCTATCAGAAAAATTATGAAATTTTGTTTTCTAATTATTTATCTTCAATTAATTACTAAATTACCAACTTTTTTTATTAAACTGGTATATTATAAGTTAGAACTAGTACTGTTTTTAATTTAGGTTTATCATTCACATTATTATTATCATTAGTTACTTCATGAATTACATTTTCTAAATTATTTTATAGATAATGCGTTTCCTGACAGAATTAAAACGTTTGATAAAATAACAAAGTATTAAATTATTTGTTTCAAAATACAGAGATATACAGGGTTGTTTCAGAACTCGCGCTACAGAGAAAAATGCCAAGTAAGTTAAGATACCAGCAACATGGAAAAAATGTTAAAAAAATCGATCTATAAAAATTTCGAATTATGGGGGTTTAAATTAAAATAAAGAAGTAACTTTTGCTTGCATAAGAAAGTTGAGGGACTCGTAAATCCACCAATCCCAGAAGGGCACCTCAAGGTGTGATTGAAAAATTATATCAAAGAGACAATACTAATAATAGCCGTCACAGATTCAGTTATAATTATTTTCAAAATTTGAAATAAAGAAACTATTGCAATATGTAAAGGGTGTTTATTTAAATTTGGCGTCGTAGTTGGCGGTGATATGAGTGTGTTGTGAACGGACCACAATTTTTCATACGCCCAGCGAGCTGTCAAATGTCAGATTAATAACTTTTAACAGCATTGTTCGTTCACAATCGAACTTTCATGGATAGCTTTGACGTCATATTCAAAAAAACACCCGTTATAATGGGTTCGGCAAAAAAAATCAGAAATATCCCTTTCATGAATAACCTTAGTTAAAAAAAATACATTTGAATATTGATAACAAAATTAAATATGTATACCTAGATATGCTTCCGAGAAAAATTAAAAAAGTGACTGAAAAATCGATGAAAATTTCATTACTTTCACTCTATATAGTATAGTTGAAACTTTCTGTCTTTTATTTAAAAGTGCGTTTTTGTTAGATCAAAGTGCCATATTATTATTTATAATTATTACGTATTAATAGTAGGAGTGAAGTATCAAAGGTGAAGTGTGTTTTTTCCATAATTGTTATAGTACGAGTCGTACTTTAAAAATTGAGATTAAAATACAAGTTATTTTTATATCTATAACATGATCAAAGATACAAAATACAATTTTTAGAAGAGTTAACGTACTTTCCAAATCGAGGGCAACATGGCAATACAATGTAATTTTATCAACTTTTATTATTAGCAATAATTTGAATAATAATACTTAACTAAATGTTTAAAAATATTACTACAATATTATGCTACAGTGCGATCAAAAAGTCTTTCTATCAAGTAGGCGTCCTAGTTGAGGACGTATGTTGCATGGCAGTTCGTATGTTATCTAGATGTCAAAAAATTATTAAAAAAAAATTAAAACACTAAGCTAATTAAATTGAATTATTCTATGAAACGTCTCAAAATATCCTAAAATGAGATTTTGTTGATGTTTATTCATAAAAATCGTTCACCACGGTTTCCTGTTATAATTTACATAAAAATTATTTTGAGATTTCGCATTTGTCATTGTGATATTTTATCTTCCACAGACATACGTTTTAAATTTCTACGCTTGCTTGATAGACAGACTTTTTGATCTCACTGTATTAACCATCGCCGTCTCGATAGAAATAATTCTTTTCTCGCTTGGGCATTTTTTGAGTTCAACTGATTCCCGTTGGCGCTTTAATCTGGGGAATTTTTTTGACATATCCAGTTTTTTAGCTTAAATGGTTCAACCTCATAATATCAGTTCTCCCTGGCGTATCTGGTTTTGTTGTATCCTTCCTTCCCAGCTTTTATTTATTGCGTTATTTTTCGTTAATAATTCAAAATCATTCAGTTTTTCCTTAGTAACCCCCGTAACTAAGAAAAAATCGGAATCACTGCTCCAATGCACGAAATGCCCAGGCGGGATATTGATACATTTCATTAAGGAGGCGGTGGTATTAACAAACTGAGCTAATATAGTTTTTGTCGAATTACCAAAAACTGTCATTTTTCACTTATGAGGTAAGTAATCTTACCCTCGAATTATTTACACAGCAATGTCATATTGTTTTAGATTAAATAAATAAAACGTAAATGCATTATTGTATAGATATTTTTATTTTAAGGTGTAGCAAATTGTATAATTAATTAAGTATTCAAAATCCTGTTGAGTGTCCTTTCTACAGATTAATTATAAGAAAAGTCACCGAGTTTATCGATTAAATGCGTTTTAACTAGCCATTTTTTATGAATTAAAATCCGGATTCCAGCTTTGCTTTTATCAGTAAGTAACAGAAGTGAAAAATATTGATTTTATTTCTGTAAAAACAAAGACTGACAGGTCGCAGGTGTTAACTTTTTATCGCTTGATTTTCGAATAATGTCAAGGTTAGTAATACATATTGAAAACAATGTCTATCCATGTTCTTCATGTTTTCGTTAATTAAAACTAAACCATTAATATCTAAATACACCGATAACAATATACCTCTAATTAATCTTATCAACCTAAAATAGGTGCAATTAGTGCTATTGTAGGTATGTATGTATAGTAGGTAATTCAATTAAAAATAAATGAACGGAAAATTTCTCTAGTCTGTAAAAATAATCGTCAATGAGATTACTCCATTCGAAGGAAATCTCCTAAAAAATATTTGGTTGCGTTGGAATCATATGATCTTGTAACTGGAGTAAACAGCACAGATTACCAAACCTTATCAGTGGAATATAAATTTAGAAATCAGTTTTGTTATCAAGAAGCAAGAATATTGTTTCCTCCAATTTTCCCCACTCTCTCTTATAAGTTTCTTAATTGCTTACCTCCGTAGGAGTCTCGAGATTCCAGTCATGGTTGCAAAAAGCGGTCGAGTGGCTTCAAGGGTCTTCCGAAAAGGCACTTGGAATCTTTGGCTGTGCAATAAGTTATCGCAGAGTTCAATACCATGTGCCTAATTGTAATAAATTATTCGAAGCGATAAGATAAACTTACATTGTTTCTGAAGGAGTTGCACTATTTTGCGTTCGGGTTGATGGTTGAGAAACCTTTCACTGTCGCCGATCGGAGAAAAATAATTATCTGTGTAGGGTCTTCTCGACAACAATGATACAAATTAGCATTTCACTGCGTGCAATCGAGGTTTATCGTTTATTCCGTTCTGATTATTGTAAACTTGACATGACCTGAAGACGTATTCATGTTTTTTTCGGATTGAAGCGATTAATAGGAAACAAGATAAGAATACGTGGACAGGAGAAACGCCCCAAACTTTCGATCATGTTTAGAGAACCGGATTTTCTGTACACTTTGACGGGTTGCAAAGTATCAAACGTAATTCCTCCTTCTACGCAGATAGGAAATTAAGCATTATTAGAGTTGTTATGTTGTTATGTAAACCTTACTGTTTTATAATGTGCATATGGATATGGAAGAGTGGAAAGTAATGTAGGTCAGGTTAAATAAATCGAGAAAAGTTACTGGAATAGAAGGATTTGTTCTAGTTTTTTTTTACTTTTATTTTGGTAATAGATTAGTTTTTACTGATAAACATTTTAATCGTATGTATGTATTTTTACGAAGACTGTATTTGGTTTCAATAATCACTTTATAACAATTTGGTATACATATACGGGCATTAGGGGTGTGGGGCGGCCCATGGAAATTTAATTTGAAAAACAATATTTTTTTATTATCTTTATAATAATATAATAAATAACGTGTAGATACAGAGTGTTTCAGAACTCGCGTCCCAGAGAAAAGTATCAAGTGAGATAAGATATCAGGAAACATGGAAAACATTTTGTTGGAGCTCTTATTTTATTAACTATTGAAATTATAAGAACGTTTTATTGTTTTATTGAAAATGTTATTTTATTTCCAGCTATAAAAAAAAGATCCAATCATTATTGAATTGATATTGGTAGTTTCGCTATTATGCCTTAATTTTGGCGAACAGTGTACTACTCTGTAAAAAAATTATCGGAAATTTTCGATTTAAAGAGTTCACGTAGAAGATATCTTAATAATTATTGTCTGGTATATTGGTACAACTATACTCTCTTAACAAGCCAAATTTTATCTCTACAGTATGTTATTGAAATGCGTTAAGAAAATTTAAACGGTGATAGAACTCATCAAAACAAATTACTTTGCTATTTACTATTTTTTCGAAAAATCTTTCTAAACCCAGATAAAATTTTAGTTAGTTTGAACGTAAATTCTAGTACCCGCCAATGTCTCCCTGCGTACATTAAAAGCGAAAGAAGATAAAAACTTTGATAGCCAAGCAAAAACCAATTTTTTATTCGTAAACATACGACATTCCAAGTTACGCACCACACTTGATCAAGGGCACTAACATTCAAATTAAATGTTCTAAATGACGCCCTCCGTTATCGATGTATGCTTGTGCCCTTCGAGCCATAGAAGCTTTAGTTCTCACCAACATGTCGGAATTTCGTCGAATTGACTCGGCAGCATTATTCACACGAACAGTTAATTCTTCGAAGGTGTTAACTGGAGTCTCATATACAATCTGTTTTAAATGGTCCCATAGAAAAAAGTCACAAGGATTTAAGTCCGGTGAACGAGCTGGCCATAAAACTGGTCCATTACGACCTATCCACCGATTTTCTAAATTTGAACTTGGCGACCGCGAAATCTCTCCAGCAGCATTCGATAAAGCTTCCCCGTAGATCAGCACCATGTCTGTTAACTAAGGATTAGTGTACTGCACCATTTTTGACGATAATTACGGGAAATTCACTTGCCAATAAATTGTAAACACGGCCGCATGCAGGTGAAGGACGTGACTAAATTGTGTCAGTAAGTTTTTGCAAGACCTATCTGCCTGGGTTTTTGCCGTATTTATTTTTTTGCGTACCGTGCCATCCATAAACGACTCGATGACACGGAATACGGTGAAAATAAATGTAAGTATAAATTTGAGTTTTCGAAAAAATGGTAAATATAGAAGTAATTTGTTTTGATGAGTTCTATTACCGTTTAAAGTTTCTTAACACATTTCAATAACATACTGTATAGGTCAAGTGGTTTGTTTAAAATTGTTTTTATCATAACTTCTGGTTAAGTCAGACTTGCGATTTTTGTCGTGGATTCCACTATGGATCAGAGAAGAGTTCCTATCTATGGTTCCTATATTAGAAGAGTTGGGATACTGAAAGTCAGTTTTCCAATTTTTCTTTTTTTATATACGTCGGCCGACGTACAATAACAATAAAATTGGATTCAAATCAGTGGCGTTTTGGTAAAATTTAACAAAAGGTCAAATAAATTTGTCAAATAAAAATTGACCTCTGTCCTCTGTCATTATGACCAATTCTGCTGGGTCCTATTGAAACTGTGAGTTGTTTTCTGTGCCATGTTGCTCCAATGCACGAGACAGTGTATGACAAGTGGAACCCCTTTAAAACTAGCCAACTGGAGTGTGGGCCCCAAAGTAAAATTTATCAAAAAGGTGAAGCTTTCACATGATCAAGAACTATTATTCCGTTGTTTGGAGTGTTTTATTTCATCTACGTCAGGTCAGGTCAAGTCTAATAATTTTGTAAGTTTCAGGTTTTAAAACGTTTTCTGCAGACACAATCAAGTTTTTATTACTCATGGTAAATGCTGTATACAGCGACTGTGTACACATATTTTTTCCTGTCTGGCCGCATCTCAATGTCCATTTATCTCCTACGTCCCTGACCAAATCTGAATTTATAACCTTAAAATAATTTTTTAAAATAAACTTGACATTAGTTGCAACGAAATATTTTAATGAAAAAGGATAGAACGTAAAATATATATCTTATCCACATAATACAAAATTGGCTCGGTTTGACGTTCAGTGTCCCAACTCTTCAAATATAGGAACTCTAGAACAGAGAATTCGCTTGAAATTTTATGTTGCCAATGGAAAATTCGTGTAGTGAATGTCTGAAAATTTTGGGGACTCATGTATGTCAAAAACACAAGCATATGAATGGTACAAAACATTTCAATTGGGCCGAAAAGAAGTCACCGACATTCTTCGTTCGTTCTGAACGATTGTCCATAGCAAAAACAAAGGAAAATGTAAAAAAAATCAAAGAAATGATGACTGTAAATCGTCACTTAAGTTTAAAAGTAATATTATTTAGCCGTTGTGTAATGTTTGTAAAAAATATTTGCTGGAAAAGTACAGATTTGTGGAGTTACCATAGTAACCAATTTTATTTTTTAGTCAGCAAAAACTGTTTTTGGGGACTGAGTATCTAAAATAAGCGTTTTGCGTACTATTTTATTGAGTCCGGAAAGGACTCATTTTAGGGACTCAAATGAGTCCCTAAAACAGCTGTTTTCGGGAGCGTATACAAAAAATAACTATTTCCATACACATGTGCGCGTTTTTGTGTGCACGATACATGATGTCTTTTAACGTCCGCGTGTAGAGGCTTGTGACAAGCAACTTTACCAAAATAGGTAAAACATATTTATTTAATAATTGTTTTATTAATTTCATTTTTTAAAAATTACTCGAAATAACTCAGTGTTTGTCTACGTTTTCGCGCCGCTTGGGTATTGAACAACTCTTGCGGATCTTCATCTTCTTCGTCGTCTTCTTCTTCTCCTAATTTCATAAGAACCATACTGGATCCACCGTAGTGGCTACTCTTATAAACCAAATCTCCCACCAAATCTCCCGATTCCTGTAATAAGATTAGTATCCATTTTCCATACCTCCAATACTTTACCTTCTCAGCTTGACTTGCGCTTGTTTCTGTGCCAACAGAGGAAAGATCATCAAGACGAATTCTTCTCTGAGACGATATTTTTCCCCTTAATTTTCGTCGATTTCTCATTCGTTGCTTCGCCGCATGTAAAAGACATTTTTGAGATGAGCCTGTATTTACCATTTCGCAAGTTTCTTCAGCTAGGAGCATTACATCATACTCATTTATGTCTTTCTCAGGGATAATTAAAAGTTTTGTTTCAATTGGAAGATTCATCAGACTACTCGTGGGTAAAATGAGTTTGTGGACGGTTCGAGGAATACAGCAAGGAGCGACGAATTTTTCTCTAGTGTTAAAGTCAGCGGTGACTCCGTCGATGAGGATAATGTCTTGGATGATGTCAGTGACAGTAAAAATTTTGTAATTTGATAAATTGGGGACAAAGGCTCGCTCGAGAGCGTATTTGATTTGGTCTTGGGAGAAGGCTTGGTACGCTGGGACTGAGAGAAGGAGAGGGAAAGCAATTCGAACACTGATTTCTTTCCAAATTCGGCATTCTAGCCTGAAAACTATTGATTTTGGGCATTGGATCCGATTAAATAGTTACCCTTTAACGGGGTCTGGGCTAAGTTGCATTGCTTGTTTGATTATTGCTTTATTTAAAACGTAAACCTGACTATGAGACTCTGCCATGATCGTGCAATTATACGCCCTTTCGGTTAGAGTACTCAATTCTCCCATACAATTGCCTGAAACTATATAGTCAAGAGATGGTTCTTCGTATTTTGTTCCTGCAAGGTAATCCACAATGGGTAGGATACCAAAAGAGTGCAAACCGTTTAAAACACTTGACTGGGGAACGTAACTAATCATAAAGAGTCCTAAAATCGATAAACTAATAGTCGTTTGTAAAATATATTTAAAAACCTGTCACAACAATGTAAATTCCATCCGCCACAGTCCCTTCTCCAAAGACAATATCACCAGGCTCAAATTTTTTTACACTAACATTGTCAAATAGATAGTCAATTACTTCATTTTCAATCGGCATCCACGACACTTCCTTGAAAATCACTTGTGGCGGACTAGGTTGCACCATTTTGATGGCATTGACTTTTTTGTACAATTCGGCCATAGCAAATTCTAATTTCTCTTGCTCATAGTTATCCACCCATCCTTAAAACCTCTGTAAAATCAAAAAAAATCGCCACATCGAATTACCTGCAATTTTGAGCTGATTTATCGCATCGTTCATGCTGCTCAGGACCGTTCTAATTGCTTGTTTTGTCTTGACGGTGATTGCCACCCATGGTCTCTCCTTTTGGACCACACCTAACATTTTTGTAATTATAATTCTGTCATTCTCTATCTTAGCTTTAATCTCTTCACGAATTTTCTTATTGTCAATAATGTAGGGTAACATATCTAAAATCTCGCCTTCGCTTGTAGCAAAACTCTTGCCTAGCTCGTAAGTGAATGACATTTTTCGGTCGGCACTTCGAGCCAAACAGTTCATAAAGTTCTGGTAGAAAATCTCGAAAACTCGAAGGAGTCGTACAAAACGCAAAATCATCAGAATGTCAACTATTTCACTGTAAATGTTATTACCTTCGAGGTTGTGAATGAAACTGGCTAAGTCAATACCAACGTTGAAAAGGTTTAGTATAATCACCAAAAAGTCTGTGATGTTCCACACCGACCTGTAATAAGTAGCAGGTTACAAAATTTTGAAACCATAGGAAAAATCTCACTTGAAATAACCACGAACTCCATGAGACCAAATGTATACCCACGAAAACGCCATTATTTTTATTACAAATTCCAAAACGTAGATAAACGTGAATAGGATATTTATAGCCAATAAAATGACTTCTAAGTTTCTATTATGGACTTGTTTATTTTTCGTAAATATTGACGAGTGAAAATATAAATGCGCCATCAAAAAACACGCATGGACAAGAATTACCAACAGCATTGCTTTGTCGAGGATTGTATTCATAACAACGTGGTAACAAAGCCGTCGCCAATAGGTTATGGGTGGCCTACGTGGTAATGTACCTTTATTTTGCATACACTCGAGTCGATTTCGAAAGAACCGATGGAAAAAATTCTGAAAACGTATCAAATGAAATAATCATTTGATCATAAAGCAAACCTCTTCGACAAATCGTTTTTCCAAATTATCGACTTCCAACATGACATCTCCCGAATCCATCGCGAGCTCGATTGCTTGATTCAACACCCGAATCGCTTGTTTTGTGATCATACCATTCTCAAATTGTCTTGAAAATGACATTTTTTTCGCTTTGAGTATTCGCATTTTAGCTTCTCTAAATATAAAAATAATAATAAATCGCTTATAAATCGTTTAAGGTTGGTCTCACTTGCTCATTTCTTTTAATTCTTTCTGAGTTGGTTCTTGAACCAGGTCTTTGTTGCAATCGGGACAGATCGTGAATCTATAACCCAGGAAAAACGGGTCGTCTTCTTCATTGTCTAACCCGAGGTGGTATGGATGTTGCATATTTGTGACTTCGTAGACTACTTTCCAGTTAGTGTCAGCTAACAACCTAGATATGTTCGATGACCCTCTTTCCATAAGGACCAGACTTACCTACCTATCCATTTTTAAAATGGCAATAATCCGGTCTCTTTTTGTAAAAATATGTTTCATGCAATTGTTCATGTTGACTTGTCTCGCCATAGAGATGTTAGTAAATCCCAATACTTTTAAAATGGTTCGACAGAAAGTTCCATTGATAAGCATCGAAATGATGCTGAGGCCAAATATATAGAAAAAGAAAATATTTTCTCCCTGGGTTTTGAAAGCATGTCTTTTGACGAAATTGAAAACTACAAGATAACCAAAAGGGCTTTTGATACCTCCCCAGACACACACCACCATGGCTTTTAGTTCCATTCCATACCCTAATCGACTGATTATGGGGGAAAATAATAGGAACGAAACAAAACGCAAAACATAATTGACTACATACGCTACAATTATCAAGACAAAAGCTTCCCAGTTCATGAAGGGAATGACATAACAGCCGGCATAGGTCGCACTTAGTGCAAGAACAACAGTGTCCATTATGTAGGCGATGAGTTCCCAATAGTTTGTCAAAAAATTATCAATATTTTTACTCACAGCTGTTCTTTCTATGCTCATCATAATCCCTAAAGTGATAACAGAAACAGATCCACACCCAGATAAAAATATTTGCGACACGGAATAAGTAAAGAAAGGTAAAGCCGAAATCATGAGAATGACGCTCATACGATCAGAGTACATTCTTCGAATCAAGCACTGACCCAAAACCCCCGACAAATACCCTGTTAAGATTCCTACAAGGAGGTGATACTTTTGGTATTTAACCAACTTACCAAAAACAAAAATCCGCAAAATCACCATCACGAATTGGTACCAATAGACCATTATTTTCTCCGATGTTGCTATTACGAGTTGCTGAGTAAGGTCAATCACTAAGAGACAAATCACCGCTTCACCTTCCAGTAGAACGCTGATATGTCTTGTCCTCATTGACTGCTGCTTCAACAGATCGACCATTGTTGCGGGGTTGAGGGGCATACTAAATAAACCGAGACAAATAGCTCCAATGGTTGCAGTTTCAGGTGCTATCATCATGATAAGAAGCAAGCCGAAAATACAACCCGTTAGTATTGTAACTAAAAACAAAGTTTTTGAAGGATTTGGGATTGAGAATGATTAGTACCGGGAACGCCAATGATCAAGATTTGGGGAAGAGTTTTTATGAAAATGTGGACGTCGAGGCAAAAAGACCGGTGAAAGACAAGTATTGGCACGTAGAGATAAAACATTTCGAGGGAGGAGATTCGGACGATGTTAGATCCCAAGTAAGGAAACGTGTAGTAGTATGCCAGCATTCCCCAAATGTAAGCGAAGAGGATTATGATGACTTCGTTGGGAGTTGAGATTTTTACATGCTAAAACAATTTGATTAACAACTCACATTTTACTTCAGTTTTATGTACCGTAAAGAGAGTGTCGATGATATAAGCGATTAGCAGGATTGCAAACAGGTACATGATGTCTGCAAACCGGGGAATCAAAGGATGCGGAGAATCCTGTGGCATGTGACCTTCTCTTTTACCTTTATTCAAATGAACTGCAATCAGAACTGAATACATTATAAACAAGGTCAGAAAAACGACGATTGTGATCTTGTTCATCTTGAAGTTTGTCTGTCAAAAAAACTAGATGACATTTGCATAAACAACACGAAATTTGGAATTCAGTTAGGTATCGATTATTGAGATGGTCTCCATATGGCAGCAACGACATTTGCAAATTATACTTGATTTTTCGTATTTACTCCTTTGAGTAAATGTCATATGTGGCATTTTGGAAAATGTTTATAATCAAATAATAAGCCAGGTGTGTTATGGAAATAATGACGATACTCTCGGTCGACGTAGAGTTCCTATGTATATAGGTTTATTAGAAATAGAAATATATTAGATATTCAAATATAGGAACTCTAGGTTGACGTATTTCTCTCTGGACAAATGGCCCTCGGATAGCACGCCATCGACTTCAAGCGTTATTACTTCTGTAACAGCCTTGATGCCTTACTTACTATTATACAATTTTCAAAATATGTACAGTGATGGACAGTGAATTTCGTCCACCCAATTTCCCTGACAGATTAAAAGTGTAAATTAGTCTTTAGGTTTTCCTAACCTTGTTTCAGAATTTTGATTAACGTTTGTCATGTGGACAGGATACTCGATGCTTCTTGCTACTTTTTACCTTTGTCCTTTGAAATGGTAGTCCTTGGTATGCCTAAAAGTATAGAGACACTTCTTCCTTTCTTGTACCAGAGAGATAATTTTTATTTTATTAAACGCACTTACTGCTGTTCTAATTTGTGATTAAATTTGACAATACATATTTTAATGTCAGTTATTATGACAATAAAGCACAGACTATAGTGAATTTTTGTGAATTTACAGAAATTGGGTGGACGAAATTCACTGTACAATAAAATGAAAAATGGGTTTGAGCATAAAGACGCTGAAACTAAGATTGTTGAGTTATTGACTAAATGATTTTCAAGTAAAAAAAGAAGAAAGTATTTTATTTTTTGCTAGGTTAAAAAAATAAAGAACAAAAAACAATAAGATATGAACGTTCTGGTATTCACAATGAAGAAAATGTAGTAAAATCTTTTGAAATCAAATTTAATAAAAACGTTTAGCTTTGTGGTCTACTCGTCTCTAAGAAATACCCCTTTTTAGCGACAAGTCTGGATGACTTTTTGGGAGATGAGGGAATTGTGGAAATTGAAAAAAAACGACAGATCTTGCAACATTGAACAAATATCTGTTGAAAAAAAAAAATGTGTGACGGTGTACAAAACATTTAACAAAGTAGCAAATTTAACAATAAATTAAATCCGACATCATTGGAATTGTAGTTATATTGTAATATGGAAATTCACAGTTCTGTTTCCTCTTTGAAAAAAAAATGTATTCATTTTTGTGCTCAGCTGAAAGTCTTATCTTATATCACCATTCGAGGGTTGGCCCGACACTTTTGAATCATCCTGTATATAACTCACCATGTACATTTATTTTCTTAAGCCTACTTAACAATAAATAATAGGAGCGTGCTTACAAACTTAGCGAGATGGTCCTCTTTTTTGGTACTTGGTCAAAAACCAGGAGGGCACAGAGTACGCGTCACAATCATACTTATTATGCATCTACTTATGAATTAAAAAACTCCCGCTTTTCGTTTTGTGCCTTTTATTGGTTTCGATAGAATAATTTTACTATATTGTGACGTTTGACCCCTTGTGCTGATTATGTTCTTATGAAATCTAGCATTAGCAAAGTTCTTTTGAATCTTAATTTCATTACGGAAAATAGGAGGTTGATCTCTTTGTTTGAGATAATTATCAAGAAATCTGTTTTAACATTGCAATTTCCATGGTAGACATAAGTCTCAAAATTTAATTATCACAAAGTGAGTGTCTATCAGTACGACTGAAAAGCGGCCAAAGTTTTGAAATTTTTGGAAGAAAAATGAAAAAGTTAACTGCTTCTATAATTGTTATTACTTTAGTTGCTGGTTTAGGTGCACTGTTCTGGCATCATGTAAATATTAAGACGACTGGAAAGCCTGCACCATCATTTTCAGCCGCATCTCATCCCGCAGTTCCAGAGAAATATGTAAATTTGATGTTCTTGTGTATGGTTCTTCTGGTCGCTTACATGATTCAACTTCTTCTTATGGTACCATAAATACAGCAATTTTATGTATTTTTTACTTTTACCACATTACTTTAGCACACTCGCGTACCAATTCCCTATCAAGTCTTTATGGTGACGAGTGCAGCAGTTTGGGGAGTTATTGCTTACAACAACAAGGTTCTGTTTTTATTTTCTAAGGCGACGGATATCTCTGTTGTTGATTTAGCGTTCCTTTACATACCGGGCGCAATATTTAACATAGCATTCTGCATAGACGTTCCCATTTTTTTTAAAACTCTCCCACAAATATTAGTCATAGGGCTTCCTGGTATTATTAAATGTTTTTTTTCAAATCAAGTTAAAAATTCGATTTCAGTGGCTGCACTTACGGGTCTTATTAATGGAATTTTGATGAGACAGTTGATAAGTGAAAGCTGGGATATAATGTTTGGCTTTTTTTTTGGACTTCTGTGTATACCGACCAATCCCAAATTTATTGGATATCTCCTTAAAGAACAGTCAATGCGCACGAAACACATCGGCGTCCTTTTGGAAGGAGAAGCATTGCTCACCTTTGTACTGGGAGATTATCTTTACTTTCTTGTAATCTCTTATATGGCAGGACATGTGATACGTTGGTACCAAATTATTAATGTGATACTCCGCTTTATTATCATGGGTAAGTGTATGTGTAAAAATTGTGGACGTTCCAGTTAAAACAGTCGATAGGTACTTTGGAAGGACTCTTATTTGGGATGGTCGGTCGTTACTTTGTACGAAAGATGTCATGGAACAAATTGAGCATGTTTTCAATATTTTTTGTAATGCCGTTTTTGAGTTTTTCTTTTTCGTTTACTTTTGGATCCGGTTCTGGTACAACAGGAATAGCGATACTCGGTCTTATATTGGGTCTCGAACGAACAACTCTAAGTAAGGAAGCCGAAAAATACGTAACTAATTTTTGGGAAGGTTTGGGATTCATAATGGACGTGATTCTCTGTGTTAGATGTGCCTTTAATGCTATGATTTATGTTATCCCAAAAACTGAATGGAGTCACTATTTTTTAATTTCTGTTGTTTATTTAGTATACTTCGTAACTCGTTTTTTTTGCTTTCTTCTCTTTCTGCCATTCTTAAAGAAATTGGGTTACGGAATGGATTTTAAGAACATGATAATTTGTGTTTGGTGTGGAATCAAAAGTCCTTTTAGTTTGCTGTGTGTAGCATCGATGGCAACATTAGACACTTCACAAGTATATGGAGACATATGGAAATTGTGCTTTTTTTTCTTTCTTGGGCTTTACTGTTTTTCCAACCTAATCAATGGCTCTTTTACGGGAATCCTTTTAAATTTCATGGGTTTCCGGACAATTTCTATAGCAAGACAAGCCAATATGAGCAACTCTATAAAACATATTTTTAACAAGAGAGAAAGAACAATTGATATATTAAAAATGGATAGATTTTTGGCTGATAATGACTGGGCATTTATTAGAAAAACAAGTACAATAGAACATCCTTATCACATAGAGTTAGCATCAGAAGAAGAAGAACAGTTTTTTTTTGGATACAGATACACATATTGTCCAGAATGTAAAAAAGATGTTGAGGAACAACCTACAACAAAAGAAATGAAGGAAATAATGAAGTAATTTTATTCATACATTACTTGCAAGCAACTTTTTTACATTTTCAGAGAAGCACAGATGAGAGTGCTGAAAGCCAAAAAAATTTCTTATGCAAGACAATTTGAAAAGGGGATGGTCTCTAAACAAGGAATGCGACTTCTCAGTCAGGGCTTAGAACTTCAAATGGACACGGGAGAATTATTTCAAATCAATTTAGATAATGTGGAAAAACAATACAGACTAGTTCGTCGAAATTTTTATATATACAGGGTGTTTCACATAATTTTACGTTGTAGAATATTTGTCAACGTCTTATCTGGAAACTCCTTCTTAAAATTCAACATCTGCATGCAATGTGTAAGCGGCCAAAAACTTATTGGAGACGAGTCTGTTATTATCTCGTTATTAAAACATCATACTTAGATATATTTATATTTGTTATTGTCATTCTTAATGTTGTCGCCATTGGAATTGATTGGCGTTATCATTCAACAATGGACAAAGACAGTACCCATATTCAACACTCCCACAAATACTGTTACGTTATGATATCAATAACACTGATTTTTGTTTTTATTTATTTTTTGGAATTTTTAATAAAAGTCATGGCATACTCGCGTAGAAGAATATGTGCTGACGGACTGACGAGATACTTCAAGTAGGTAGGTACTGCAATATAAATGTTTTTTTAAACTTTACAATTTTTTAGATCCGTTTCAAATAGCATTGATGTTATGATCATTATTATACTTATAGTTAATGTATCTGTTAAAGCTGCTACTTTGTCTTCTAACCACGAAGAAGAAGAAGAATCTGTTTTCGTAGTGTTTAATTGGTTACAGTTACTTGTGGTTTTAAAACTAGTCCTAGTTTTACGTATTTTCAACCCTATCTTTTTAAACTGCCTGGATCGCAGTGCGGACGCAAAAATAGCTTTGATTTATGATATCTGCAAAAGTTACGCTTCGACCCATGGCGAAATTTTAGAATTGCTGCCTTATTTAATCGACAATAAAAAAGCAAGAGAAGAAATTAAGATGAAACTCGATAATGATCGTTTGCTTATTACTAAAATGCTGGGACTTATTCAGAAAGAAAAGCCTTGGGTGGCCATTACGGTCAAGTCAAAACAAGCGATTCGAACGATTCTTAGTTGTATGTCAGAGGCAGTGACTCAACTTAAAGTTGGGGGTAGTTTTCGGAATTGAGTTGATTTTTTTTGTTAATTATGTCTTAAAGGTTGGATAGACAATTTTGAGCAAGATAAGTTATTGGTAGCAATGGATGTTTTATATGAGAGAGTAAACGCCATCGGTATGGTCCAACCAAGCGCCCCTAAAGTGATCTTCAAGGAGGTGGCGTGGATGGCTGAAGATGAAGATGTTATTAATTTTCTTTTTGAAAATGTTACGGTTAAAAAATTTGATACTGGAGATGTAGTTTTTGATGAGGGCGACGTTGCTGATGGCATCTATATAGTCGTAACAGGTTGAGTGATTTTTTTAAAATTTACATTTGAGTAAAATATCTTTCAAGGACTTTTCATTGTTAGTTATAATCCTAGTAAAAATTGCCTCGAAAGTTTACACGAATATGGACAACTGCCTATTGTGGATTACCTCTCTGGAACAAAATATGCAAATCCTGCGGTGGATTACGTAGTTTCAGGAAACTGTATAGGAGAACTAAGTTTTTTGACTGGGAGACCCTACAACTGTACTATTCAAGCCGAAGCACCTAGTCAGGTTTACGTGTTGAGCTGTGGTGTTTTAAGACGAGCGATGGAATTAAGTCCCGATCCAATCATTGGGTTCATATAATCAAATTTTTGTAGATGCATTTTTAAATAATTTACATATCTATAGTTTAGAGTGTAGAATTTGGAAAGAAGTTAGCATTAGAATTGCAGTACCACTCCTTCTGGCCACTCCAGCTTATCAATCCTTGAGTCATGAACAAGTCAAATATGCTCTAGAACGAGCTTTTGTACCAAATTTAAGAAAATATAAAATTTTTAACGTGACTGATATGATCGAAGATGTAATAATCGTTGATGGTCTTGTTGCCGATTTCAATACACGGGAGACTTACTTAGCTCCTTGCTGTATTTCCAGGTTTTGTCTAATTTATTTCGTGAAAAAACTTTTTTTATTTTTTCCTACATCATAGAACTGTACAAAAAATTATTTTGCCTACAAGCAGTCTAATGAATGTCCCATTTGATGTTGAGACAAAGATTTTAATCGTCCCTGACCGCGAAGTGGATGAATACGATGTTATGATGTTGGCAGAAGAAACTTGTGAAATGGTATTAAATTTAATTAAAAGGTAACAGTATTTATAAAGCGAAGATTTTTAAGCTTTCTACAGGATCACAATCTAAATGTCTTCAACACACAGTACAAGAACGCATTAAAAATAGAAGACGAAACAGAGCTAATTTACGCCAAAGACACGTTGATAAGCAAAAATCTTCTTATAGTTCACGCAGTGCTCCCCGTTCAACTACATCATCGGCGTCGACATACTCGCGTTCGGTAACTACTCTATCTTCAGTCGCAATAAATTGAATTGTTGAAATTTTGTTGTAGGCAATTGAATCTTTAGCAAAAGAGAGCATGTCCTTTAATGATTTTCTACAAGAACAAGAACAGAGAAAACTTTCGTATCGCACAGAGTCCTAACGTCCTGATTTAGATTAAATTAGATGTTGTTATAAATTGCATTTGTAATATATTTATATCACAATAATATTAAAATCAAGCTGTCTTTTAATTCGTACAAAAACATTCTTTTTCAATTAATGAATTATATTTATTTGTGTGGTTAGACATGTGACGATCCAAACGAAATACTGTGTTCCTGTGTGCTGGCAAATGAAATTTTTGTGGAAGCAACAGCCTGTAACCTTTTTTTAAGAGACCTCGAACTAGAACCCATATATGAATGATATTTAGAAGCTTTTCCTCCGATTTTAGCTTTTTGTTTTATGAAATGGCGAAGACACTTACTTGCATTATCACTGACCTATAAGCCAAAGTAGTATCTAATTTTTAAACGTACCAGATTTTACCAATTCACAGGTTTCCTCTTCTGTAAGCATTATGTCGTATCCATCATAGTCCTTAGCTGGAATAACCAGTAATTTAGTTTCAATGCGTACTTCAACATTAATTAGACTGCTTTTGGGCATTACCAATTTTTGTACCGTCCTGAAAATCTCCAGTTATCTAGATAATAATGTAGAAGGAACAAACCTAGGTATATAGCAAGGTGCAATGTACAAATCCCGAGTGTTAAAATCGACAACACTACCTTCGATTAGTATAATGTCGCTCATCATTTCATTTACCACAAAAATTTTATAGTTCGATAAATCCGGAACAAATGAGCGCTCGAGAATGTATTTAATCTTTTCTAAAGTGTAAGAACGGTACGATGGGACGTTCAACATGATCGTAATTGCTTTACGAAAACTAATGTACTTCCAAATTCGGCAAGCTAAACTGCAAAATATTTCGTGCACAAGAGCGGAATTAATTTACTGACGCACCCTGTCACCGGATCCGTATCCATTTCAATGGCTTTTTTCACAACATCTTGGTTGAGGACATAGACCTGACTGTGAGTCTCAGCAGTGACAACGCCACTGTATGGTCGTTCCGTAATTGTTGATAATTCACCCATAGTATTCCCTGGGATTATGTATTCAAACAAGGCCTCCTCGTAATCAAGGGACGATATAGCGTCAATTCCCGGCAACAAACCCGTCATCTTTAAGGTAGCTATTACATCTTCGTTTGGCGTGTACGTTACAAGGAACATTCCTACAATTTGAATAAAAACAAAAGTTATAGGAGGAAAATTTTGGTAAAACACCTGTCACGACAATGTAGATGCCTTCAGTGATATCTTCTTCACTGACAATAACATCTCCGGGATCAAATTTCTTAGTAGCAATGTTATTGTACAGGAAATTAATCAACTCGCAGTCGTCACCAATATATGGTACTTCTTCAAATATCTTCCTGGGCAACGTTGGTGCGATGCTTTTTATGCTATTGACGTATTTACTTCGTTCGCCCAAAGATTTAAAGAGTTTGTTGTATTCGACCTCATCTACCCATCCTGAGATTTTTAATTCGTGTAAGTCGTCTATCATGCTGTTTATAACAGCTCGTAAAGCTGCTTTTGTTTTGACGGTGGGAACAAGCCAACCTCCATGTTTTACAAACATGCTTATTCTTTTTACAATTGCAAGACGGTCTTCTTGCATTTTTTCTTTTATTATTAATCGTATTTTTTCATTGTCGATTATTTGATGAAGAATTTCCAAAATCTCTTCTTCGGCAACGACATAGTTTTTGGCCATTTCAAAAGCCATTGCTCTGTGAGAATCAACTTTACTATCTAAGACCTTAATCATCGTATTAGGCAGGGTTTTGAAGAACTTAATGACTCGAAGAAACTTCAACAATGTCAATAAACGGAAAATTAGACAAATCACAAGAAGTATTTCCAAATAGATACAAACTGAAGTGAAATGAAACAAAAGTTTGAAAAAGTAACATAACAGTGTGGCGAACGTAAAGCATAGGATTACATATTCAGTCAAATTGTGTTGATACCTAAAGTTATAACATCAGTAACAGTAAAAATCATTTAGAGTTTTACCCGAAGTAAGTCGATAACGTATGTGTTATCTTATGTGACCAAGAATATGCACAAAGTTTTATTCCAAATATGACAAGGTAGATAATAAAAAATAAAATAGCTAAGCCAAATTTAATGTAGTACACCATAATTAATGTTTTCGACCTCAATGCGAAACTTGTTATGAGCAAACTAATGTTGATTACTATGACAATGTATATCGAAGTTTTGAAAAATGTCGTTTCGATAAAGTGGTAACACCACAATTTCCACTTGACTCGTGGTGCTTTGTAGTCTTCACTTCTCGATTTTAGGACAGCCTGAACACGGTTTCGCAGAAACCTATAGAAAGCTCTCTACAAGAGAATAGTCTCAAAGCATAATTTGTGACACACCTCTTTTGTGAAAAGTTTGTAAAGACCATCGAGTTCGATGACGAGTTCATCGCTGTCCATTGCAATTTCGACAGCTTGTTGTAAGATTCTAAGTCCTTCTTTAGATATCATTCCACTTTCAAACTGTCTGGCATAAATAGTTTTCTTCAGTTTGAGGATTCGAAGTTTCGCTTCTTTGAGCATCTCTTTCAATTCTTTGGAAGTAGGTTCATTTGGTATATCTTTTTCGCAATCTGGACAGAAAGTGTATTTGTATCCGAGGGAAAAGCCTTCATCGTTTTCATCTTCGTCTTCATTTTCTGCAGTTTTGGATTTCTTGTAAGGATGTTTCAACGTTGTTGTGGTCATGACCAATGGCCAGTTGGCGTCAGACAAGAATCTTTAAATAAGGGTTTATACTGATGGCAAAGTTTTGATAAGTAAGTAAAACCATCGATATTTGGAGGATACAGAATTTTAAGCTAGTAAATACTAAATACCTACGTATTATCTAAAAATATTCAGTACGGTCCATTTTGAAAAAATCGTTTTAAACATCTGGTTGGAATTACCCTTAGTGGGTCTTACGACAGAGGTGCTATAAACTACTTAGAGCGCCAAATCCTCCAAATATCAATAGCTGAACTATACCTACCTGTCCATCTTCAAGATTGCCACAGTACGACTTCTGGCTTCATACAGATATTTCATGCAATTGTTCATGTTTATTCTTCGAGATGTTGAAATTTCCGCAAGTCCTAAAACACGAAGCACACACATTGTGAAACTTCCATTGATCAAAAGCATCAAGAAGTAGACGCCGACAGTATGGAGAAAAATTGCTTTGTTTCGTGTCATTTCGGTTGCTAGAGCGGAATAGGAAATACAAACAGGGTTTTTCAAACCGGCCCAAACATAAATAATCATATTTGAAAAGGTCATTCCGTAACCGATGCGACTCAAAATCGGCGAGAACAGAAAGAATGAAATAAAGCGAGTGATGTTCCACAACAAATAAGTGACTAAAACAAATATGTAGTCTTTATAATTAAAAGTAGTTCCAATCATTTCAGGGAGAGCGCTGCCCGTGAGAAAAATTATCACACTCGTCATCAAGTAACAAATCATTTTCCAAAGGTTCACAACTGATTCCTCTACTTCTTTTGAGAGAGACTGACGCTCATATGCCATCATTACCGCCGATATTATAAGGGTGAGAGCCCCTGCGTTAGATAAGATGTACTCTCCAATATAATAATTAGAATAGCAAGCAGCAACGGTGAGGACCATCAGATACGAAGGGTCGTTGTAGGAGAATTTCATCAAGAAAACACAGAAGAAGCCTAAGACATAACCTAGGAAAAGACCTAGACACAGAAAAATATCACCTAATTGCAACAAACAACTTTACCCCCGATTATCAACCGCACAAACCCCATGACGAACTGGTACCAGTATACCACTAACGAAAACATATGCAATAACGTCAGCTGGTAAATAAACCATGGAAGAATTGTTGAGAAAAGCGTCTCTCCTTGAAGCAAAGACGTAACGTACTTGTTCTGGATAGTGTTTTCTTGGAGATAGCGCAACACATCCACGGGATAAATCGCACTGTTCACAAATCCAAGGAAGATTCCATCGGTGACTTTCCAGTTTTTAGGGTCTACGACCATCTGTGCGACCAAGCCGCACAAAAGGGTACTGAGAACAGAAACTAAGGGCAATTTTAAAGTGCGAATTTTCCTTTGTATGTACCTGGAAACGAAATGATTAACACTTGGGTCAATGACCTGACAAATGAATGCACGTCCAGACAGAAAGCTGTGCTGAAAAGTAACACCGGGAGGTAAACTTCCTTAAAAAGCGGTATGACAAAATAAAATTCCACTCCCAGATTGTACATCCAAAACGAAAACTTCATTCCAACACCCCAGAAAATACCTAGGAAGAAGACGAAGACTCCGTGGGGGATGGGTATCTCGTACGCCTGATCAGATTAATTCGAGGTTATAAATCAGGAAGCAACTTACGGTGAAAATATGACGAACAATTGTTACCAGAAGTATTACACTAAAAATATGAAGGTACTTCATAGAATTGGTCCTTTCTTCCATGTGAAAATTCTCGATATCAGTTGGCTGACCACCAACGTAAATTAGAAGGATCAAAATTAAAATCAATACAGATTTCATTTTTATAATTGCATTTGTAAGACAGTTCATTAAACACGTTGTCTAAGAAAAAACTGACAGCACGCTGAAAGCCAACTACGTTAAAATAAGAACTTTATTTAGAACAAAACTAGAACAAAATACATGAAAATAAGGATGAGCATTTGATTATTTCTGTTGCTCAGCACTTCGTTTATTCTCTTCCTCCTCTTCCAAATAAACACTATGCGTTTCAGAATCGGTTCTCTTGAAAAACAACATACCGCCTGAATCACTCTGCAAACAAACCAGTATAGGAGAAATTTTAACCTCATCCTGTCAAATACCGATTCTGGTTTGAACTTGCTCAGAGTTTTACTAGTAGAAGTCCCTTTTTTCCTCGAAGTCATCATTTTTATTTTTTTCTTTCGAGTTTTTTCTTGTGTCGCATGTTGGAGACATTTCAAATTTGCTCCGGCATCCACCATCTCGCACGTTTCTTCAGCTAAAATCATGACATCATATTCATCTACATCTTTCTCGGGAATTATAAGTAGCTTCGTATCTAAGAAAACTGGAATGTTAAGTAAGCTACTCTTTGGAAGTATGAGTTTTTGGACGGTTCTAGGAATACAACAAGGGGCAACAAAAGTTTCTCTAGTATTAAAGTCAGCAGCAGTGCCTTCAATTAAAATAATGTCTTCAACCATATCAGTGACGGCAAAAACCTTGTAATTGGATAAATTTGGGACAAAGGCACGTTCGAGGGCGTACTTGATTTGGTCTTGGGAGAAACCTTGATAAGCTGGAACCGACATAAGAAGAGGAACGGCCATTCTTATACTGACTTCTTTCCAAAGCCGACATTCCAGTCTAAGGAAATCAAGAGTGACAATTTTTGGCAAATTTGGAACTTACCCTACGACGGGGTCTGGACTTAGCTCCATTGCCCGATTTATAACACCCTTACTCAAAACATAGACCTGGCAATGTGCATCTGCAGACACAGTACTGTTATAAGCTCTTCCAGTCAAAGTGCTGAGCTCGCCTATACAATTACCAGACACTATATAGTCTACAACACGTTCGTCGTATTGCGTAGCCGATAAATAATCACCGATTGGCAATTGGCCAAATTCATGCAAACTAGACAATACATTCGGTTCCGGTTTATAAGTGATCATAAAAAGACCAGTCACGACGATGTAAATACCATCAGCAACAGTTCCTTCGCCAAACACTACATCCCCAGGTTCGAATTTCTTTACCGTGACATTTTCAAATAGAAAATCAATAACGTTTTGGTCCCCTGCCATCCACGCAACTTCCTTGAAAATGACTTTGGGGGCGCTTGGTTGGACCGTTTTGATCGAATTTACTTTGGACCACAGCTCACCAATGACTTGGGTCAGTTTTTCTTGTTCATAGTCGTCGACCCAACCTTGCATAAAGCATGGAAAATTGTCCGAGAAAAAAAACAACTCACCAGCAATCTTCAACTGATTTGCTGCTTCCTTCATCGAGTTCAAAATCGTCCGAATTGCTTGTTTCGTCTTCACAGTTATTGCAATCCAAGGTTTCTCCTTTTGAATCACTCCCAACAACTTTGTTATGATAACCTTATCCCTTTCAATTTTCTGCTTGATTTCTTCTCGGATTGTGTTATTGTCGATTATGTAGGGCAACATATCCAAAATTTCAGTCTCTCCAATTGCATAACTTTTCCCCAATTCATACGTAAACGCCAATTGGGTGTCAACAACCCGGTCTAGATACATAATAATTTTCGGGTAGAAGATTTTCAAAATTGTGAAAAGTCGCACGACTCGCAGAACTCGCAAAAGGGTCAAAACATGATAAAAGGCATCATACTCGTTCTTGGGAATTTTTGCATATAAACACTTCAAGTCATAATAAGCGTCCATCGTACATGCCACCAATACGATGAAATCAATAATTCGCCAAACAGACTTGAAATAGGTCTTAATTCCGTGATTCCAAATCTGGATCCAGGAAAATGCCAATACTTTCACAATCATCTCAAAGATGTAAATGAAAGAGAAAATAAGATCAAGGATTGAAATCGCAACGTCAAGTTGTTTATTTATGGTATCTTCATGGTGTCCTGGCGGATGATATATTATGTCCACGATTATGAAAATGCAATGAATGGTTATAACGACCAACATAAAGTGTTCGAATGTATTATTGATGCAAAGCCGGTAACAAAGTCGTCTAAAATATTTGCGAGGAGGTTTGATTATATCGGCTTGAGTTCGGTCTAAATGTTTGACCCTCTTTCGAATGCATCGATATATACAGTTCTGCAAAAACGAATTAGATATATTTGTTAAATTAAGAAGTGTGAACACCTCTTCTTTGAATCGTTTCTCGAGCCCTTCGAGTTGGATCATTGCGGCTTCAGTGTCCATAGCAAGCTCGACGGCTTGACTCAAAATCCGGATTCCCTCTTTGGTCATCATGCCGTTTTCGTACTGACGCGCATAGCACATTTTTTTGCTTTTAAGCACCCTCATTTTGGCCTCCTTGGCCATGTCTTTTAATTCTCTGACTGTTGGTTCTTTGGGAATTTCTGTTTTGCAATCGGGGCAAATTGTAAACCGATATCCTAGAAAAAAGCTGTCTTCTTCGGTATCTTCCATTCCCATACGGTATGGATGTTTCATGTCAGTCGCTTCAATAACGACCGGCCAGTTGACGTCAGCTAAAAATCTATCAATGTGTTAGATTTCACGAATCATTTCAGTTTTACCTGTCCATCTTTAGGATGGCCACAGTTTTGTTCCTTTTGGTGAAAATATGTTTCATGCAGTTTGTCATGTTGATTTTTCTCGCTATAGAGATTTCTCGCAAGCCTAAAAACTCCAAGATTTTTTTTGTAAAAGTCCCATTGATTAAAACAGACAGGAAATAAATGCCCACACATTGAAAAAATATCCGTTTCATTTTTTCTAGTTCTAACTCATCCTCTATGAAGATTAAGGAAAGGGCTAGACTAAAGGAACTCTTGAGGCCGCTCCATACACACACTATCATGCATTTTAAGTCCATGCCGTATCCTAACCGACTGATTATGGGAGAAAATAGGAGGAAACATATGAATCTGATCGAGTAATATGTCAGATAAGTCACAATTATGCGTATATACGAGGAAAAATGTGCAACACGGGCTATTTTAACAGTAGCCAGCAACGCAATAGTGACACACATGACCGCATCAAGAACATACCCTATGATTTCCCATATGTCATTCAAAAACTGGTTTGTTTCTTTTGCAAGAACTGTGCGTTCTATTGCCATCATGGTACCCAAAGTCATAACGGAAATAGACCCACACCCAGATATGTAAAGATCTGACAAAAAGAACGTAAAGTAGGGAAAACTGAAGGAAATCAAGGAGATGGTGAAAGGGTAACGGTGCATTGTGCGCATCATGTAACGACCAATAAGACCCATCAAATACCCAAATGCGATACCTAAATAGGAGTTTTATTATTAGTAGATATTTTTGACTTCTACGACTTACCAAACAAAACAAAGCGTAGAAACACCATTACAAACTGATACCACCAAACGACGAATCCCTTTTTATGGTTGCTAACCAAATCGTGTGTAGTTTCTGCGAAAAGCATATTGAAGAGGGCTTCGCCTTCCAACAGAGTGCTGATGTGTCTAGTTACTGTTGTTTGCTGCTTCAGAAGGTACACAATGCTTGCAGGATTGATCGGAACAATAAAAATACCGAAAATTAGTCCAATAGATAACGACCAATTCGGTTCAATCACCATTTTCATCATGATTCCGAAAAGGATTCCAGTTAGAAGAGTTACTACAAATAATTAGAGATTGTTCCAATAGTAAATCGGATTTTGTACCAAAAATTCCAATCACCATAAGTTGCGGAATAATCTTGAGGAAAATGGGGACGTCGAGATTGAAACTGGTGGAGAAGACCGCGGCAGGTAAGTAGATGTAGATGAGATCGATAATACTGGTGGTCATGGAGTCGGAAGCAAGGAGCACAAAGCGACTATTGTTGCAGATGAGCCCCCAGATGACGCCGATGAAGATCATGAAGGCGCCGTAAGGGGTGGGAATGTCGTATCGCTTAAAGTAGGTCATTATTAGAGAGTTGGGAATGGTGGCGACTTACGAGTAGGATGATTCGCATTATGGTTGCTAACATGATTATCACGAAGAAATAGATTACGTTATACTGAGATGGAATTGCGGGGTATTGGGCACGGGGACTGTCTATACGAAATGTTGTGTTGAGGAAGGCCTGGCATGATTCGCATAGGATTAAGATTAACAAAAACTTTATTTTAGACATTTTGATAAAGTTTTGCCAGTTTTATGGTCGCTAAGGTTACACGCAACATTGGTGATTTAAAATTTTATCCGGAAAAATTGTTATACTTTTTGTCCTTTATACATTCATTAATCATTACGTTTCCGTTTGTAATTTTGTAAAATTAAAAAAAAAATGTACAGGACATTGATAGATACTAATCTAGTGCATCAACCATACAGCATGGAACACCCTATTTTTTATTTTTGCTTCTAATAGATTAATAAATTGTCTATCTAAAAAAATAAACTTTTAATGTCTGGAATTGATAAATGATAAGATATTTAACATTCAATATTAATTGTAGCAACAATGCCTATCAATATCTGAGCACTGTTGATACTATATATTGCCATGTGGCAACCATAGTAATTCCACTACAGATCACTTATCTGTTGATTTATACAGAGATTGTAAAAGTCTTTATAAATACTGAAATTCGAATTATTTTATTGTAAAAAGAATAATGGATTTATTTTAACACAAATGTGATTATTAAGGCCCGTCCGGAGCAAACTTGGCCTTCAGAATTTTACAACACTGGTTCAGCTGTCAAGCTGGGATCGGTAGCAGTCATAAACGACAATCTAATGGAAGAACATAATTTACTTTCAGGTATAAATTCGCTCAAATTTTTATTAGCACTGTTGTAATATTGCTACCCGATTTTAGATTGCGAATTATTTAATTTTGGATTACCTCTTGAAGTTATCGACTTGGATAACAACAATCTATATTTCGCTAGTTGTAAAAGTTCAAAAAAGCGTCGCAATCCCACTTTTGTTTTTGATTTTGAAATCTTAAATTTTTTTAAAACGATTTTCTTGTCGGGCTCGTAAATATAATTTTATACTTTTTAATGTTTTATTAGGATTCTTTTAATATTATCTTAGATAATTGCCAATTTAGTTTACTTATATCACCTTGGTGATAAATAATAACAAATAAATAAAAATCAAAGGAAATGATTTTTTATTTAGTAAAAATTCTTATTAATTAATTTAATTGAATTTCCCTTAGTGGCATACTTCTGGACGCTCTTGGATCAATTATTTCCGGAAGTAGTGCCCTCATGTAAAATTTCTCCAACTTCGACTCCATTTTTTGCTTCCAGAATTCATCCTCCTTTTGAATCACTTCTGCTTTTAATCGGCTTTCTCCAGTCCACACACATAACAAACATTTTTGCTTGTTGGTTACGTGCAGTTGTCCCTGGATTTGATAAAACCAGTCATGGTTTTTATTAATTTTGAAAACTCCTTCGGATTTAAATTTCCAAAACGTTATTAGTTTTTTTTTTATGGCTTCCTCGGGTGTATATTTTTGTTTAAAGGCCGTATACGGACATTTTATTTGAACTATCATTTCTTCGTTTTTAATGATACCGTCTGGCGATGCTCCCAAAAAAAAAAACTTCCCTGTCAGTAAATAATCCGCAGCGTTCAACAATAATATTTTCCCCCCTTTCAGCACTTAGTTTCTTCTCCAACTCCCTCCTGGCATCGATTTCATGAATTTTACCGTGATTTAACGACGGTATATTTGGCGAAGTTACATTGTAAAGTAAATGTTTTACCGTAGCAGCAGTATTTGTGGTTTTTCTTAATTTACATATTTTTCCAAAATTTGACGCTGTTAGCATTTTTCTTCGCATTTGCATCCACTCTCCTCCTACATCTTGGTCTCTTGTATTCTTTTCGATTTCTTCTAATTCTTTGTCCGTTTTTCTTAATTTTAGTAAATATTCCTTTTCTTCTTCCTTATACATTTCTTGGCACATATCGGGCTGTTGCGATGCCTCGCCATACGATTTGGTATCTTTTGAATCGTGTTTAAAATTATTTCTTAACCTATTTCTTCTCGAAAGCCTATCTTTTGTTATTTTTTTTAACCTACGGTTTTCAATTGTGTAAATAATTTTATTGTTTTTTTTGAAAAATACTGTTCGTCATTTTAGTATTATGCGAAATAACGGCGGCAGCACATCTTGCTTAATATGAGTTGCCAAGCGCATAATTAATTCTTTTGTCTCCAACAAATTTGGCAACAATGGAGTGATACTGTTCACAAATATTACTTGTAAAATTCATTATAAGACTTTTCGCGTGATTAGCAGTGTACCTACTGACGTATATTATTTTATTTATTTACGATAGACTAGATTATATATTTTTTTAAATTTTACTATTTAAAGTTCAATAATGGACTTTTTCAACTCGCTGGGACAATACAGAGTGATTCTTAAATAGACCGACAAAATTTTATCCTTGGTAGTATCAAATGAGAACATGCTGGAAAAAATATTAAAAAAATACATTGTTTAAACCATCGCCGTCTCCATAGAAATAATCCTTTTCTCGCCTGGGCATTTTTTGAGTTCAACTGATTCCCGTTGGCGCTTTAATCTGGGGAAATTTTTTGACATATCCAGTTTTTTAGCTTAAAGAGTTCAACCTCATAATAACAATTCTCCCTGGCGTATCTTGTTTTGTTGTATCCTTCCTTCCCAGCATTTATTAATTGCGTTATTTTTTGTTAATAATTAAAAATCATTCAGTTTTTCCTTAGTAATCCCCGTAACTAAGAAAAAATCGGAATCACTGCTCCAATGCATTTTTTACGAAATGCCCAGGCGGGATATTGATACATTTCATTAAGGAGGCGGTGGTTTAAACATTCTCCAAATAAAATTTATTAAAGTTATTTTCGAGATAAAGCGTACGCCACTGATGTGTTCATAAATAGTATTAGGAAACCATGGTATTAACTTGATGAAAATGTATTTGATCATTGCAACAATTCATAAACGCCGTAAGTGGCACGGATCAAAGGGGTTTTGCCCCTAAAAGATATAAACGTAAAAAGGGTACAGTTTGTCTCCATTTATCCTTGGGAAGCTGTGATAAAATTTTGTCGGTTTACTTAAGAATCATCCTGTATATTCGTACAAGGTTCATGTGAGATATATCAGTTTTTTCTCCGCGAAATCTTACTAAAAGAAGAAACCAAATGAATGAAATACGATTAAAGTGTTAAGACGTTTACTACACTATAGATTACAGGCAAAATTATTTACTGGAACAATCCTTTGGTTTCTTATTGTCCTGCACTTCTTGCCTGTCTTCATCGTTGGTCAAAAGTAAATCAAAATCAGTAAAAGGAGGTGAAGTCGAATCTAGTAGATTCAATTGGTGATCCTGTAGAAGAGTTTCGAGTCGATTTCTTTCATTACTAATTTTTTCATGATTTTTAAAATTAGCACCTGTTGAGTCATCTGTTAAATCGAGCGACTTCAAGAGCGCTTCCACAGATTCCAGTGTCGAGGTGTCTTGTCTGGATGTTGAACACATTTGGGAACTTTTCTGATTCGAATTTAATTTATTCACTGCTTGACTATTTTTGAAAATATCGGTGAAACTTATTTTACTCTCGTCGAGTTTTCCCTTCTTAGGATCATCTACTTTCAGACCACTTACTTTCTTATAGTGACCCCCAAACCCTCGTTTCACCCTTGAATCATCACGCCCTGATTTAAGCAAATCCAGCTTCCTCAAAGCTTCAATTTTTTTCGGAAAACGAGGAGCTGTCAGTATGCGACTCTTATTTCTTATCAACTTCGTCAAAGATCGTTTTGGATAATAAAAACTATCGATTTTTTGCGGCCCATTTTTACTTATTCCCACCTCTTTGGGTATACTTGGACCATCCAGACTCTTGTTCATAGAAAAATTCAAATCGCTCAAAATCCGTCCCAGGATTTCTTTACTCGAAAAAATATTAAACGATTCTTTCGAATCTGAATTTTTAAAATTAAAACGAGAGTCTGTAAACTGAGGTCTTGAACTGAATTTGTCGTTGTCGAATTTATGACTTGAAAGAATTGCATCACACACTGCTGTTAATAACTTGTTGTGCTCCTGACCGGTCCTTTTTATGACATTATCAGATGATAAGCAACTTATCGTTTGGTTCGAAACGATTGGCTTCACCTCGTGCTTCAAATCTTTCTTATCGTTGAACAGATTCATGATATTTATGTTATTTTTCAGTAAGAGATCGAGTGATTTAAGTAAGGCATTCGATTTGAAATCACTAGAAGAAGGTTTCTTACTCCCTAAATAATTAGTCAGGCAGAAATTGACAATATTGTCACTGTTTATTGTCGAGGAATCATCATTTTTTTTCTTGGAAGAATTTTCGTCTGGTTGGTTGCTTTTACAGGGACAACATAAAGGTTGGACACAAGGACAGCAAGCCTTTTGTCGACAAGGACAACAAACAGGTCTCTTACACCTACATTTACATTTACGTTTTCGCACACAACAAGGGCGTGGCCTGGGAAGATGCATTTCACTTATTTTTGTCGCTTTTTCTTTCATTTCTTTTACGGTTTGTGTTTCTATAGTTTTGCTTTCGCGTCGTTTTCCTTGGTCACGTTCACACGGACAACAGCAGCAAACTTGAGTCACACAAGGACAAACATTACAACAGCACTCATAGTCCATCCCGCAACAGCAGCAATCGTCAAAATCGTCCAAAACCGCGTCGTTGATTGGTTGTGGCTCGGGTTGAGCGGGTCTTGGGAGCGGAGCGTTTGGGGTGGTTCTTTGTGAGGCCCTGTTATCGTTTGTACTTTTCTTAAAACAGCTAAATAATCTTCCCTTTTTCTTTTTTTTCTCACTGAGAAAAAAATAAGCAAAATAAACCAATAACGCGATTGATTCGATTTACCCTGGAGGTTGTTGGGCGGGGGAAAATTCCTTTGGTGAATCGGATGGTTGCCTTAACTCAACTCGAGGTCGAAACTCTTCTCTGTCGCTTTTTTTTACCCATGTCCACCCAGACCATTTGCAGTACTGTAGTTCCCAGTCACTGGATGGCCCAGGAGGCTCGGGTGGAGGGAAATGGTTAATGGTGGGTTCGGTAATGATGCCTGGAGTGTCTCTTACGGGTCGTTCGTGGATGTCGTTTCTATATTTTCGAGAATTTTTGCACTTGTTTCGTTTCGAACATGGATATTCGATGTCTTGAGGGGCCATGCAGTAGGACATTTATAAAGAAAGATTTTTGGTTTTTTGACACATAACCGGCGGAAATTTTTAGTAACACAATCGAAAAATAAACAAAATGTTGTAGAATGACATTTTGATGACATTCAGAATATACTGAGGGATCTGAAAACTAGGATCAACAAAATGTCAAATTGCTTGTTTACTCATTTATTAATTCCATTATGTACAAATTATATAATTATGTAAGTAGAGCGTAGCAAATAAAAAAATATTCACAATCAATCAAGAGCTTGCATGTGCTGAACGTGAATATTGGGATTATTCCTCACATCAAAATTGGGATCATTTTCGGTGTTGTACCTCCCTAATCGTGACATAATCAAGATTAGAACTACGACCCCTAGCACTAGAATAATCCCCAACATGCAATACTTCCTATAAAAAGATTTGCCACCTCTCACTTTTGACGCCCCCCCAAACGTTATCCTGGCAAAAATTCTGATAAAAATAATCTCGAATTAGAAATGCGCTTACCTCCACCAAGTTTTAACTAATTCGCTTGCGGGCCTCCTTTTATACTTATCCTCATCATGATCAAAAACTACCGGCTTGACCTCCCTCACATCCTGAAAAATTCGTCTATTTGATGACGCCTGATATGCCTCAGTCCCTGTCCTGCTGAAAGCTCCTTGATCCTCCACATTCACAACAGAATGTGACGGATTCGGAGACTTATTCGTTGAAATAGACGACGTGTGATTGACCACAGCTTTTACTTCCCTGTCTTCAGATAACTAAAACTGCAGATCAAATAAAATCAAAGTGAGGCATGTCTTTTACCAGCGGAAGTCCCAAACCGGCCCTAGCCCAGTTAACACCCACCAGTTTCTCTTTCAAGACGTCAGCAACAGGGCTGATTAAATTTGAAGGAGGAAACAGAGGGCTCTTGCACGAGGGACAAGTGTAGCCTCGGGGGGCTGTCGTAGGTGGCAACTGCCGTGAAAAGTGGTCTAGACATGACCAATGAAATACATCTGAAATTCGTCAAATCGCAACTAATACAACATAATGTATAAAGGGGCTTACGGTAACAAGTTAGTCTAATACTGTCCTCTACGTTCAGTTCTTTATTACACAACTCACATATTGAGTTGTAGTCGCTGTCTTGTAACCATTGCAAATAAGATTGAACGACGCACTAAGCAATTTTATTAGAAAAAAGGAAAAAAAATGTGGCAAAAAGACTTACAATTGGATGGTTAGTGACCATACAGTTTTCACAAACACAAACACGATGTTCGAAACAAAATTGGTTTGTGACGCGACGTTTTGGGCATTTGCAAAGCCCCATTGCAATATTTTGGTAAAAACAGACGTAGTTTTTTTAATAATAAATATAAAACATCGGAGCCACGTAAATGACGTATTTGTGACAATAATGACATATATGACAGTTGACAAATGAAATCTGTGTGTGAATTGGCGGTCGAATGTTACTGCGTTATATAAACAATACCCGAAGGCTCGTTCGACCGATTTTATTTTTAATTATTTTATTTTGAAGTGTTTAAAGCTCCAGACCCCCTGAAAGCTGGCGTATACCTATTACCATGGCCAACTTCATCTGTCTTCCGCTGCGCTCTATACGGCCGTAACATAACGAATCAAAAGTCAATTCTCCTAACCTCAAAAATATCGTCGAAATCGTCCGGTAAGTAGTGCCATCTACTTGGTTAAGGCTTAACTTATCGTTTGCCAAGATAGGGAATTTCAATGCATTTTTCGAAAAGGTTTTTCTCGGCTATTATAAGGAAATCATCTGGACTTCATTAATAAATTTATTCTTTCTAAATAAATTTCTTACTTTTAAGTTAAATAATAATTATTGATGGAAATTGTTCTTTTTTAATAAACGTTAACAAAAATTCAACAATACAATAGAAATATGTATTAATTATAATAATGAGAACCAATCGGGAAGAATAATTATTGTACCAGATTTCTTGGATGAGGCTACATCATGTTGTTATAATTTAAAAATTTTTCGACTTACGGGTTTGTTCTGAACAACTTTCCTTTTTACATTATCGGTTTTTTCGAGACAAATATTATTTAAAATTGGTTTAGACAAGAGTTCAATTATTAATTTACAAATCTTATCTTTATGTTCATTGCAGGTAAAAATGACGTTTTGAAGAATATGTGGATATAAAAGATTGACTAATTGTTGGCAAGTTATTTTGTAAAATTGTTCAGATTTTAGAGATGAATGAAAAAAGTAGCCTGCTGGTATTGTGAATTTGGTACTCAAACCATGATCACGTAACACAGCATTTGATTGCAATATCTGTTTTTTTTCCTACCGAGTTGGGTTCGCAATTACTTAGGCCGTAAATATACACTGAGAGAACAGTTTTTTACTAGTTAAAGATTTAGCTTAAATGTAAACTAATAATTTTTTAGAATACGGCGGAAGAAACTATTGTTATCAGAGAATAAATAATTTGTTTGGAATTTCCAAACATAGCATTTCTTAGTTTTTAAGTGATTCTGATTTTATAAAAAGTTAACATCTACTTTAATATTATCATTGCAGTGTTAATAATAAGAAATATTTATTAACAAGAAACAAGGATCATTAAAGATTAATAATCTCGCATTAGATATTAAAAGATGTGTTCTTGATAGTTAAGAAGTATATCTTAAAGGGAAAAATATTTTTTAGGTAAAAATATACCGGATTGCTAATCAGTATAGCCACCAGCAGATATATAAACCTAACAAAAAAATAAAACTGTGCATATATTATTTAGAACAATTTATTAAGCAACATAATAAACATTTAAAACATCATTAAGTACAAATTATGTATTTAGTACTGCACGGGGACGGGGATGCCAGGACGTCAATCACTGCATTAACACTCATAAATTAAAAAAATAGCCTTTTAAATTAATAAAAACTTACCAAAGATGCAGATTTGTACTCTTTAATATGCCGCATCAATTTGAATTGATGGTCATCAAATTTTGGCACCATCAGCAATTATTATTATTTATTATCATTATTTATTATTGCAATATTAGTAGTTGGGTTCGGATCAGGATCAGAAAAATTGCAATCAGGAAAGTTCTAAAAATGATAATTGTTTTATTATGTTTCACGGAAAAACTTTTTATTGTTTACGAATTCAGAGGGTGCTGCTCCTTTTATTAATCTAATCCTTTTGTCAGATTTATTAATGTAATTTTTCTTAAAATGCTTTTTGCAAATAACACTGAAATAACACTGCAGACTTTTAATTTTGAGATATCTAATAGAAAGTAAAAATTAAGTATTTGTATAATTAATTTTTGGAATCGTAATTTCAACCTTCACATAAATTCTGGGGATTTATAGAAGACAGAAACTGAAATATGTATGTACTTACGATATATTTAATAGCATTATAAAGAGTAGTAGGAACTTAGGCAATGGTTTTTTTTTAATTTTTGCTGTTACAATTATCACAAAATTCCTGAATATTTTTGATCCATTGAGCACGAGCTGCTGTATCGCTTTGAATTTCAAATAGAGTGTTTTTTTCTCCACAAATAAAACACTTTCTGGCCATATTTGAATTTTTTTGAAAATTTGAGAAAAAATTTGTCAAATTTGAATTGTCTGTAGTTTTAAAGTTGTTTAGTAGATGTCGCTAGTTACCGGACGATTTTTTTAGGTTAGTAGAATTCATCGTATCCATATAAAATCGGCAGTTTGTTACGGTCGTATGGAGCGCAGCGGAAGACAGGTGAAGTTGCCCATGCTATTACATGTAAATTTATTTCATTGTTTTTGGCCGCAAATTTAGATTTGAAGATTTTCTTGATGTTTGTAGTGTTTCTTTAAAGGTAAATGGAGACCAGGATAATATTCCCGCTTTAAATAAGTTAATAGATATTTTTTTATTGAATAAAATGTGAAAATCTTAATTATTAAGATTTTTTGATAACGGTATACCGTATTAAATTAAAAAAAAAACATTTTATAGGTAATTTAAAAATAGAGTGCCCTGATATAATGCGAATTTGATAACTGTTCTTGATTCTTTGATATAAAGCAAAAATTAAATTGAAAGTAGGCAACCAATAATACACATCATTTCATAATCTCCGGTACCTGCTCTAAGATTTACGACCGCACCCCAGGGTGTAACCCACAACATGATCGTTTTATTCCGTTTGTTCAAAGCAAAGATATGCATCTGCACCCAAGAAGAGAATTGTTAGTTCATTCCAAAACTTCATTTTTTTAATTATTCGTCTATTTAAAAATAAATTAAAATAATAGATAGATTTAATATAAAGGCACTATAAGCCCAATACGTAAACCTAAAAAATAAAAAATTAAAATATAATATTTATATTAATTTCACTGAGGACGGTTTTTGCTTAGGAATTATTATATGGGTTGGTCTTTACGGACAGCTCTAATTAGCCAAATTAATTTTGTGTTAAAAATGATTCTAGGTATTTGTGGTGAAACACATATGATGTTTATCGTTATTGTGTTATGTGTATTACAAAAAGTTAAAATAAATGGTCATTTAATTTCAACAATAGTATTTGAACCGACTAATGTTGGACCTAAAAATGTTTTTTTTCCATCAACAAAAAAGCCGCATGAGTCCACCTTGAAACCTGTGATTTTTTTTATTTAATTTCGCAGCTTGGGTTTCTGTGGAAGTATTATCGACATCGTACAAAAGACTTGAAGATAAATTTGCAACTCTTTTTAATGACCGCATGAACAACTCAAACAAAGAACTATTTAATAAATCAGAATATGCAACTGCATTTGTTATTTGACCAACTGTTTTACAGAAATACGAAGCGCAATTTGAATGATCACCAAAAATATGTGCGGGTCCATTTAAAATATCATTTTTCAAGTTTTCTGTTTTTTCATGAATTGTACAGCTTTCGTTTTTTCTGTATTTTATAGCTGAAACAATTGCTGTTCTAAATTTCAAGTAATTGTTGAGCAAGAATGTTTTTATATTTATGTCGGATCGGGGAGTTTTAGCGATTTCTCTAATTTTGGTACAAAAATTTCGTAGTATATGATATCGGCATTCAATTTTTTGAATGAAATAATTAGGTCCATAGGGTCTCGCATTACGAATTTTTTTGTAGACACTGCTATCACTATCTCCTATAAGGTTTTTAAATCTTGCATTTTGCATTTCCAGTTGTGGAATGTTCAAAGCTGCGCAAAATTCTGTTAGTTGAGAATAACCGGCACCTATTGCTACTGTGCCACAAACAACTGCTTCATTTACTTCATTTGTGTGATTTTCTTTTTCGGTAGTAAAAGTTCCTATTGCCCCACACATACTACATTTGTATTTAAAAATACTTTAAAACCATAAATGTGTTTCTAGAATGATGTTAATGTTCAAAAAACTACAAGAAAAAATGTTATGTTTTATGTTTTTTAATTCCAAAAATAAATGCTCTATGTCAACAATCCTTGTTCTTGACTAGTTTCTTTCTCAATAATAAACACTTCATCGTCATCGGAACTCGATTCAATTGACTGAAAACTACATTCTGCAATACTTGATTTACTTAGAAGATCAGTTTTAGAACCTTTTCGTTGTTTTTTCCAATAGTTACGCATCATTTTCGACTTTTTCTTTTTTTTTTGAAAGAAATTGTTTAGAATTATTACCCATAATTTCAATAAAACGTTTTCAACAACAAGTGATAAGAAAATTTCAAAGCACTGCGGTGGAAGAGAGCCACTAGCAAACTGCAAAGAGTCAAAAAGTAAACAAGTTATAAAATTGTATGTTTTCAATATATAAGACCCTACCACCACCCTAAAATTTAGCAAAACCCACCACTAAACCTTGTTTTTCAAAATTTTCTGGAACTGGGTTGGTATAAGCACCTGGTTTATCTGAGCATAATGACTAATAATGAACCAAAAAAAAAAAGTCAATTTTTCTCTTGATTTTGGATTTTGCTCGTTTCAGGTGAAGCGAAAAATGTTTCTCCTTTGCAGTTTTGGTGTAAAATGAAAGATACATTTTTTTTTTTAATTTATTAATAAATAATGATAGTTTTTGTTAAAAATTACTTTGTTTTTTATCTTAAAGCTATTTCTTTGAGTTGCTATTTATCAAAATTATGTTTTTCCCACACTTTTTTTTATTTAACTTGCGAAAACTCATTTGTCAAAGTGACATTATTGTCAAAAAATTATTCTAAGTCCAAAATCAAGAGAAAAAACTTTTCTTTCTACTGAGCTAGAATCTGAATCTCTGAAATAAGAGAAACTCATCGATGGTGAAATTCTGTTTGTTTACATTATTTCCATTTTAGGACTAAAGGGACCACGCACCCCGTAGAGAAGGTCGGACAGCTGCCACAGAATAAAAGTCTAAATAGAGTATGCAACTACAGTACACCAAATCTGAACAGTTCATTCGGTACCCTAGAGCCTTAAAGTGCTTAAAAAAAATATTAAAAGTCTAAATAGAGTATGCAACTTACAGTACACCAAATCTGAACAGTTCAATCGGTACCCTAGAGCCTTAAAGTGCTTAAAGTTATGGTGGATTTATGCTTCCATATTTAAGATTTATCATTTAAGATTTAATTTAAGAATTTAAATTTAAGAAGATCAATTATGTGTTTTCAATGGTAACATTTATACTATCATTTATCTTTAGTATTTAAGAGTTTGCCAACTTTTAACTTTTTATGTTAAATGACACAAATAAAATTGATAAAATCTGTGACTGTCAGAACCTTGCTGTGACCTTGCCATTACTGACATTAATCACACTTGAAAAGTAAAACTTTTCTCTGAAATAATAAGAATTAATATGGAAGATGCTGCACTCGTCGAATTCACAAATTGTCACTAATTTAACAAACGTATGTGTAAAATACGAGATTTACATCGGTATACCCTTTAATTACTTTTTGGTTAATTTAGAAGTACTCGTATTATAATTCGAAAATTTTGTAAAATGTCGAATCGGTTAATTTCTAAATTAAATCTTAAATGAAAAACCTTAAATATTGAAGCATAAATGAAATAAAAATATACCACATAAAGTTTTTGATTAATCTGCGTAGTTTAATTACGACTGTCAACTTTTGGTATGACATAATAGTCATATTCAAAAAAAGGGGTCGACACTCACTCTTGACATAAAATTAATTATTCCGGTATACTTAAATTTACAAAAATAAATTGACATCATGAAGTTTGGTAATTTGTCATCAAATCATTTTTGTTCTCTAAATGTGAATTATTTATTAATTTTTGAAATGACACTGACGACCATTTTTTTTTTAATTTGATTGTACCTACTTATGTAAGTTTTACTACAAGAAACGTCAAAGCGAATAAGTTAAGGACTAATATGTACTTCGTCATAGCTCATGGTACCGTTATTGTCAATGACAAGACAAGATACTAATGATTCTGTGTCAATTAATTCTTACTGACACTGAAAAATGTTGACAATTTAATAGTCTGTTATACATCGATTAAATTTTAGATGTATTTAGATATACCAGTTTTATTTGTCCATCGACCATAATAAAAAAAATAACGCTTGCTGATTGTTATAACGCTGAATTTACTCAGTATTGCATTTAGCAAGAATATCATTCGCGGTTAATAATGTTTGAGTACAATAAACTCATATCAGTCCACAATTGGAGGCACCACCATTGGATATTTAGTTGTCATGACTACTCCAACGAACACAAATGTGACCCCCAAAATATTTACCGTTTTACGTGCAGCATTCGTCTGAAGAAGCCTCAGAAATGGAAGACGAAAATTCATGGGTCTTTGACTCGTTGGTAGCTTTTTTAAATGGACCTATCTGGAGCGCCCCATTGGATAGTTTTATTGAAGAAAAATCCCTGAGTAAGTCCACAGTGCATATTGCGTTCATTTATTTCAAGATGTTACAGTTTTCGAACCTAATGTTACCGACAATGAGGAATATAAGAATATTTTTGACGAGTTTAAGAATTTGGTAGATTTTATGTTAGGCAGCTTCATGGAAGACATCGGAATCACTCCTGATCAGTTTGAAGAAGCATGTAATAAAGGTTACACATATCACGTCAGTTTCAATAAGGTAAATATTTAATCGCTTAAAATATTCAACGCTAAAATCAATCTCTTGAAGAATATTTTTGAACAAATCTGGGCCGCAAACGACTATGAAATGTTCAAGCGAATGATGACACAAAGAAATGTTGAATTGCAATTAGAAGCATTGGAACTGATCGAGAGGAAATATGGAATCACACCACAGTCGTTTCTTCCCAAGAAAAAGGATGATAAAGTTGAAACTGCGGTCACAATCGAAAAGTCCTCAGATTTTGAAAAGGAAATTCTAAATGAAGTTGCAAAGTTCGTATTTGTTTTCACAAATTATTTTAATTCAAAATTCGATTGTAGAAATTTTCCAAAAGAAGAAGCCTCATCTTCAAAACCCGTAGAAGAGGTTCAGTATATTTTAGAAGAGAAAGAAATCCTCGAAAAAGCTTTAAAAAAGACAAAAGGTATCTTTATTTAATTTTAAATTGTCACTTCACTATTGGGTTTTTTCCAGAATTGAAGGTGATCGAGGAAAAAGTTGATGTCATAAAAACGGAAACGAAGGCTGAAATAAATTACGACAGAAAGCAAACTGAGGTAAAAGTTAGGCTGTAGAAAAAGTAACGTGTCTATAGTCTGCATATTTAGATAAACCCTGTCGAATTACAAAAACGTCAAGAGTATCTTCGAGCCCAACGTGACAAGTTGGTAGCCCTGAAAAAAGAGGCTCGAAAGAAACATTTGGGTTCTGAGAACGGCACGGACGTTAAGACCAAGATTCGGCCAAAGTCGGCTAAGGCTGCTGAAGCCGTTCTTTCGGGCGAGAAGCCCGAGTCTCAGCAACTGCAGCTGCGTAAGGCGCTAGCCGAGCGTTTGAAAACAGAGGTCGTGTCAAACAAAATCTAACTTTCTGCTTATATTTATTACCTAAATATAACGAGTACATTTTTACATATCTTTTTAAAAACATTAATTACAAATTAAAATGATAAATAGAAAATGGCCTTTTAGAACTGTATAAAAAATATCATAAGGCTGCCATTTGTAAAAGGCTGGGAGTTGCACTTAGATGCAGCTTCCAGTAACAGGTATGGTGATATATTCGCTCCGTTGTACGTTGCTTTGGATGTTTGTCTTATTTATACTACAGCTAAATCTATGAGATGTTGAGTCGAGCGAATATATCGAATTAAATTATAATATGTACAGAGACGTTTCATGTAATATCCACATTACAAAATGAGGGCGTTTGGTATTTCCAACCATTTTCTATGTAAAATACTGATCGATAAATTAAACTAGGTTTTAAATCATTAAGTAATGTAGATTAAGAAATTAAAATGGACAAAATAAAATCTTTTAAATAGGAATAAACATAATTTATTCATCACAATAATTACAAAATTAAAGAATAAAATAAATTTAGTCTAGCTTTACACTTCATACTGCCACATTTCTAGAGAATTAATAATTACAAAAGAATCAATGTTTACAACACCAAGATAATATAAGTAAACTAAATAACATATTTCTTTCAATTTATTATTTAATAAGTAATTTTTTCAGCGTCAAATTCAAAAGAACTATTAACCTATTTAGCTGATATCACAATTTAAAATTAGCAAAACTGACGACATAACAGTACGAAGTATTATACAATCTAAGCACTCCAATGACACTACACGCACTTTTTAGACGATATATTCGATACTATATGCTATCTACTTTCTAGATATAATAACTTAGCCTACATTTAATTTCACATCGTTCTCTAGAACTTATATAGTAACATTATGATAACCGTTTTTTATTTATCTTTGATTGTGTATTAGAAACGTGATTTATTTCTAAATTGCGACACAATTTCCCACCAGAAAAATGTATGATAAGTTAGAAGTAACTTACGCCAAACGTTCATAACCTACAAACCAAAGATAAAACCTTCAAAATTTTGACATAAAACCTGACGAAACTATGTACAGCTTCCATAAAAATATAACTTTTTTTTCTTCAAGAGACAGCATTCTCATAAATAACTAGATCTTTTTTTAGAAAAACCCTAATTCATGTACATGGAATTGAATTTTTAAACATTTGTAATTGTACAATACAACTGAGAAATTTTATACAAAAGGAAGTTAAAAAAGTTGTGCTTTTACAGCCATTGCGCTGTGGCAGACAATGTTTCTGGCGAAAACGGCTCGTCCCGTCCGTTTTGTTCTTAGTTTCACAACTTATAGATTTTGAACTGTATTGAGAAACAGCACCGGTTGAGATAATTGACCGTTCATACCCCATACACATCACTATGAGATCACACTTGGACGCACGTCACACCAGTTTGTGTCGCACTCACCTGCCGATTGGTCGCTCGACTATGACAGTCGAGGCCTCTTGTTTACCTCGCCGTTTTCCTCGTCCTCCTCGTCCGAATCACCGCCCTCGTAGTCTACCAAACCCTAAAAAATTATAATAAAATACAAAAATTGACAATGGAAACGCTTCAGACTGATTTGTAAATGAAACAACTTCTTGTAACGCAAGTATCGTTAAAAAAGCAAAAACTTGAATGTCATTCTTGAAAACCAAATCAATAAAGTTAACTAAAAATATAATAAAAACGTATAATTATTATTATTTAATTTTGAGACGAGCGGAGACCTTTATAGGCCTTCATTGCTCCATTACATTTAGTGAACATCTAAAAGTTGTTGTTACTAATTAATAATGACTGAATTATTGCATATATGCATATTTTTATTTGTTTTAGTTTGCTAAAAAAATCTTTATTTTGTCATTTTACTTACCCTTTTAAACAACTGTGTCTTCGTGTCGTTCGGTACAGGTGTCCCCGGGGGCTGCACTCCCGCATTGGCATTATTATTAAGAACCACGGTTGGTTTCTGCGAAGAATTATTATTTATTTTAGGGCCGTTCGTCTCTTGTTTCTTATCAATAATTTTCCCTATACTATCCAAGTCCGTGTCAATTTTTTTCGTTAAAATGTCATTGGTACTAGGTAACACTGATTCCGTTTCGTCAAAATCATCATCTTCATTAAACCACATTTCTTCCTCTTCCTCCATTTGTCTCTGATCTCTCCTATATCGGCTATTCCTCAATATCGACGGAACTCTATAAAAAAAATTATCAAAAAATTGGCTCAAAAATTGCCATAAACTACAAACCCGTCCAAATTATTCCTTTCTCTATCCTTCAGTTTATCTTGATGTTGATCGTACCTCAATTTCAATGCTTTGAATGTTTGCACGTAACAAATATTATCTAAACATTTTCCGTAATTCTCAACGACGTGCGAACACAAAGTTTTTATATCTTCAAGTTTGATAAACTCGAACATTTCGATGATGGCCGAATCTAACAGGTTGTATCTGCCGTTATTTCGCACAAAGGCGTCCACGACCGGTGCAAAAAGATTACCTTTGATAATGTATCTATTGTAAAATTCGTCTTTCAACGCGATCAATTTTCGCATAAACCTGAGCGCGCATAAAACTAGAAATTTGTGAGTCGATTTCATTAGTACTAATATTCGACGCAGTAAATCTTTATTTAGGATGCAGTTTTTTATGTGATACGTGTGATGCTCCACGCAGAAAGACAGTAATTCCAAAATCAAGCCGAGGAGTTGGACGCTGCGGTAGTCCTCTTTTTCGGGCTCGCCGTGCGCAGTGTTTTCCAAAAGCGGAGCTAAACACATTAATTGTATCTTTGAAAAACAAAAATGTCTTTTAAACTCACCTATGAGGATTTGGACGCTATGTTTGTAGAAGAAATTGAGGAAATCGGTCTTTTCGGATTTGTTGACTGAAGCGAGCATATTTTCCGGATCGAGTAGAATTCTTAGTACGCCCATTAATTGGACGGCTCCGCCCAGTTCAGGGTCTGTGTCGCAGATCATTTGCTCTATGATTATGTTCAGCAGGATTTGGTCCTTAAAAATAGACATATTGACGGTTAACTAAACATATTTTTTTAATTTTTGTAGAATTATCTAGTTTTAACCAGCGGTCGTAACGAAATTACGTAACATTTTATGTCCACATTATTTCGACAGTAGAATACAAGTTAACAGATGTTTGGTTTGTAATTTATTAACGTGCAATTCGTCGACAAAATGTAAAAAAGCACTTTTAAATGGAAGAACTAATAAAAAAATAAATAAATAAAAAAAAAAAAAATCTTCGACTAAATTAGTTAATATTTTTTATATCTTTACTTATTAGTAAAAACCCCAAAGAAAACAAAACAAAATGATTTATTAGCATTTTTTCATTTATTTATAATTCTTTAAATATTTTTCCTGTCTTGTGCAGTGAGACGGTTTTTTTCTCTTTTACTTCATTGGACAAGAAAAGTGACTTGAAATTATAAAAATATGTATTTTTTCCTTTAATAAACTGAATTTTTTCGATGAAAAATGAAAAAGCCAAATGCATAATCTGATCTTCAAGGTAGTTCCGACCATTTATCTATCATATTATTTAATAATAAAAAAATAACTTCACTTTCATTCACAAAATATGTATGTACTCGAAAAAAGTAAATGAAAAATAATGTTATTTTTTTTTTTCATCGTTTAATACAGGGTGCGCCAGAACTCGCGCCCCAGAGAAAAATTTCAAGTAAGATTAGATACCAGGAACATGTAAAAAAAACGTTTAAAAAATTCAATGTGTCAAAAAAATTTGACTTTTATTTTATGACATTCGACATTTGTTATGCCTATTTAATGATACTGATGCTCTTGTATATGTTTTTTTTATAATTATTTTGTTAAGGTATAAAAATTTTGCCAATAAAAGTCACAAGTAACATTAAACCGAGTTACATTTTAGGATACAGCTTCCTTGTTTCTTCTTCTAATAGCCTGTAGCAAAAACAACTTAGAAAATCATTATTCCAACAAAAAGAAATAGAGTCAAAGTGCAAACATTTAAACTGCCAAATTTTTATAGACAGATTTTTTTTTAACATTTTTTCTATGTTCCAGGTATCTTACCTTACAGTTGGAGACAAAATACTTTGGTCGTCAATGTCAACTTGAGTGACATTAAATTGTAAAGCATGCTTTAGGACTGTTAACCTTATTTTTATCTACTGTCAATCATAGTTGACAAGTTGTACATATTTTTGTTAGGAAAATACAATAGCTGTCATTAATTTGAAATTGTCATTCATTTTAACGTTAAAGCTTAAATTACATTAAAATGTCAGAAAAGTGACGACCAAAGTATTTTATCCCCAACTGTACATGGCATTTTATCTAGGGGCGAATTCTGGCGCAAATATTTTACAAAAATAGCGAAACTAAGAAGTAGTATTTTCTATACTACGTTATCATTATCACATACAGTGCATTATCATTACATAATGTTTTTTTTTGAGTTCATTATACAAACTGATAAGACTTACGGATATTGACGAGTATGTTGTGTAACCAAAAATAAAGAGCAAATAAAAACAAAAACAAATCGCTAGACAGAGCTCCCCCTTACCTCTTCTGTGTTGTTAGCTTGCTGCAAAGTATATTCTCTCACCACTGAAGGTGAAAATTCGACAATGTACGTAAGTATATCAATTGAGGCAGTCTTGGTCTTTTGGTCATCCATGGCCAATGTGATTTCTAATGCTGGCAGTATTCCCAAAGACGTTAAAGTTTTATAAAATGTTTCTTTAGCTTGAGGTTGTAAATTTTGCGAGTAATTACAGAATTCTTTTAGAAACAGCACTAAGTCCCTTCGTTTCGAATCTGACGTATTAACATCGGTCAACATGGTAAAAAGTTCAGTTAAAAACCTTTCATCTTCTTGAACTAACGACACGATTTCAACCTTGTTGAAAAAGATAAAACTACTCAACGTGGATAACATGTTTTCTTCAAAAACCGACGGCGTCGGCAGCACCACATCTTGGATGTATTGCACGCGAAACGTCTGATGGATCTTGGACAACAATTCGGCGTTTTTGATAGGAATCGCCTCCCGAAACATCGCGTGCCGCTTCAGATACTCCCTATGATGTTTGTGCGTTGGCGACGAGGGATCGTACTCCAGACACCCGACAACGTCAAAAATCAACTCGTCACTAAACATAACCTCAAACAGCGCGTTTTTGTTCAAGAGAAATATGTTTTTGAAAATGTCGTACAGGTGGTGGAGGCCTTCAATGTTCTCTAAATCCTCGCACATGTGAAACACATTGATTAATTTACGAATATAACCGTCACTCTCGATTGCCGCTGATAATTTTTCTTTCCTTACTTGTGAACTGAGACAGTTACTTATTAATTCACTAATGTCCTCAAGACGACTTAGTTCGCAACTCGGCAACTCGATAGGAGGAGCGGAGTCCGACATTTCATCAAAACGCTCATCCTCCGACTCCTCCACGATATCCTGCGTAATCTCCACTGACGGGTCCTTGCCTTGGACCTGGCAGATCTTTTCCCAAATTTCATCGCAGCCGGCCTTCTCCTGGAAACTGAGGGCTAAATCAAAGTTGTCCCCTTCTGACCATACAATCAGGGTGTCTTGTTGCTTTTGGTAAGCAGTGTCTGGCTGGATTTTTGACTCCAGGAGCAAAGAACCGTCGCTCTCAGCCCGAACTAAGAGGGAGATCCCCTTTAGCCGGTCCACATACGACGATGAGACGTGGCCGGTGCCTCTGTCGTCCCATTGCCGATCGGCGTTTAGTGCATATAACTTAACTCTTCTCCTTGTATCAGTCATGGTAAATTCTAATTAATCCTCGCCGGACTGGTAATTTTCCCACATTCCGCCTGAAAATACAAAGTCAGTGTTAAGGCAAGCATAAACACAATGTCAATTGATACAAAAGTCTCAACAGGCGAAAATTGGTCCGAGAGTTTCGTTCCAACGATGTTTTACTAACCTGAATAATAAGCAAATTTGGTAAGGTTGATCAATATAACTAATCGCGATGTTTTTGAACAAGATTTCGGAAAATTACAATCGAATGCAAACACGCTGATTCGAAAACACTTATTTGAGCCAGATTCGTTTTAATTTCACTAAAAATTTGAAGAAATACACTCAATTTACTTCACTAATTTATTTAAAACCATTTTCTATTCGTAAACTTTGATATTTCTTTAATTATTTTCGTAAACGGACACAACACTAATTATCGCCATATTGAATTCACAACAACGCTCAACGGGGTTCACAAGGGCAAACGCAAGGACAACGCGCAATTTTACCCGGTAAATTCAAATTAAAAAAAAATGCAAACACTAAACACAAAAATATGCGTAACAAAACTTAACAACTACAGTTGCAACACGTGTATATCTTAATTCTTAATTACCTATATAACAAAAAATGAAAAAATAAATTGCCACTTGTGATTAATTAATTTAGAAATATTTACAATTTGAAAGACGCGCTATTAATATGGTGTTTTTTTTCTAATATTAAACTTCCCCAAACAACATCAAAAAATAAACATAACCTCTAGGTGTCGGTAACCGTTGACTATCAAAAAATTGACTAAAATGCTGCCGTTATGGTCAAATACGTGGTTAATAAAGCGAAAATGTTTTCGTGTAAGAATCTTTCCGGAATTGAGACGGCTCTAAAAATCGATAAACAAGGAAAGTCAGTGACCATAACCCTTGAACAAAAGGTCACGTCACTAGTGTACAGGGGTGCGGTTTATGTGATTGGGGCTGCCTTAGCATTAGTTATGATTTATTTATTTTTTGTAAAAAATGTGAATACTATTAAGTGTCTCAGTACGATTTTTGTTATTTTCTCGTCATACCACTTTTTAGGATTAGTTTATGAAGGTTTTGGGGTACTCAAATTGGTGTTGCTTTTTTAATTTGACTAATTTTTAGAGTCATTAGTGATGGTACATTCTTTGGGATACCACATTTCTTCCAAAAGTTTTGTTGGCCAGAAGGATTTGTTCATTCCTTGGAATCAAGTACAAAGTATTTTTATTAATGAGGTTATTGTTAGGGTGAGTCGAGAAGGAGGATTTTGTAGATGTTTTAATGGGATGTTTTTAGCATAAAGTGATTCATTTGTTAACTATCTTAACCAGAGAGAAAGGAGAGGAGAAGCTGATTCCGTTATTTTTGGTAAAGGGGTGTTTAATAAAAGTACAAGTAATGTTGGTTCTTTGCAGGAACTACAGCCACGGCTGAAGCATTTAGAGTTAATCTGCAAGCATTTAAAGAGAGCGAACAGCTGATATTACTGATTTTTACTACCTCTTAAGTATAAATTTTGTATGTTTTTTGTTGATTTTTTTATTTTTACATTTTTACTGTTTGCCATGTATTAGTAGACATTCTAAAATAGAGAACCATATAAAAAGGATTTTTGAAACTACAATTTTTTTGTATTTTAGAATTTAATATTTTTATAACATTTTATTATCATGGGCAACTAACAATAGAACACTTTTTTAAACAATTTACCAGATTTTTCTTGATTAAAGTATATTCAAATGAAAAGCATCCATTATAACAAATAAGGGTTTTTAAATAAAAGCTAAAACTTATGTTTAATTATATTTTTAGACAATTTATGAATAATTACATACATGATATAACACATAATAGTTATATATCTACATGTCCAAAAAATTTATATTAACACTACATGAACTGTTTAAATGAATGTACTTAAATTCGACAAGGCCACTTTGATTTCATTTTTACATGTCCAGTAGTTTAATACAACGAAAAAAAAGTTTAACAAAAAATGTTTTGTTATTGTCAATATACAAGATGAGGTAATAAAATTATACATTTACGAAAAGATTTCTTGGCCATTTTCCAATATTTATTTCATAAAAACTGAACAATAGAATTTGAGTCATTATATACATATTTACATAAAATTGTTCTGTACTGAAACAAATTCACACTTAATATTTTACTAAGCTAAAATATCAGTTAACTCTTTTTTAATGTAGTATAAAATGCAACAAACACTTCGTTGAAGTTTTCTCTTTTTAGTATAATTAAGACGATTGGACGGTGTATCCAATATTTCTTGATTACAAAGAAATACTTAGGTTCTAAATAGTTATATTTTACTATGGCAGTATTAAAAAACACTAAATGAAAATATCACAAAACGTAAACCATTTCTCCTAAAAGAAATCACAACGTACGTACAATATGGTACAATAATTCTCTTGTATACAACGAATATTGGGAATTATTTTAACAATTTTACAATACCACGTATAACAGAAATAAAAACATTAATTTTAACCAGGTGCAGAATTCGTCAAATGGTATATTTTTTATCTACTATTTTTTTCTATCGATATTTTCATACATTTTGCCTATTGTAATATTACGAGCTATTCAGTTTTGCAATGTGGTTGTTTGCGATTGCAAAAATAAAAAAAAATCTTTTAACCGAAAAACAAAGCAATTTTATTTTGCATGTGCTCATAAACTATAATAGGCGGGTAAGTATGAGATTTAAAAAACGTTATAATTTTAACTTAGTAACTACATATTGTGTTTTCGAAAAAAATGCTTACAATTACTTAGAGGGTTCTATAAGTGGTTAAATTATTCTATTTATTTCTGTTATAGGTGGTAATTTAATAAAAAGTCCATAAGATAGATAAAATATTTATAATAATACATTTTTCTTAAATAATTGATTTGTTTTCACAGCTATAAAAGTTTTATGTACAGGCGAATAATATCGAAAAATTCGGATTCAGATGTCATCGCTTTACAATAATTGTCTTTGCATTTCTTATCTAAGTTCGTAAACAAAATAAACTTAAAATAAAATTCGAAAATAAAATTTTCATTACTTAACAATACTAAGTTACTATAAAAATATCAAAATATTTTTTTAATAGAGAAATGAATGTAGGTAGACTCAAACCAGTAAGTCGTTCATAAGCTTTTTCTGAAAATTCATTTATAAAATTTTTAACACACACTCACAATAAAGGTAACACTCATGACTTTAGTCTTTTGATTTACAAATAAGTCAATTCTCCCAAATCGTCTTTAATTGGGTCAAAAGCGAGTTGCCGACACTGTCCTCGGCTGCGTCGAAGTCATCGTGGGCGTCCGCGTGCTGCTCACGTCCAGAAGGGGCTGCAAGGCCTAAACAGCAGTTAACACGCTTCACGTCACTTAACACTTACTTACGCTCGAATCTCGCGGACTCATTAAAGGCGTCTCGGCATTGATGGCGTTCTCGTGGATCAGCTGCTCCTCCCGAAGAGGCCGTGGAATGTAAGCGGGAAGGTGCGGATGGTGTAAAGTCTGGAAAGACGAGGGATGTGGCGGACTCAGAGGCTGAAGACATTGCGGAATGCGTTTCATGTCGATTTGCGCGTATACAGTGGGCTCCTGCCGGCGGATCACTGACATGGGGATGGCCTGCTGATTGTAGATGACGTGGGGCATCTGTTGGTTTGTGAGAGACAATTCAGCATATGTTATTTCATCGGTCTGAAAAGAAGGGGTGCTGTATTGACTACGAAGCCCATACATTGACACAAAGCTACGTTAAAAGTCCAGACAAGAGGAAAACTAATACTTTTTTTTTTAATTAATTACCAGTGCTGTTACTATGAAATCTATCAAGTGAATCAGAGGGCTTAAATGTAATTTAGCTTTTTAAAGTTAGAATGTTGTATGTCTTCCCATTTCACAACGTCCTACCTACGCTACAAATTGTTTCATTTAATAGAAATTTTCAATAATAAACTAAGCAATGCAATTTGAAATTTATAAAATTCAAGGATTTTATTTTGATACACATAGTGATTTAATTGTAAAGATTGTTCAGAAATCAAGTTTTGTGCAAAACTTCTTGATAAGCCTTTTCTCTCACCGTTTTATACCCGTCGTATCCCCCATTTTTGGTCTGATTATTCGGGCTTTGCATTCTGCTGTATACCCTCAAGGGAGCGTTGTTAAGTCTTTCGAACGCTCGTTCCTCATCTTGATAGTCGTCTTCGGCGTTATTTTGCGGTATAATATCGGGATTTTTCTCTTCTAAACTATCGACACTGTCGTTCAAATCTTTATTTAATGGTTCTGTACTGGCTTTGTCGCCGTTTCCAGCAACGCAGCGTCGCCCCGACGATGACAAACCGCCGTCGTCGTAGTCCTTGTCGTCCCTCTCGCCGCCACCTCGCAGACGTATTACCACCACTATTATCACAGCAACGAGGATCAAAGCTGCCACTACTCCGATTAAAGCTCCGAGCAGGGGTGTTATTTGCAGTAAAGCTGGGGTCGACGCTGCAAAAGATATTTATTTGTTATGAGGAGGGGTAGCGATGCAATAAAGCAACCAAGACCGGTACCAGCAGAAAGGGCACAACAAAACAACAACAAAGACATGTAGGATAAAGCACATGGAGCAACCCAAAAAATAATTTGAAATCTTTTAATTATACAGGGTGTTTGAGGATTGCGAGCAAATATTTTAACCACTAATAGGATTCGTCAAAAGAAACAACTTTCGTTATTCCAACTTTTGTCGAAAGCACGTCATTTCTGAGTTAAAATTAAAAATAAATTGAGGCTGAAAACCCGTTCCCGCCTATGTCTTAATACGATGTTTACAATCATTCATAAGAAAAAATTTTGGAACGTAAACAGCGTAAAGACAAAAAAAATATCGCTACATTAAGGTAGATCAGTGTCAATGCTAGTGGGTCAACACTTCCCATTATAAAAAATTGCTCGAAATGTGGTCATTCGTTGGCAATGCATACTTCTTGTACTCTTCGGGCTAAGGAAGCTTGCGTTCGCACACACAGCCCTTCGAAGGTATAAATTTGAGCTGCTTACACTAATTCACTAATTGTTTCATGTGAACCCCCAAAAAACACACGTATTTAAATCTAGTGACCGCGGTGGTCATTGGCGCTCAATCCATCCCTAGGGAAAATGATTGTTCGATCCATTGGCTTGTAAATTCCGCATGTGTCGCCAAGGGCACGTCCTTCACCAGATCGGACAACACATTTTCCAAAAAATCCAGATAAACGGCACTAGTTAAACGTTGAGGTAATATGTGGGGTCCAATTTGGTGATCTTCAATAAATTCCTGCCCAAACATTTAGTGAAAATCGGTCTTGGAAATGCGATGTCCGTACACTAGTTAATTTGGCGTTTGAGTAGTTGGCCATAATGACTTGAATGACAATTTAATTTCAAATCGATGTGCACAATTCACCCGAAAGCGCATTAGCGACTAACTAAACTGACACGTGTCAATGATATTTTTTTTGGACAAAAAGTTTCCTTTTTTCTGTATAAAGACTTTCACGGTCAACATTCAATGCAATTTATTTTCATTGATATTTTTACTTCCAACTAACAAGGACAGACACACTGAACGGCTCGTGAAAATCATAGGGGGGAAATTGCAAAAATAAAATTTGGATACGGAATTTGTTTGGTCTTCAATTCGACTTTTCGTAACAAATTCTCTTAGTGGTTAAAATATTTGCTCGCAATCCACAAACACCCTGTATATAATCAAGAAATTATGATTTATGTAGAAGAAAGTAGTCTATAGAAGAAGTAATTAATTATTGTAGCCATATTTAATTCTGTTAGCTGGTCGAAAATAATCAGCTCTCCTCTACACTGTTAATACTGAAACGTTCCAAAGTGAATTATTTGAGCTAAGCACCACACCCGGTTAGAGCCTCCGCTGCCTGATTAAATATTCCTTTTCAAGTGTCTTACCACCAGTTTTAATCGTGTTCTTAGGAACGTAAATAATATTCGCATCGCTCATGATCGTCTTTTGCTTCGTCCTAATAAAAATCAACAAATCATCGTACCGTCTCGGCATATTGTTAAAAACGATATCTTGCGGTATTAGCGCCGTCGCCGTCCCGATCAAAACCCGGCTATCGGCGTCAAACACTTGCAGGAAATACGTATTGTCCCTGCTTTGTTCCGACACTTGACACCTAATCCTGAGAGAGAATCGAGAGTGGTGAAGCAACGTGCAATTTTCTGGTGGCAGCGGCTTACTAATCTTAACTACAAAAATAGGTGCACGACTTGGGGTAGAAAATTGGGTGTTTTACCTGTGTGTTTCTCGGCCGACTTGAGAGTGAACGCGTGGAGATGGGACACGTCGCTGCGGCCCTTCTTGTTAGAAGCGTAAAGGCCGATGTCGAAACCCAAGCCGGATTCCAATCCACCGACGGTGAAAATGGGATTTTTTGATGTGACGTTGCTCACCAATTTGCGTGTCTGCGTGTCGTACACTTCCATAATGAATTCCTGCTGGAGACCGCCGTCGAAACCTTCCGTACATTCCACGTGCAACGATTCGGCTGTCTGATTGAGGATTGTACAGTTGGAGAGAGCGTCAGGTTTGCCTGGAACGTAAAAATCTCAACCGGGAACGCAGCTGATGTTTTTTTAATTAGGTTCGCTTCAAACCCACGTTAAATTTTAAACAGATAAGGGATTGATACGAATCTAATCCGATAATGTTTTTTACAGCCACTTCGATTGTCCGAGCTAGCTTCGCAATAGTTTGAAGCTTCTCAAGTATACCCAAACATCCAAAGTCTTAACTTGTGTTCATTGACTTAATCACTGCGCAAATGAATGCGTAATAAAATAAAAAAAAAAACAGCTTTTCTACCTACAGCAATAGTAAAAACCATAATGTGACTTAAGAAACCTGCCTACCTGCCGGATTTATGTAGAAAACACAAGGCTCCTTCTGCATCCCTATTTCGTTTCTCCCCCAGCACAACAACGTCCCATAATCCCCTTCGGTCATGGGTTTGTAAGCTGCTGTACTCCTCGTCCTTTCGCTGTAAATCTGGTTCTGTGGTATGTCAACAGTGTCAGCCGAGTTATTAAATTTCCAAATAAACTGCACGTCTGTTGGATTGGCCTCAACTTCACATAAAATCCTCGCCGTTTCGTGTCTCGCCACCCCAAAGACTTTCGGTTGGGCGGGTCGACAAGTTGGAATAACTGGCGAAGAAATTAATTATAACAACCGGTCGTTAAAAAGTATGATTGATGACGCAAGCTGATTTCAATGTTGGAATTAGACGCGAAACTAATAGATCAGGAAGGAAATATATCAAAGAAATTTGGATCGAACTACATGAAAAAAGTTTAATATACGCAGAGAAAGCAAATAAATCACGAAGAAGTGAGTAAAATACCTGGAATTGTAAGAATACACAAACACATCCATCATTTCTTTGGGACATATGAACGGACAACCTCTTAGAGATTTAGAAATCGGTTTTCTCAGTCATTTAAGGCTTTCGCAAACAACAACTATCTCGAACATGTCATATAAAAAATCTTATTTAGAACGAAATAAATGCTATAATATTGGAGCTGAGGACACTCGTGCTTTTAGCAGGTTTATTTTCATCCACGTGCTGAGAGAGGATACAATTCCATCGGACATAAATCTGCCAAATTACAACTTATGATAGAAAAGCACAGTCACTATTAAAGCTGTTTTTGCCAAAAATATTTTCTTATTAATGGAAGAAAGTCTTGTTTATAGCAGTTAGAGAATTTATGTGAACATCATTTGATAATGCTAATGGCAAATTTCAACTAATTTTCATTTTATTATTTAATATTTTGGTTATTAGCCTTGTGGCTCAGTGGTACTTTAAGATGTTAGCTTGCAAGCCAAGTCTCGGAGCTGTAATCTTCTCAATTGGAGTTAACAACGCCAGCCTGTCTCTAATCTACATAAAACCCTAAGTGCCTCTAATGCAACATAACATTGTCTCTAGAATGTCAACCATGTTAATGAGAAATGATTCATTAAAGTAATTTAAAAGCTAATTAATTATATGAAAAAATACTCTTATTAGAATGCCAAAAGTGTGCTAAGTACCGGCGAAGCGCCTCCGCCATTCTTACTCATTACATGTCTTGTAACATGTTGAATGAATATTTTATGAAAGAAAGAAAAACTGAAATCAAAGAAACATTAAAAATAACATTTTTTTAAAATAATTTCTTTGAACAACAAAATTGTAAATTATATCGTGAATTTATATAATAATTACCAGTATTAATCAACTTTATTACCAATTGTTTATAAATTGCCAATTTAGTTTTGTAATGACTAACATTTTCATTGTTAAAGTAAAATTATAGTTTCTTCCATTAAGTCGAATAATTTTGAGATGGTTCAAAAAATAGTTGGTTCATACAATGGAGTAATTACTTTTTTAAAACCTATCTAAAAATGTCGAAACCGTCCTACTAAAACAAAATCCTTGCCCCGTTTCGGATTAACCCTCCAACCCTCTTCGCTGATGAAAAATTCCAGCAATAGCACTGAAAGTAATTAACGTTCGGCTCTCAACGCCCGACTGCTTCAATCCAAACAAAGTGAAACATTACAATGACAATTTCACTAGAGATATAGTTGCGAGTCGCCGCCTCTCGGCGGCAGGAAGTTGCTAATACAAATATTGATATTCGAGAGGGTGGCAAGTGCCTTCGTCGGTCCGGAATAAGCCGCCAGCGGTAGCATGTGTAACCGCCATTTCCTGTTACATTTCGCCGTTTGAGCATTCAGAAGACACATTACAACTTCCACTTTATTTGTTGATTTACAACCGAACTTTATCTTTGATTTCGCTTAAAACTCTACAGAACAGTTGAGGCGCACTTATGTTTTGCTTTGCAAATACAGCTCCTTCCAATTGCGCCAGAATTGTAAGATTTTCTTTAATCCGGGGTTTAGTCGATACCTGACCGGCCAATAAAGGACGCTTTATATTCGGCCCGCTTGTGGTGAACACGCGAATATAACGAATAAAACCAATTCCATTCAAAATTACAGGTCATAAATCAAATTCTACTCGCCCGTTTCCTTCGAATGTCAAATAAATCATTCACTTTTCTTTAAATTGATTTTTATTAGAAACGAATTAGTTTCAAGTCATTTAATCTAACCCCAGTTTATTAATTAATTTTACGAACAACAAAACTCATTCATTAAGTAAACAAAACAAATGTGGGCAAACAGTTAATTATTTCAGAAAATTTGAAACAACAATCAATCTAATTATCCTCAAATGCAAACTACGGCATAGCACGGCCCTCAATCATAACTTTTTATAATTACAATTTGATTACAAAATAAACATGAGAAAAAGTAATTCGAAGATCAAGTTGTTTATCAATTATTATAAATAATGTTATGTACAGGGTGCTGCATTTTGAATGTCCGAATAGGGAATCTCCGAAACTAAGAGGTTTAGCCAAAAACGAGTAATACATTCTGGGGCTCATCTTTTGAGAAAATAATATTGGTTAAAACCGCATCCCGCTATCGTCTTTTGTTTTCGACTTATAGACAAAAATTGACATTTCAGCCAAATCTAAAAAAATTCATATCTTCGTTATAATAGAAGACACAGATTTGAAATAAAGACATTATGCAGACACTTTTTTACGTAGAATTTAATAATGTAGTTAACAATTTTTTTCAATTGTTTGTTTAGCCGTAATAAAATAAATTTGTATTTTTTTAAATGGGAATCATAGATGGTTATGTCATTTTTAAAAAGCTTGTTTTTTTCTTATCTAAAAATATATATTTGAAACAAATTATTATAATACATTTTTAGCAAAAAATTATCTTTGATTTTTGTTTGCAGTTGGCCATGAAAAAATGTTGCATCTTCAACTAAAAGGATTTAAACTGTATTATTCAACAAGTGTCACTAACGAAAGAGTTTTCTAAGCACTAAGTAATGAAAAAAATGTAAAATAAATTGTAAATCAACTTATTGGCGACTAATAACATTTCTTTGTTTTTAAACAAGCTAACATTACCATTGAAACTTCTAGTGATACACAGAGTGTTGTAAAAAAAGCCTCTTTAATTCTTCAATAAAATATATTTTATTTGACACAAAAATGACGATATGGCTATTCAAATACCCAAATTCCGTCTATGTGAAACGTTATCCTTCCTCCATTAGACCATCAAAAAATGTTTTTTCTAATTGTGTTGACTGTTGACACATTTGTTTTTCCTATTTTTGGATTTTTTACAAATATGTAATAATTTTGTTCCGAGGCGCTCGCATATTTGTTCAATACTTCTAACGTATCGTATTTTTTAAATTGTTGAAGGTATCTTGAAAGAATACGCTTGGGCTATTAATTAAAAGAATATTTAATGAAGTGTAAAGTACAAAAGTAGAGGGCTCCCTGTACGAGCTTCTATCACCAGCCTAGCTGTGTACAGACTAACTAAAAAAAAACTAATTCGCAATAATTGAGACTGGGAACCGGAAATCGACCCAGCCGGGGGTTTCGCAGAAACGATAAACAAAATCGGCGACGTTCCTGGAAACTATAGAGTTAGTTTTTATTACTTCAACAATAATTTTATCTATTTTTTCATCTATTTCACAGTTCACAAAACTCTGATTGATTATTATTTATACATTTGGAGTGAAATAGTTGTTCCTTGGCCAACTATTATCAAACAAAATATGTATTTTATTTTTTAAGTAAAATTATAAAAAAATATTCTGTTACAAATATATATTTTTTAGATCAAAAAAAAATAAGCTTTTCAAAAATGCCATGGCCGCTTATGATTTCCATTTACAAAAATACAAGTTTATCTTATTACGGCCAAACAAATAACTAAAAAAAAAAGTTAACTTCATTATTAAATTCCTCGTAAAAAAGTGCCTGTATAATGTCTTTATTTCAAATTTGTGTCTTCTATAATAACGGAGATATGATTTTTTTTATATTTCGCCAAAATGTCATCTTTTGTCTGTAAGTCGAAAACAAAAGACGATAGCGAGATGCGGTTTTAACCAATATTATTTCCTCAAAAAATGAGCCCCATAATGTATCACTCGTTTTTGGCTAAACATCTTAGTTTCGGAGATTCCCAATTCGGACATCCAAAATGCAGAACCATGTACAATTCTCCCAAAAAATGCAGACAATAGCGACTTTCACTTACATTTAACGTCAAGTTGCACCGAATTGCTTTCACCATCGCCTTCTTGATTATGCCCAACACAGGTGTAGTGTCCAGATCTGGATCTCGTAATTGCTTGAAGCACCAAGCTTTGATTGCTGACGATTGTATTTGCTTGTGCGTTATTGTACAGTTGTTTACCCTACGTCAATGATTGGAAACAGTCGTCGACAATTTAAAATCAACACTTACATTATGTCTCCAACTGACTTTGTACACCCATGGATTGGATTTGATGTTACACTCGAAATAAACATCGACTCCTTCTTTAATAGTGCTTCCATTCAAAGTACTGCCGAGTTCAAGAGTAACGAGAGGGACGTCTGAAAAATAAAAATAGTTGATGGAAGTTGTGTCAACGTTAAAAATGTCAAAGGACCTGCACTGCATTATGATGGATAATGCTTTTATTATTTTACATGAGGGTGAATTTGTAAACAATGTAAGGGGCGTTTGCGTCAGAGGAGAGACTTATTAAGCCATATCTGTAATGAGTAATTGTTGCTCTTACCGAAGAATTAAAAATATTTTTTTTCGAGTAACCAAGAAAAAAGTTGAATTTATTGAAAAGAATTGAGAGAAAACACGTCACCATTTTACTTCAATCATTCCCGAGTAGGAGTGCTATTTGCATAAACAAAATAGAACAAGTGTAAATATGGCGCCTGCTTTTGAAACAGCGCGGCTTCTTTGCCATTTGTGAATGTTTATTGTCCTTTTAGCCGCTGAAATACGGAAAATACAAGCAGCGAATTGTTAAGTCGATTCTGCTGTCGTGTCATGTAATTAGAAGTAAATAACTGTGAGAATTCAACATCTGCGAATTTATCAGAAATTGGAAATTATTTTGGCCCAATGACGGATTCTGGATTAGTAATAAATAAGGCTCGGATTATATGCAAAATTCATATTTGTTATTAAAAGGTATATCAACAAAATTGTAAGTTTTCTCTGCATATCTATAGTTTTTTGATCAAAATAAGTCAATTAAAAAAATGTGCATATTTTGTATATTTTGGCAACTTCCTGCTTATTTTAGGAAATATTGCATATTTGTGCATATTTTCTTCAAATTTCTGTTCAAGTTAAAAATTAGACAGTTTAAGAAAAATGATTCGATTACTAAATATGTTAAAGAGAAAACAACCGGTAATTTGGAAGCCAGACTCAAAGAATTAGTATCGTTTTATACAGGGTGAAAATAAAGTATGGTGCCAAGCGGTTTTTGCCTCCGGAAAATAATAATTAATATGAATTAAAGTAATATAAAAAATGTATTCGTATTTTGAGAACAAAATTTTGTTTAAAAAAAAATTTAATTAATATAAAATTAATATAAAATATGTAGATATTTGTAATTCTTAGATCATAACCTTGATGGGAGAAATGGTTTTTCAGTGGGTTGCCATTAAAAAAAATAAATATTTTTGTAGAACTCAAAAATAATGAAAATTTCGAAAAAAATTATTCTTGATAAAATATCACATTTTTATACGTAGTATGTACTTTATCATTCATCAGTTAGTTTTTCCAAAAATCGATAGTTTAAACAAAAAACGTTTGGTTCCACACTTTTTTAGTTCACTTGGTATAGCTATAAGTTACCTGCTAATGAATTTTAGAGAAATTGTTTAAAGCGATATTTTCTGAAAAGTACATATTTCTGAGAAAAACATTTAATTACCAAGTTTTTAAAATGGCTTTTCATTGGCAAAACCAATTTATTTATTCTCTTTCGTTGATAGTGTGCAATTCAAGATGTCGAAAATACAAAGTTTAGTGTATTCGAGGATAAAAATTTATCCCAACTTTGATATTTATTGTTAAAAATTTTGCATATCGATGAATATTTGGCATATATTGGAGCATATTTCTTAATAGCTCGTGCATATTTATGTGAAAATACGTGCACATTATATGAGCATATTTTACGGATTTTTGTGCATATAATCCGAGCCTTAGTAATAAAAAATTACAAATTTTGTATTCTTTACGATGGTTTTGAGGGGGACAATGTGCGATAAGAGACAGGAACAATGTCAGTCGTTGCCTAGCAAACCATGGTGTAAATTAGGAAACGATATCAGTCGAGCAAGTACAATAATTAACCGCGGACGTAAATAGAGGCAGCACTTTAGTCGGTAACTGCGGTCCAGATCTGGTCTAATTTATACGGAAGAGCATCAAAAGCAGATGAGGTGGTCAGCCGGCGGTTTCCATATGAAATCCATTATGAACGTGGAATTAAGCTCGTACCGAATTTATCTAGAACTGGTTCCTCGAGCTCAATTAAATCACGAACCAATGATGCGAACTAAATTCGCATGTACGAGACTGTTAGCAACTCACTAACTTTAATTTACATTCACCCTACATATCCTCGTTGAGCGTTGAAATTAATAATTCGTCTTGTGGGATAATAGTGGTGGTAATGCAACTTACGGTAAATATCGAGCTTCCATCCGTCTTCCAAACCGCTGTCTGAGATATACGGCTGTTGACCTCGGCAAGACAGATATTTGCCTCCGTCTTCGACAGTTGGTGTAAACGTCAAGACGCTGGTGGTGGTGTTGAGGTCCGGACTCGTCTGCAAAAAATTGAAACGACGGTAAACAGCGTTTATTCTAAAATATGTCCAACAAGGTTTCCAGAATATTGTTTGGAAAGCAAACACATGTCTCTGAGAATTTCAAATTTTATTCCCAGGAAATGAGCTTTTTTAATATTTGTTTGAGTTTGTAATAAATAAAATCGAGCAAAAAACTTAGATTTATTCTGCGTAAATTTCTCAATCAGATGTCGCACAATAAAACAAAATACGAAAAATATAAAGATATCCTTAGGAAAAACGCCGCTGATGGCAAGAAGTTTAACTACATCACGTTTTCGCTGTATATATTCATATTTCAACATTTTTGCATTTTCGGCGAATAACATTCTTATTATATTATAATGTGGGGTGAATTTCTTTCGGTCGCCACGCCATATTTCTCCTCCACGTCAAACTGTACGTTTTTCTACTCTCCTTTTGTGATGAACTCTATAACTTTTTCTTGTACAAATATAAACTCTGACACCTATTTCATATAAATCTACCAGATAAAAATTTATGATCACAAAAATATAAACACCAATAATGTTATACAAATTCAGCAACTCAACAGAATTGCCCGGCGCATCCACCAATTGGCAATGCATTAAACGCGTTTATTAAGCATTTACACTGTTTTATTCAGGTATAAATTTTTTTATTACAATGTAAAAACCACTAGAAACAATCTAGACGATTTAAAATGTTTCTCAAATGTAAAACAACTAACCTATAAAAAGTTTAGCGAAAATTAAACACAAGTTTCGAGGCTGAAAATACGAGTAGGGTCTCCAGTGCCTAATGAGAGTTTTAGTGTCTCATTTAAAGTTGTTGCCAACATAGAATGATCTAAAAGTTGTAATTAGGTACAAAACATTTGCTTAATATTTTTTTTTTACAAGAAAGTAGTTATGCGTACTTGTAACCTTGATTAAATGTAACTGATATTGATATTTTAATACTGAATATATTTTAATTTTGCAATATTAATTGTAAATGTATGTTTAATAATATTGAAAAAAAAAACGTCGATTCGCTGCGTTGGAGTTATGAATGCTTTTAATTAAATACTGCCTCCAAAATTCCTCAAATTAGATAACACAGAATTAATTCGGTAGCATCCAATATTGAAATAAATGGAGTACAGTAGACTTGTACAAAATACCCCGACGCATCCACCATTTTTGCACATTTTGTGCTAATGATGAATCCCGGTGCATCCTTTATAATATTATGCAAAGAAAATGGCAATTTAAATCCCATGACAAATTAGTTTAAACTAAAAAAAGCAGCTCAGTTTAGTTCCAGAAAAACTGCAATCATGGATGTTTACACTGTTAACAATCTAATTCTGTTGAAACAAAACATTAGCAGCATTTTTTAGTTTGAAACAACTCGAGTTTTAATTGTGTCGACGCAATTCGCTTCCTACAAAAACTTGTCTCGTAACTTGTCATAACGATTATGACATAACGAATCACGAGAGAGATAATTTGATTGGACTTGTTTCAACTTCGTATCAGTTTATCTATCGCACAAATAAGGTTGTGGCGTTGAAAAGTGAGATTGTCTCGAGGCTCCTCTCATAGGAAAAGGCGACTTAATAGAATAATATTTGAACCGTTAGAATGGGATGGACTGACGACGAATCGACCGCTTTTTGTATACAATCCACGAAGGACAAAAACAATAATAAATACGAGAAAAAATCGCCTATAGAAGCCTCTTATTATGGAAGAATGTGAAATAGAGACTGAGTGATATTCAGGGATTCTAGTCTGGATATGCCACACTTGAACTGCAGTAAAACAGTCGAAAACAAATAAAAAGTTAAGCGCCTTTTTATTAAATTACAAAGCACAGAGACACTGAGTCTCTGCTTATTGACATTTCGTAGCGAGATACATGCCAATCTCACCACAATATCAACGCGCAACCGACCAACTTTCAGATCGCATTTTCTCAAAATATCTAAAACGTGCTTCGGCTAGATTTCTCAACGAGCGCGTTCACCACACAAAGAACGGTGATACCCTAACTATTCATATCTATACATGCGGAGAATTTCAAATAACATAATAAAACGACTTCCTTAAATTATACGCGATAAAAAAGATTTTTCAATGTCTTTATGGCACCAGGAAGTAAGTGCTGCGTTTGTACGGTTACGACTTTCGTTTTGAGACCAATCAATGATTTGTGGCACTTGCACCGATGTTGCCTCAATAAATGTATAAATATCAAAGTTTTCAAGGCACAAATCGGTTCGGTGCGTATTTATTTAGCAAATAACTGGGTTGGTGTAACGGCAGCATCCTTCAAGCCGATATTAAATTTAAAATGCATGAAATTCTTTTACTGTTTTACTAAAAACTTATGATTCGGAAGTTATTTGATTTTGGACTCTTTATTTTGATAGGATGATGGGGTCATCCGAAATTTTATTTAACTCCAGCAAACATGAAATACAAAAATATGAATTTTATTTCGAACACGGCCAGGTTTTTTGAAAAATTTTTTTTTTTTGTATACGCTCCCGAAAATAGTTGTTTTTTAGGAACTCATTTGAGTCCCTAAAATGAGTCTTTCGGACTCAATAAAATAATACCTAAAATGGTTATTTTAGGTTCTCAGTCACAAAAACAGTTTTTCGGGACGAAAAGGTTAATTTAGTTACAAACTTTTTTCAATTAGAGTGAATTCGTTTTTTAAGAGCTTTAACAAAAAAATTTGGTGTGAACATCACACGACTTTCCTTATCCTACCTATTTTGAAAACATCCTTACGATAATAATTTAGTGTTAGAAATCCGAGTAGCAAAGTTAACCTATGAGTTAGTGCCACTTGCCGGATTATACGCGAAATAATAGTTAATAGTTGTCGCGGGTTCGAGTCTGAAGTGCAATTTTTTTTTAGTTCGGTACCCATTATTATTTTATCACATTTTACTGTTTAATAAGGTATATTTCATGTTTCTAAATAACTTGTATCCCCATGAATTTATTGTACCTTCAACCGTATAATTTTGCGGCCGTTTTACGGCCGACTTTTGTTTCGTGCTGCGTCCCCTTTGTAAAAGTAACTTACATACCAAATTTCAAGTTTACAGTTTACAAGTTACAGACGGACGGACACACACAAACACACACACGACCCAATGGCCCAAACCAACTTTTTTGGTGTCTTGAAGCTATAATTCGTCCAGAAATGTAAAAATATTCGTCCGCAAAAACTGTATTTTAGGTACTTGAAACAAAAATAACTAACCCAAAAACAATATTTTAACACAGCCACAAATCTGTTCTAAAATTTATCAAGTATTGCTCCAATATTGTACAATTTATGTTAAAATTATTCTACATGAAATCTTTTAATAAATTTAATAAAAACAAAACTTTGGTAAAGTCTCGAATTTGAAAAACGCTGCTCCAAACCAAACATAATTTTCTGTTTTTAGTTTTTTAAATAATTTAATACATGTGGGTTGTGCAACAAGAGCTTTAAGAGAAAATGCTGTTGCCTGAAAAACAATACTATTTATTTCTTTTATATTTCAGCTGCAATGCTTTTTTATCTTTTTGATTTATTTGTCTCCATTTAATTAAGACTAAATTAGCTTTTTAAAAGTGTTTATTCCAATAAATTGAATAATTCAAAGAAAAGAGTTTTTCAATTACGCGAAATAAAATTGCTTTAGTTTGCCGCAAAGCCGTTCAAAAGAATCAAAGGAAGTCCATTTATAATATCAGTTCTGGGCAAAGCTATGGCTTGTACACAAGATGGGGTGGCGACTAAATGCTCCGGAAATCTCTGTCATAAATTGAATAAAAGAAAAGAAGATCGGTAAATTTGTTAGGACAAAATTGGGAAACAGAAGGAATATTTTAGTAATAAAGTCGACTACGATGTAACTTCCTATTAAGTTAACGTCGAGCAACGTACCTCCCAGAAATCCATATCTCGTGATTGAATCGTACTACTAGGGCTTTGATGGGCGAATTTGTACCCCTGCACCTTGCTGCAACAATATCCGATCGTTGGAAATATTTTAGAGCAAACATAATTTACAGTGTCTTGGCCAACTTCAGACGACAACAAGACGCTCCTGATGAAATTTATATCGTTTGATCCCAAACTTGCCATGAATTTCGTTACAGCGTCCTCTTTTATTTTTGTTATCTCTCAAAATAACGTATGAAATTTTAAATCGGACTGCCTTGTGTAATACAAATGTCACTGTAGAGATGGCGTTTCTTAAAAAAATAATTTTTTTATTACTCCTTCAGTTCTATACTATAATTCGGCAAAGTTAATATTTGAGCAAGAGTATTTTCTTTAAATTAAAACCATATTTTCGTGTTTTTATTGCTTCACGTGGGATTAAAGACAACTGTTAATTAAGTCGGTGACGATATTTTCCTTACTTTCGACTAAAATACATAAAAGATAATTCCTAAATAAGGTTCTAATTTCATAAAATACAAAAATTTGTGCATTTGTTTCATGACGCTCTGTTTTGATTTTATTGCTGTTGAAAGTCTGGCTTCTCCTTTGTCACTTTGCTCGTAAACACTACGGTTATCAATACTGGAAGTTTCGACACTAGTAAAACTCCAAGCTTGCTCAAAGTAAAACGAACATAAATTCACTTGATATTATCCTAGCCATAGAAAATTCTATACTGCTGCCGAAAATTACCTGAAGTTTGTAGACACTAGTTACAAAACGACGAAATTGTAACTTTATTCACCCTCCTAGAAACTCGTTAGCGCAATATTATCTGACACAAGATTAAAGTTAAGAAAATTAAGATTTATAAAAAATTATTATTTTACAGTGCGATCAAAAAGTCTTTCTATCAAGTAGCCGTCCTAGTTGAGGACGTATGTTGCATGGCAGTTCGTATGTTATCTAGATGTCAAAAAATTATTTTATAAAAATTAAAATATTGAGCTAATTAAATTGAATTATTCTATGAAACGTCTCAAAACAAACTA